ACCCTGTATTTTAATTTATAAAACATTTTTTTAACTTTTCCCAAAATAATTTAGATAAATTTTAGCCATGTTTAAGCAATTGTTATGTAAAAACAACAATATGTTCTGTAGTCCGAACTTCCCCTGGTCCCAATTAGTTCGGATTAAAGAGGTTCTACTGTAATAAAAAAGCAAGTCTAATAATTGAACCGTTCATGGTATGGGAAGCAATAGTTTAAAAGATATGGTTAAAAAAATTTAAGAGATGATCAGCAGCATGAACTATAAAAATAAGTAAAAATTGAAGTCTTCTTCTTGGGTTACTCAATCACTGAGTATGTTGTTTGGAATGCATTCATTTCCAAACAAATAATTTTAAAATTTCATATGGAACTTGTTCACCTGTTTTTACAATTTATCTTTGTTAATCTGTCATGCAAAGTAGTCAAGTAAAGAATGTTACAACAAATTCAACTATTGATACGTAACAACCATTAAGATGGTTACAACATGGCTTGAGGTTTGCGGTCAGCTAATACTGTAATATAATACCCTTCAGCTTGAACCATGTCACTCCCCTTAGGTATGACTAAATTAAATAGGCACTAGATAGATCATCCCCAAGAGCAAGAGACTTTTATCATTACATTTTATCTCTTAATTATAATTAATAATTGTTTTTGATTTTAAAATAAACTCTGTCTTACAACAACCCTATTTTGGACCAATTGACAATATTAATTTGTTATTGTCAACCGTTTGAAGCCAATTTAACTAGTATTTAAATTAGCATTTGCATTACCAATAATTAATATATTTAGAATAACATTTTTAATGTCTCTAAACGTTTCTACCGATTGATAGATTAATTTTCCGTCAATAGCTTATCATTCGGAGTTATAGATAAGTGATCCAGAAGAATATAATGCAATTTTCGAGCTAGAATGGCAGATTAATAATTGGCTTATCATTGACATGTGAGTCCATCATCTCGTCAGCACATCAACAATCTGATTAGATACAAGTATCAACAAAATAAATTACCGGTTTTAATTACTCACCGAATAACCTCAATGAGAATCAAATTCTACTGTTTCTAAAACGTGGCTGGGTATTGAGAGGAAGAAAATATCATTATATAATATATTATTTCTCCCATTATCCCCAAATCATTCACCAAAACTAGCCAATCGCTCTGGAAAACAGTGCCTAAATCATAGCTTCCAACACATTTATTGATTTATTGATTTATGACCCACTCATAAATAATCTTACCAATAATAAAATATCAGTGAATTACCTTGGCAATCTGCTGAAGTTCTGAGATCATGAACATAGCTGTATTAGTATTACTTTGAGAGCGATTCCTCAGGATATAATGTACCATTTCATACTTGTCCTAAAACAAAATTAAATTAAAATGATTCTACTCTTAAACCTAATGCAATTTTAACCGAACGTTTTCACCTTTGTTAACTCCGCAATATAATACTAAAGAAATAGTAAAAAATAGAAATAGTAGACACCAAATTACTGAGGGAAAGGCTATTCATGCAGAGATATGAACAACAATCCTCATTCAAGCGGCAGTTCTTCCCAACATGCATACAACAGTGAGATATCTCGTCTACACCGACTAGGGAGCGAAGTTGGAGCTGTTGTCAACTTTTTTGCATTTCAACTCAGATCTTCAGGTCGAGGATCATCTGACTAGGGCTAAGTTGGAGCTGTTGTCAACTTTTTTGCATTTCAACTCAGATCTTCAGGTCGAGGATCATCTGACTAGGGAGCTAAGTTGGAGCTGTTGTCAACTTTTTTGCATTTCAACTCAGGTCTTCAGGTCGAGGATCAACCGACTAGGGAACGAAGTTGGAGCTGTTGACAAATTTTTACTTTCTCCCCCTATACCATAGTATATGGAGAAAGTATTTTTTCGTCAAAATTTTCGAGTTTGAGTGGATATATCCGTTTTGGGTCCCCCTGGACGCAAAAAAGTGGTTATCAAAGTGATGTCTGTGTGTGTGTCTGGATGTGTACAGAGCTACAGACCATACCTGTAGTCCGATTTTGGTGAAATTTGGTATGTAGGTACTAATCCATATTATCTCCAGGTGTTTTTTTTTATTTTTTTGAAATTTTGATTTTTAATGGGGATTTTCCCAAAAAAAACCATAAAAAACTGAAAAATCTAATTTTTTCAAAAATGGCCAGAACGATTTTGATAAAAATTTAGTATGTTGTAGCCCTTAAAGTTCTGAACAAAATGATACAACTACTATTACTGTAAACATTACGGTTTAAAAGTTATTGTAAATTATGTTATTTTCCCATTAAAAATCCCCATAAAATAAGAGATAAGAGAAAATTGTATTTAAAAAAAAACAGTTTGGATTGAAATTAGTAGGCTATGTGATAATCCTTATAATTCCAAACAACATAGTGCAACCCCCCCCCCCCCCATTGCTGTAAAAAATATGGTTCAAAAGTTATTGAAACTTATGTTATTTTCCCACAATACACCAATTTAATAACAGAAAAATGGATTTTAAAAAAACCCGATTCTGATTGTAATTCTTCTTTTATGGTCATTATAATTCTAAACAAAATTGTGCATTCCTTCTTTCCTGTTAAAATTACTGTTCAAAAGTTAATGAAAATTATAGCTGTGGAAATGATTATTTGTACTATTCAGCATGCCAGCCCAGATAATAAAGATCATGAAATAAATTTGATGAGGACTACCACTATATTATTCACAAAGAAAAATTGTTAGACCCTTTCCAAATTGGTTCAGGAGTCAAACAGGGCTGCTAGAGCTCTCGCCAATAATATTCTTGGTCCTAGGTGTAGTGATAAGGCATGTAGATAGGCGACCCAGATATTATATTATGTGATTTAGAATCAAATCATAAATGGGCCAAATGGTTATCATTGATAGCTTGAGTCAAATTAATAAAGTAAACAAGACAAGTTGTGTTTGCGCTTAACTTAACCAACCAACCAACTTTAAATTGCCTCTGCAAGTTTTTAATCGAGCCATTAGGGTTGTAAACTTTTCAGGGAGTTTGATGAAGGCTAATGATAAACGTCATTAGTTCTGCAAGGCTATTCAAATTGTAACAGGGTAAATGTTGTGCCTTCACTATGTAAGAAAACTACAAATTATTTGTCCAAGGTTTGTAAATAATTATACTTTATCAGACACCTATTAATTGAACTATACTGGCAAAATTCATCAATATCTGAAATTTAATTAATTTATGTAACCTTAACACATTATAAACAGAAAGCAAAATAATTACTAAAGCTGGAAGGCAAAGAGATAATCCATAGTTTTATATTTTAATTACTGCTCTGTAATTTACTCAAAATTGAGCAAAATCCCAGTTTAGAATAAGTATTTTCTATAAATATTAGAGGGGTAGTGAGCTGGTCTAGTGGTTAGAGCGCTGGACTTATTCAGTTCCCGAGATCCCGGGTTCGAATCCCGCCAAATCACCAATCGATTTTATCTAAGTGATAATGCCGCAACCCACAGGTCTAGCCTAAAGTAAAGTGAAAAAAAATCCCAGGCCTAGCGTCAAAAAAAAAAAAAAAATAGTAATAAATTAGAAAAATTCCCTATCTTCTAGACTTTTTCCATAAGTTATGGTTTAATATTAGTGTGATGTTTATTTATACTTCATACCTACTACATGATATTATAATGACGATGACAAATTAACCGCTGATAAGAGGTGTAAAAATCCATCACATGCCAAAATAAACTAAAAATATCCAGGTCTTTTGTTAAGTTAAACAGTGTTGAGTTTTGATAATTGTTTCAACCATTCATATTTTACAGTGTTGAATAGCCAAAGTTTTGAAGAGCCCTGACTAGATTTTTCTTGAAAGAGCAGCCTGTTCAATACAGTACAGTAAGTTAATAATTTTGATAATTAAATATTACTAGTGGCTTGTAAGAACTTAAGTGCCTAAAATTCGCTAAACAAATTGCACAGTAAAACAATTGATTTCAACTTTCTAAGACGTAACTAAAGTCTTAATCATGATAGGTAAAATTATCCCTGGTTTTATATAGTATAAAGTACATTGCAGAATTTACTGACAAATGAGTACGTAATCCAACTCCAAATCCAAATGTAATATTGCTTACTGGCCTAATGATGAATCACGATCAGCTGTATTGAAGTATAAAAAATAAGCAATAAGTAAATTGATTCTAATGCTATTCTTATGGAGAGCATTTTACCTCATTGCTAATTTTGTGTTTTGTGTTAACCCCCCCCCCCCCTCCTGGGATTGAGACCTTTAATTTTGTCATTCCACGACTTCCCAGTCGTCCACATAGAAGAATCGCTTTACTAATTAATATATAGTTGATAAAATAGATGTTAAAAATATTATATGTACTAACTAACTTACTACTACTAACTTGATGCAAAAAGTAGGGTTGTGCTCTCTCACTCTTTCTCTCTCTTGTATTTCACTGGGAACAAAAGCTATAACTTTCCAAAATAAAGCATAAGCTCATGCTGCTCATTGCTGACCCGTCTTTTTTATACATTTTTTAATTTGTTTATATATATATTTGCAATCTAACTATTTACAACCAAAAAGTATATACAGACTTAATATTCTTTTGTTTAAAATATCACTTGAACTTGTTTATCTCAACTGTCCGTCACCAGAGACCTACTAATCTCTACTGTGTACCACTCAATTAATTGAATATTATACTGTTGGCATTGAGAGTATGTTGACCAAAGACGCTACTGATTTTTCTAAAATATTTATAGAAAGCAAAAATAAACTTGTAAGTTAACTTACTTGTGTTTGTACTTTCACAACAATTCCAACCACAATCCATGTATCTGAGATACATTTACGTCATTTATAGCTTTACTTATTTTAAACAGTATTGAATATTGGGAATACTGACATGAATTTAATTATATTGAACTGTTTTGGATCTTAATACATAAGAATTAATTGTTCAGCTGGGTAACATAAGAAGACAGTTTAAAGGACAGTATTTATTCAATAAAAATTGGAGCTTTTAAAGCGACATAACACTAATGCAATACTAGAGGTTACAAAACAATCTTTGCAACCCAAATTTAACAGAGTTATGACCAACAATTTATTTAAAACACAATTGTTAAAATATGTCAAACAAATCCGTAAATTTATATTTTATAAGTGTGTAAGTATATCAACAATTTAATAGACAGTCGGTCGATAACGTAATATATATTCTTATAAGTAACACAAACAATGGTTTTACTTTGTGGTATCTCGAGTAATTTACACATTGTGAACATTTTATGCTCTTTAACATAAAGGAACATGTTTTAAATTATCAGTAACATCTATGTCGCAGTATAAAATCTAACACTTTATATCTAAAAACAAGTTAATGTACATATCCACCCATGAGCTGCGTTTTGCAATACTAGTTATATTTGTACCATGCATTACAAATCCTTATTTTAGAAAATCAACTTTAATTGAAATGATTGCCTTAATGTGATTATACAATATTCACCTTTCTGTGTAAGGTCGCTACATTTAAAGGTGTTAGATAAAAAAAATAATGAAAATAGTCAAGGGTAATTATTTGTTACTCATACATTTAAGTTTTGAATTTTTATTCGTATTTATATGAAAACTGTATGGTTATTCTTCCAACATGTTAATTATTTGTTTACAATTTAGGAAATTATGATCAATTAATTGTGAAATCTATATTATTTGATTGGAAGGTACCAATGGGATAAAAGTACCGAGAACAAAACAATTTCATATGTTTCACTGTAGTTTTCCCCACAGGAAACAAATCTTAGCGGATTAGATGTAGTTGGTATTATGAATTTGTAATCTAAAAATATTATTATTTTAGGTATTTTTTGATAGAGTATTTTTTTGCCTTTAGTACACTTGGCAACATATGGACCGATGCTAATTTGAATATACGTCTTTATAGGGCTGTAACTAATCATAGGATATTACTTTGGTTCTTACAATATGTGCAATAAGTGTAATGAAAACATAAATGTAACAGTTTTAATTGAAAGTCAGTTAAAGCTCGTTTCTTGTCTGCATGCACTAGCTAGTATACAAGAGATGTCCTACATAACAATCTGAGTTGAAGATGAGTGATTGAGAATGGTTCTAAATACACAGATTTTTTGAAGGAGCTTGAAAAATGTTCACAAATATGCTGGTTGTAAAGTTTACGATGGATAAATATAACAACCGAGACAAAACCTTCGATGACTAGAATTATTTAAACATTTCAACCAAATTGAAACCTTAAACGAATTTGTTTTCGGATAAAAACACTAAATTAACTATGGGCTGCAATACATCTTTTGGTACAAAAGGGAAATTTGATTTTGAATTCTGAAATTGGCCCGAGGTGTTGTACACACCAGTATAAGTTCAAAGTACAATAATTATTGAAAGTGGACAATGCTTAGCTATGACGGTCGAAGCTGTTCTACTAATAAATCAATTTAGTAAATAAATATTACTATCGACAATGATTTTTATATATCTCTTAAAGTAATATATTAGCTATCGATTGGATTTTAGATAAAGTTTGACATGATAAGAATGGATACATTCAGTCGTGTATCAAGTAATAAAGTCTGGAATCACCTGGCCCAACAATCACAACACAACCCTGTGTCCTCTTCACGACTACACAATACAATACACACTGGCGAGATAACTCTGATAATCTGTCAAGTACACAGTAAACACCAGCCTCGACAAAAACAATAGTAATTTAAAATCTTGGTTTCTAAGCTTTACTACTTTGAAATTATAAATTTATGTTTTAATGCTACGTTTCAATTACAGGTATTATTATTGATAAGTTTCCTAATCATTTTTCGTATCACACAAATTGTGTTGGGAAAGAAACTAAATGTTTTTGGTGTTTGGTGTCTTAAATGACTGAAGTGTCAAAGTGGCGATTTAATGTTTATTCTTGTAATATTTGTACTTTTTCTTGTTATTCTTCCATTTCCAGAAGTTATGTAAAGTAATTTTTTAGTTATATACAAGTGTGAATTTGATATAGTAAATGGCAGCTGAACAAATTTGACTTCGTTTTACAGTAAGCATTAGGATTAGTATTCAATTACTAAGTAAAGTAATGCTTCTGATAAAGGTAATACAGTATTACTTTTTACCTATGTAATGTTTATATAATATATAACTTAAAAGGATTTTTCTGATTTCAAAATTTAAACAGTTATATTTTCTGAAGTGCCTCAACAGATTATAAATTTAAGTGATTTCTTTATACCAGTAAAACCATTAAAGTAAAGTAGATATTTATAATTATATCGGTTTAAAATTTTAAAATATTTTGCTGATTTGTTTACTGTTCATTAAATAAATTTGTTTCAAGAACACAATTATTTAGGCTTAGTTAATAAGATTTTAATTTTATTTCCAGTACCAAAAGAGACAAAGCGAGAATGACAAAAATAATAAAGAAGGCAACTAGTTTAAAATGAAGAATATTTAGAGTTCTATCAATAATTCTGAATACATTGAAAAATAATCAAACTAGCCTATCTAATTTCACCATTTATGGAAACAACGTATTGAAATCGGATGTACAATGTATAAATATACAAAATTCGTAATATATCATTTTACCTTAAAACAACTAGCAATATTTACACAAACATCATAAATCGTAAGCCACAAAAAGTGAAATTCAAACGAATCGCTAAATAATATTTCTCAGAGAATAGGTCCCAGTAGTAAAAAAAACTTGAATCAAACCTTTTTAGTACAAGCAGTGTGCGAATAACTAAGGCGGGTAATGGAGTACTGTTGTTGGACCAGGGATAATATACAATATACATACGTTGGTTCCGGTCCCTCTTAACAATATAGAGGGAACATCATAGCTTTGTACACGGGACTAGGAGCTTCAGTCACGCACACATTCACTCAACGCTCAGTGAGAAAACAACCACAATAATACGGTAATATTACTGTTGGAATAGTAATATTCAATGATATCTCTTAATGTATAAGGCAGTCTTCACAAAAATGTATAGATGCTATTTACAATATTTGAAACAATGATTGAAATTAGTTCATGCTGGTTTAGAATTTTTCATTCCTCACAAAATAACATTTTCTGCATAACTTTAAAATATTTTAGCGCAAATCTCGGATGAAGATCTAAATTTATTGAGGTTAGATTTTAGCAATAAATCAAGCAGGTTGTCTTTGTATGGTTGATTTGAATGGGAAATAATTACCTAGTTTAGGTATGAAATTACTATATCTTCAGATGTGGCTTTGACTTAAGAAAAATATTTTGCATCTGTACAAAAAAGTTTGAAAAATATTAGCATCAGAAAAAATAATAGGTCAGAAGTTGAACAGTGGAATGGTATGCGTCTGAGTAAAGCTACCAAAATTGAACATGAACTTGACAAACTTTTCATGATGCTTCAACCAAAAGGTGAAGAATGTTTTAACTTATTAATATCCATAAAATAAATGCATTATATTATAATGCAAATGAAATTGCCTCAACAAAACATGAGTTATGTGATGGATGGAACTTATCAACAATAAACTTAACACTATTAGGATTATTTAAACCTATCAGATTCATAAAATAAAATGTTGAGCTTTTTGTGTGGTGACAATAATCTTAATAGAATATGAATAAGGATAACAATGTTATAATGAATTGCTATGTTTGCCCATAAACACAATTTCATGGTGTTGACCTTGGAAAATCAGACGTAAAGGGTGATTTGAATAATTTTCCATTAATTTTCAGTTAAAACTGTTATAAAAGTAAGTAATGTCTCTTAATACCAACCTCAGTTGTAATTTATGTAACCAAGTGTACTGATAGTCCCCCATATAGAGTTTTGGCAATTTTGAACATAAAAATGTATTTTCAAAAACCATTCAAAAAGACTACAAGAATTTCTTGAATGATTTGAAGGAAGTATGATTCGTGTGTATGAGCATCATTTCACATGCTAAGCACGGGGGTCAACCTAATCTTTAAATCTCTAGCATTCGATGGTTTAGTATAAAAGGGTGTAATGCTGTTTCCACTCCTTTGACAAAAGAAAAAAAAATAAACAAACAAACACAAAACTCACAAACAGTAATAAGGCATCTTTGTTTCGAGTTTATATAATAATGAAATATTGTTAACGATTGGGAAGTCGATCCCATCGACCGAGCAACAGGATATCGATAATATAATTTATTAGCAAACACTAGGAGTTTATATACCTAAGAAAACAGCGATAACATACCCCTTTAAAATCAGACATTCCACGCAAAAGACGAGTAGAAAACACGGGTGCCACAGCGACCTATACACGAAATTAAAAAATCCAGTTTTCGTACAAAATTAAAATACGCCGAATGTACAACACACTATCGCACACACGCACACTACGGCTAGAGTCGACTAATTCCGGCACGGTCCTCGGCTGGACTGAGCACCAATTCAAAAGTGTCCGCATTACATCGACGAGTAATGTCGTATCTAGTGTTATCACAGAAAACGAAACGAAACAACCCAATCACTTTGTAAAGCACTTGAGGGGAAGTGAGAGACATAACGGCAGTATAGAGCTGTCAGCTAGCAGCAGTTCTCGGACCACCGTCTCGATGAGGCCAGCACGTACGAGATGCGAATGAGAGAGGTCGCGGTATTTACAAAGCGGTCGAAAGACGGCGGACCGAGCGGGCTCGGTTAGAGAGTGTAACGTCCCTGTGAGCTGCTGCTACCTGTCAGCAAAGGCTAGCACCAGTCGTCATCGTCAGAGTCACTGTGTCGCTCACAATCCAAGGGCAGAGGGGGAGGCTTGTAGCCGTTGGGAACAGGAGACGGCAGCATACGGCCTCCCCGACCTATCGCGACTGCCTGCTCAAAGCTGAGCGGGACCGCGTAGTGGGGGGGCACGTGTGTAGGGGATGGGTTCAGCTTGGGAAAGTTGATGTTGGCGGGGCGCAGCTGCAGAGTGGAGGGTTTGCTGGGGGTTGGCGGTAGACGACGCCCCTGTCCTCTACGTGCCACCAGCACGGGGTAGCTGTGCTGTGTACGTTGGGCCCTGGGGGAGGGTGAGCGTGACCTCTGCTCCAGTGACGTGGTGCCGTACCCGTGACGAGACACAGCGTGACTGTGACCGTGGTGGCCCGGACTGGGCGACCGCGCAGGACTAGTTGAGGCTGACCACGATCCTGTAACAACACAAATCACATGCTCCGTCACATCCTTATACAAATTGATTCTTTCATACATCTGCTTAGTGTTTCCGTAAAAATAACTGTAGAGATTAACTATTAAGTGTGTGATATAGGTATATATTTATCTAGGGGAAGCTTAGAGTTAAAATTGGCCAAACTCAGTCCTTTAATGATTTAATTCAGTTAAAACGACCTTAATTTGTCAGGTTGAAAAGGTAACTACTACGACTATTAATTACAACTATATTTCTGGCTGGAGTAAATTAAAATATTGTTACAATAGTTATTCATGTTTTTACAACATCAAAGTTCAACACCATTATGTGTAGAATAAACAACCTGTGGATATTTTAACTTAACCTGTGGTTAAGTTAAAATAACACTGTGATCCATGTTGACCAACCTATTTGAAAAAGGTATTATGTTTTTAAAGCTAAACTTTTTCCTTTAAAAAAACTATATAGTGATACAAAAACAGAATAGGAAAGATAAGAACAGGGGAGATAGATGAAAAATGAACTTAATTCGCACATGCATATGAAAACTGTTCAAAAATGTTGGATTGAAAAATAAAATGTTTGCATCAGCAAGTAAGAATAAAGCTAAAATAGTAGAGTAATGTGTATCTGCTTTCAACAATAAGAAAAAATATTAAATTATTCTTTGATATAAAATCAAAGTCACACAATGTACCGGTTTTATTTCGATATTTCAAACATTAATGAAATTTTGTCAATACAATGAAAGATTTATAGTTAACTAAAGATTATTTATATTTATAAAAATTCATCCTAAGTATTTTTTTAATAGAAGATATTTAACTACTGAAAAACCGTAATACCGTTATTTTACAAATTTTCTTCATTATCTTCACAGTGTATAGATTAATTAAATTTAAAATGTATGTAACTTTGCATAGTTAATCTCGAGCAAATTCAATACTTTTTACAGTAGTTGAATATTTAGATCAGTTTACAAATAAAAGTCGCACAGGGTGAATATTGGAAGGGAGTATTTATTAACTACGGAAACAAAAAGCTATAGTAATAGAAAAAAAAAAATTTGCTTTTTTTAACTATCGATGAAAAATCTGGTAAAAGTATTTGTGAAAAAAAACCACAAGCAGAACACCAATAATGGAGATAAAATAAGTTTTGTAATAGCACACAAAACACATAAAATACACCAAACATTCCCATTAGGATTAAAGGGATTTATGAAAGAAAGAAGAGATAAATTACAACATCTATTAATAAATGTTGTATAGGTACTTTATCATACCATCTTCGTCAGAATACTCTGTTGCAAAAAGCAAAATTGGGTAATTAGAGAAGGGTTTGAGTCTCCGCCAAAATTAATAGGTTGAAACTCACACCTTTGTTTACTTATTAATCTGATTTAATTAACAACAATTTCAAAAATTCACCGATTGGCTAATACAGTGAATAACAAATAAATGCCAAATGCGTAACACAACGTACTTTAATTGTAATCACTCATGTTGCTGTTGCTGCATGACCAATTACTCAGCTAAAATTAAACATTTTGTGTATAAAAAAATTGGATTTAATAAAATAACTTAATTGAATTTATAGTTAACATCTACGTTAGTATGGCTACTTCATTGAACAATGGAAAAATTTCAAAATTAAATCAGCAAATATTTTAGGGGAAAAAAATTTCAACTAGAAGAAGAAAAGGGTATTTATTTAGAACTAAAAAAATACTCCTAAAATCGTTATAAATACATTGTTAGTCTTTTAATTTTAGAGAAGCATTTAAGTTTTAATTCATCTTTTTGAATTTAAGCAGGAAGAACTACACTTCTGTGTCAAAATATACTCTACCCAGTCTCAAACTGCTAAAATGTTTAGTGTAGAGTACTAACATAGATAAAACATACTTTCTTATCATACTTCTTATAGACAATTTTGTTAGTTCCGTCCGGTGCACTGTAGGAGTCATGTTTTGTTTGGTTTGGAACTTGGCACAATCTCATTTTCAAGCAATTGCATTAACTATCCCTAACTGGTTTTACCACAACATGATACATGATAAAGATGGCCAATTCCAAGAGTTTTAAGTCTGAAACTCTTTTAGTGTTAAAAGATGGTTTCAAGGATAATTTTAAAGGTAAAAATAAATTCTAGCTTTTATTACTTTATTTTGCATAAGTATTTAAAAGCGTATTTGATTTTCAACCCTGTTTATGCCAAAATCGTTTCAGTGTTGAGATCATACACTGGTAGCTAAACTTTTCCTAATTTATTAAAAATATAAAAAAAATTATTGACAAATTTCATTAAATTTGTGATAAGATCATTCTTGTTCCAATTTAGTTTTTTATGCTGTTTCAAACAGTGTAGATTTGCTTCTCAAGTCCAACCAATTGACTCTATAATTTAAGTAAAAACATTACGTATTTTGTTTGTTTTTGCTCAATATAAAAAAAAAATAAGTAACTCAAACAAAACATTTGACTGACCTCTGATATAAGGATGCCGCCGAATGTGGGAGTGTTCGTTTTTCACTATCTCCACGACGTTAGACACAGTATCGCTGAAGCCTATGTCGTGGTGGGGATGACCATGGGGGTGGTGGTAGGGGTGCCCGTGGTAGCCGTGGCCGTGGTGACTGTTGGGATGCATTCTGCGAGGCGACGGACTACGGGCAATGTCCGATGGGTCATGAGGCCCTCTTCTCCTGTCAGGAAAATGTTATGAATAGTCATTTGTTCAGTCTTCAAACAATACAGTATTGTAATTGACATCATCAATATTGTACAAAGATATAAGCTGCAAACTTATCTATGAATGGCAGTGGGTCTTACTTAAAAAGACTATTGGTTATCACAGGTGTAATGAACTGAACAAAATAAACTTTAACAAGAAAACTGAACAAGAATAGGCGTGACAATGAATATTGAGAGGGATAAAATAAAAATATATAATTCCTATTGTTAAATCACAGATATATATGGTAACAAACATATCAATATCAGTGAACATTAAAGGTAAGAAAATTATTTACAGTATTGTTTGTATTATGTAAGTCTCGGTGGAAATGTTCTGTAAGGACCTAACCTTGAACCCACAGTGCTCAGCTAAGCTTTTTAAATCAAACTTAGCCAACGATTTGGTGTGAACAGAAGTGAGATAAGCAAATATTAGGCAAAGCAGCCGACTTGAACTGAGAATAAATGCAAAAAAGCAATCAGTTTTAAGCAATTTTTAGGGGTTAGGCTTTTTGCTAACCACTTTAATTCTTATGCATCATAAAAGCTCATTCAATATTACCTGTACATGTTAGTAGTATATTTCATAGTTTATACTACACAACAAAATATAATGTTTCCAATTGCCATACAATAACAATGCAAGACTAATTTTGCTAAAAAAAATATAAATAATAAGCTATCATTATGAAACTAGCCTGAAATAAACCTAAAAATGTAGTCCCGAGTAATGTTAGTTTTGTCAACATTCAATGCAAAAAAACCATAGCAATCAAAACAGAAAATAATAAGGTAAGCTTACCCATCTTGCATCAGGAATCAAAAATAATCCTACATAAATACAAATATTTAAGGAATACAATCAACCATAAAAATTATAATGAAATCATATGAGTAAAAATGAACTTAAATTGTTACTTTGATATTATTTATCACTGTGCAGTGTGCATTTATTACCAACCTATTTTAAACCACCAAGCATAGATAATGTGATAATTAAATCTTTTTACCATAACTCAAAGGTTGAAATATTAAAATAACCAAATTAGTTGTCTAACAACAGAAATTTAAAATAAAAAACAACTACAAAGGTAAAACCTGCTAAAACTAGAAATGTTTGCAACTGTTTCTCAAACACCATCAAAGCTAATACAAGAATAACTAACACAAAACAAAGAAACATAACTAAGTTCATACTAACCAAGTCAATTACTGAGTATTAGTCTGTACTTCCAGTTTACTCTACATCTTCAAAGAATGTACAATAGAGTTATGACTAGCCAAACTCCAGTTATCTTCGCTTATCCGGCATTGTCACAGCCGCTTCAGGTCAGATAATGGATACATGACTGAGTGACGATACTAGATTCTTACAAACCTTGTCGAATAAGAGAGTCTACTTTCATTTACTCTATAAATTCAAACACTAACACCTCTTTACTTGACTACAACCTCGTAAGGGTGGTTGAAGGCTTTTACAAAAGTGTATACAGGACCTACCTGACACTGGGTGACCGTGAGCGAGGTCTGTTGTGTCTGTAGCTAGACGTAGGATGAAGATGGGTCTGGTCCTGTACAGAGTCTGTAGACTGACGACGGGATCCGATAACATCTTCTAGCCCCGGGCCCTGCACACAGCACACACTACCTTCAGTCAACCAACACTTAGCCTCATTTAAACGGTAGGGTATTTTAGTTTTATGTAATTTTACCAATCCACCACAGCCAATGCAAAAATCAATTTTATAACTTTGTTGGTTTTCATACAGTTGTAGAACACAACTTAATGTTTACTAACTCCACCTGATTATTTGTGGCTAAAATTATAAGTTGTTTGGTTAATTAACAATCCCAATTTACCGAGTGTGTGCTGAATTTGTTAAAAGTTTGATTGATTCTTGTTGTAACTATGAGTGTTCAGTACTATAAAGTGGAGACATTATATTATTTTTTAGCTTGTGAAAATTCTACTCCCTTCCATACTCACAGATTTTGCACCGCTAAAATGAAATTGTATCCAAATTGGTATTTATTTGAACAGTTCTTACTTTATATTAAACTTTAGTTGAATGTAATCATACAGTGACTATAGGATTTTTCTAAATATCAACTTTCAAGTTGTTCTTTATGGTCTTAAATACCTGCAAATGTTCATATTAATAAAATGAGACACTCAAGAGCAGTCTGAATTTTAAAATTGAATAGAAAAATATCAATTTACAAATCTTAGTAAATATGACATGCATATTATCTACCTACTATAAATGAGAACTTAGCATGCCTCATGCTACCGAAAGTGCTGCCAAATCAGAAGATCAGGATTGTGCCAAAGAGTATACTGATGATGTTTGTGTGAAAATAGGACTTAAACTACACCATTCTCTTGAATTTTTCTCGAAATACTTTAGGTCTAGGAAGAGTTTTCTTTCATGATTACTACATTACTATTGTGTATAACCTAGGTTATGGACATAACACTAACTTATTCTATCGATAACTAGGCTAAAATTAAACACAACGGGCACATTAAATCTAAATATTTATCTAATTTGGTTGACGGTAGCAGCATTTTTCGCATCTCCTTAAGATTCCTGAACATCCAAAAAGCATCAAAAGTGGGTTAAAATTAAGACTATCCTCATGTGTAATACAAAAAACAGGTACCCAAAAGCTGATCTCCCCTCCCATATAATTTTAATAATTCGTCTAAATAAATAGAGAATCCCTTAGGATGTAATAGACCTTCCCTAAATTGAAATCCTGAACATGTCAGTGAAATCTAACCACCCAAAATCAACCATCAAATCAATGACTATTTTTTTTTACAATTTGAAATAGAATGATAGTAAAATGTGTTTACAATAAAAATTTACAAGTTAAACTGATCCGTCAGTTTAAAAGCACCAAAACTCTTATTACTTAATAGTATATTTCGTACCTAGGGCCAAAAATGAGGTTTTGCCAGCTCGAGATCATTTTTTAAGTTCGAGATGAAGTCGAGAACTTAAAATGATTGAGAGACACAAAACCCTTTCGGCCCGTCGTACGAACGCTATTTTTCACCACACTATACAAAATTGAGAAACTATATACAATAAGTGCACACAACTACAAATTTAAGGTTATGTGAATTGCAATGCATTATATGGATACTGCTTATGTATTTAATATACAAGTGAACAACAGATTTTCGGCCTTAGGGGTGTAAAAACCTGCTCGGTCCCCAAATAACGATGACAGCTGGAATGGAGAACAATACGTAGCTTTCAGCCTCCAATTAACGTTTGTAAAACGGCTTAAAACATCATAGAGTGGTGAAAATTTTTTTTGATACTACACTTCACCTATGAACCTCTGAATCTTATTACCAACTATTTGTACAAATAACATGTTACATGTTATGTATTCTAAGCTAATACACTTTATTACACAACACATCAAATACACACAGACATTGATTATATCTAGTTTCTAATCTGTAGCTTCTTGTTCAACACTTTTCTTGAAAAATCAAAGAGTTTTAAATTGTGTCAGGGTAAATTTATGCCAAAGAATACAACAAGGCTCTTTATTGTATTAAAAATCAATTTAAAATAACCATTTTGATTTATTGTAACAAAGTAATAAATTGCAAATAATTTTCATTAAAAACATATTTGTTATACAGTCCTACTTGCGGAATATACGTTAAATGAGGATATGGGGGTGCTGAAGTAGTACCTCTAGCATAAAGCACACAAAAAGTTCTTTTCTCATTTTCTCTACAAGTGATGAACTCAAGAAGCTCAAAGGGTAATGGTACATCAATTTATGACCTCTAGGCTCCGATTCTAGAAATTTCATGTAGTTCTATACAAATCTATTCTAAAATTACACACAACATCAAACTTCACCAAAAGATAACCATTCTTCACCTTTTTGCACCTGTAAAAGACATTAAATGATTAGTCGAATCCGCACAGTAACTTACTTTTGCATCGGAGAATGATCATCATTGAAGCCCAGGACTCTTTGATGTTATGTAATTTTGAACATGTCAAGAGTTTTTAAAGATGTCAAGAGTTTTATTCACAATTTTGCATGTTCTGTGTTCTAAGTGACGAATTTGTATGGAAAAAACTTAATAAATGTTATGTTTTAGCAGATAAAGTACACCAACTGGGTTTAGTTCCTTCTGACTTAAATGATGTTCATGTTAGAAATAGTTATTAAAATATGGTAAATAATTTTATTTTTAGTTGAGTTACATTGTGTATAGTTGTGAGATACGATGTGTGGCTATAAAATAACAAGACTAGGACTATAACTAAGGGACAAACTGTGTGATTCTCAAAATTAAAAGCCATATTTCCACGTTGCCTGAAATGCCTCCTCCATATTCCGACCCGTTTGGCAACTCTAGGCTACTTAGTTTGGCCACAATCTTTATCAGATCATGTATAGGGTGATTTTTTTATTGGTGCGGTTTTTAAAACTAAATAAAAAATGAAAAACAACCTGCATTGACATAAAAATGCATTTATTTGAACTACAGTGTTATGACATTAACGTTTAAAAATGATTTCTGGCATATGGACTCCATTCCGTTCGCGTAGAAAGCCCAATCGAGAAGTCCAATTTTCGAATACTCTTTCCATCAGCTGTGGTTGAATTCCGCCAATAACTCGACGAATGTTAGCTTCCAAGTCATTTAAAGTTTGTGGCTTGTCAGCGTATACTTGAGACTTAGCATATCCCCACAGAAAGAAGTCTGTTGGCGTGATATCACACGACCGTGGGGGCCAGTTGACACTACTGTACCTCTAAATGAGATGATACGTTCACCAAATGTTTCTGCCAAAAGGCCAATTGTGTCGTTTGCCGTGTGGCATGTCGCGCCGTCTTGTTGGAACCAGACATTTTCTAAATCCACTTCAAGTTCGTTTAGCTGAGGAACGAGAAAGTCCCGTAACATTGCCCGATAGTGTTGAAACTTTAAATGACTTGGAAGCTAACATTCGTCGAGTTATTGGCGGAATTATTCAACCACAGCTGCTGGAAACAGTATTCGAAAATTGGACTTCTCGATTGGGCTTTCTACGCAAACGGAATGGAGTCCATATGCCAGAAATCATTTTTAAACGTTAATGTCATGACACTGTAGTTCAAATAAATGCATTTTTATGTCATTGCAGGTTGTTTTTCATTTTTTTTATTTAGTTTTAAAAACCGCACCAATAAAAAAATCACCCTATATTTACCTCTCTTCAGAAAATGGTATAATGGTATACAACGTGTTTTTTTTAATGCAACTTTTGTTGTTATTTATTCTCTCTTACAACGGGAATCAATATGTAACACGAACACAGGTTTTTGAGTGCAATATACATCTAAAAAATGGAGAGAAAATAACAAAAATGATCCGCGCTGAGTATGTTCAACTTCAAAAAACTAATAAAAACATTGAAAAATAGTCAATCTGATCCATCAAGATAGTTCTTTGAGTCTCCCTGCAGTTGCTTGGGCTATAGGAGTTGACAGAATCAGTTTGATAGGCTATATTATATGAACATTTCAACATGAGAAAACTGTGTATAAACTGGTGCTCAAAATCATCATGGATGGAAATTTGTTCTGGTATTTGGGAATCATCAATAAAGATAGTGATCTGTTATTTTTTTAGTATTTTAATAGTAATTTAACGGTCAGCATTACAAAAAAAACACCTGTTGAGGCCCAAAAACATAATGTCTATTTTCCCGAGGAGTTGTGAATATACGGTCGGATACAAACGAAAGCTGTGGTAAAAATGAGCAGCCAAGAGTCGTCAAACAGGCCGGGATGAGGGATGTTAGGCGACTCGGCAACATGGCGTTTGGCCTTCAAATTCACGTGGTTTGTCTCTTAGAAACCAGTCTCTTTTTATAGCCACACCTCCTATGCTATTGACATGTTTTATATTTTTTCATGAATCCAATTATTTGTATTAGTCTATTATGATGGATTCATTTTCTGAATTTTCTCTAAAAAATTGGGGTAGTAACTATAACAAATATTTCATACTTGTTAACACTAACTTTTTGGTGGAAAAACTAAATAAAAAATTAATTTTAATATTTAAACAAAGATTAAATTGTTAAAGACGTTTTGATTGAATTTTATATTATTTTAAAAGAATTGGCCGAACTGGCATTTAACTTTTGTTGGAAAATAACTATAAATGTCAGATATATTATAGTGATATGAAACTCATAATAATACACTTTAAAAATAGACTCAACAAGTATAAGTTAGTTTGGTAAATGTTTATAGGTTGTATAAATGAATGTGATAAAAGTTGTTCAACAATGTATTTGTTAACATTTATTTTGGAATAAAATCTATTTATGTTCCGAAAGTTTGTTTTCTTTCATGAATGTAACATGTTATTTTTATCAGTACATATTTACAGAGAATGTTCTGTCAGGTTTAGAATGTAGGGCATGACACTTGCTGTGTTTATCTTCAGTAGAACCGTAAGAGACACCAACTATAAATAAAGTGGGTTAATGTGCCAACTCTCATATGTGAGATTTTAGGTTTTAAGGGTTGTTCTTGGATATCATCCTTATCGGGGTAAGGAAAAAGTCAACCAAAGTTTACAAAAAAAAAAGCACCATGAGATTGAAAATGCTGTCAGTGACAATGAAAGTCTCTAACTTTTTGTATGTTATGTGTCAGAACGGACTTTCCCTCTACAAGTAAGTCCAATATCCCAGAAAACATCCTATAAGCTTCAAGAGTGAGTTTTATCAATCAGAACAAAAGATCAAAGATAACTGAAATAACATTTTACAGCAAGGTCATTGCCCCTAACTGTGTGAGTGTAAGTTTGTTTCTTACTTGGAGCGGTTGGTATTCCTGCGGGATAAGAGGCAGCTGGCCTCGTCGTCGGGGTCGTGTTGACGGCCATTGCCTGCCCACGTGCCGGCCGCAACGTCCAGCAGGCAGTTAAAAAATGAAGATCGCTGGTGGAACAAAGTCAAGCTAACACACAGCCTCTCGCTAATCCACAACCTTACACTAGATATGCTCCAATAACCTAGCAATACGGCACAACAGTGTACACACCTAGTATCAACGTCTCATTGAATAATCCACACTTCATGGAAAATCTACATAGATCAACATAGCCTCTGAATCTTACCCTTTCAATGCTTGCAAAACTGATGTTTGGTTTTTAATGGTCTAACGAATAAAAGACAATAGAAGGTTTCTCATCAATCTTTGCACGATTTAATATTTCCAAAGGGAAACAATATTGTTTTAAGTGAATCAAGTCTAACATGTGTGTTTACCTTTGTTTTACACAAAGTCTTATTAACTGTGGAAGAACTGTTACTTTTAAGATTTTAAATGGCCTGCTTTTCCGTCGGTAAACAACCTTTGAAACCAACAGTACAGATTACACAAATCAATACATTCCAAACAACACAACTGATCTAGATAAGGTTAGGTCTAGCACCTTTGGACCTAGAACCATGCCATGGACATATTGTTTATATATTGATTTTATAACAATATAATGAGACAAGAGTTGAATGGTGTTTTATTGTTGTGTTTGTGTCTTTGGGCTCTGAAGAGTCCCAAGTCAATTGGTGCTTGGTAATCTCCTAATGCTATTACTTGCCTTTCACTTTATCAGTACACATTCAAAACACTCTATATTCTATAATATTATTCTATTTTCTACTTATTACTAATCTGTGTTTACCATCTACAAAAGAAACACAGTCCTTTTAAATCTACGACTCTACACAAAACTACATTATCTACCACCATAAAACTACACTCCTGCACTCCTCTCACCTACCCCCTTACCCTGCTAATCTCTCATCAAAGAAGACAATAGGGAATGACCGTACCTTTTATACCTCTTTACAGAGCTGCAAATATATTAGATATAATAAATCTCCACTAATGTGTATAACAGTTCAATTGCCATAGAGTTGGTCATACAAGATTTGCTCATATAAAACACGTTTAAGCTACCTGAAAATGTCCTCATCGACTTAGATAGTATCAATGAAACAATGATAAATGCATCAATGTATTTGTATTTATTTATAGTTAGTAGGCAACTGATAACAGGGAAAAACTCTTCCTATTTCCGCATTACCACATCTCTGAAAAAGTTTGTCAAATACAACTCACTATTCATGGTCATTTAAAGTAAAAATCAATGGAAGACGTTTCAGAATCATATTTCCACTCATTGGACAGCAAAGTGAATTTTCATGCAAATATATCTTGAGTGTCGAAGAAATTTAAACAAATTTGAACTTATTCTAGAGAATGTAGCCGAAAGATTTTTGAAGAAAACGGTTAGTAATCATGCAATAGAACAGAGTGCAAAGCAAAAATACAGCAGCTTTACGTGCCTACATGCCCCCTACGCTATCTATACCAAGCACCTGGTTTGCCTAAGTCAAGGGAAAGATTAAATGCAAATGCTAAGTGAAAATAACTTATGCATTACGCTTTTGAGGCATCCAAAATTTGCAATAGCTTGCCAATATCAAACTGAATAAGTTATTCTCCCCTCAATTGAAAATAATTTGAGTCCACAAACAAAACATGTTACTGTTGTCCACCACGGTTTTGTTTTCTATCGATTGATGCTAATTATTATGACAGCTTGAAATATAGCCCAACCCTTTTCTTAGTCACAAAAACTATACCAAATCAAATTAAACTAGAAACTAAATTGTTTTAACATTTCAATACTAGATTTTGACCAGAACATTCGTCAGAAAAAACTATAAAAAAATTATACAAATACAAAAATAATTAAATATATAGCTAGAAAAAGAAATATTTTATTTTAATGGCAATTAATTAATCCTTATTCAGCTTGATACTGGTTTTACAATTCAAAATAAGATTGCTTCTTTCTCATACTAACAGTCGAAAGAAAATTCAACAAAATCGTCTACGAAAAAAGTATTTTTGTACGAGAAAGAAAGTCTATAAAAATAATACTACCGCCTCATTTGGAGGACTATGACCACCAAATCCCTGAAACCAAACAAATAAGTTATTGCCTTTTGAGGGGGCCGAGCTAGCCAATAGCCACTCCTTCCTTAGCCTGTTGAGCTTCCCAATAGATCTTGGGTATCTTGAGTGCATCTTCAAGTATCCTCTCTCAAGTGTATTGATGGCTTTACCACCTTATGTCATTATCTCCTTGTTAAACATTCACTTGTAAGACTCACACATATGTTTTGCTGTCTAGGATGCCTAACAATAAAATGTTCTACAGAAAGCCATATGAAACAAAGGAGATTCAGAATGGCATAGTAGAGTCTAAATAATTAAGTATATTTGGTGAATTCCAGTATTTTTTTTAGTTTCCTCGGTGGATTTAGCATAAGTTTCATTTAAGATATTATGTTTAATTCAAAAAAAACTTAAAAGAATGGTAGTACTTTTATTAAACTAAATTATTGGATATTATTTCAAAAATATTTATAGTGCCTTCTTCAACACTCAAAAATATTCAATTTAAATTGTCAAATTATTTATATTTTTAAAATAGTTTTAGTTAAGTTTTATCTTAATTATTCATAAAAAGAAATAGAAAACTATGGAGTGAAAATATTTGTTGATTTTTAGTATTGTAAGTAAGTAACAGTATTTTCACATTTACTAAAAGGTATTAAGTAAAAGGAATCGCTTGGATCGCCAGTAATAGCATCCATTACCCATTCTAAACCTCTGTAAAATAGATGGCAAAACAAATATAAATAGTATGTACAAACTCAATAACACTTATGTACAGTGTTGAAAACCAATTATAAGCATGTTAGGCTGAAACACCAAGCTTCCTGAATTCCGCCTTGAAATCAGTGTGTGGTGACATTAAATCAAATTCAATCAAACTCAATCAAACTCAGATAAAAAAACTGATCCATCAAATCATAACACACCAGTCAAACCCTTTCATATCTCTCACACAAGCAAAAATACAGTTCACAGCATTGATTCATCCCTGCTTTCAACCGGAAAAACTTTGATATAAAGAATTTTCTGGGGTAAAACTGTCAATTTGAATTTCAGACCAGTGTGACAATTTCACAAAACGCATGACAAGCAAAAAGCATGAAGTTTAGTCATAAGTGGTCTGTGTGATTGTTAAAACACTTTCTGAACACATATTCAAAATGAGATTAAAAAATTCATATTTTTATTCTATTTTAAAATTTTTGTAATTAATTATTTTATTTTTTATCTTTGGGGGAAAATGTGAAAGAAAAAAGATGTGACATTTTATACAGAAAGATACTACTCCCACAAATTATGCAGTCTCAGACAAAACATAGTTTACACAACAGTTCTGATTCATAAATGTCGATATTAGTTGAGCTGCATTTAAAAACTAACGAGGTAATATTTTTGTAACTCAGTTTTACTACCTTTGTACTGATCAAACCAATCAATATCCATCATAGAGTCAGTATTAACACAGACGTTGGGCTTGTTAAGTGTCATGTTAGTACAGAGACATGCAAAGGATGTTGATGTACATTTATGTATCTCAGCTACACACGGAGAACAACAGTGAATCCTACACATTAGTGCAGAGTTACCAACCGTCACCGGCCTCAGAAACTAATGAGAAGCTTTGGGTGAAACTATAACGTGTGCAGGTTTGCAATTTATTTACCGTACCCTTATTTCATGAAAACCCTCATCCAAAAAGATTTGTATAATGTTTTAAATCTGTTTGGAAGTCTTTTAAATACGAATATTGTAAAAAACATTGGGCTATTGCTATTATTGATTTATATTATATTATTTTACTTGATTTTTTTTTTTTTTTTGGAGCGAGCTGGCGTAGTGGTTAGAGCCCGGGACTTCAGTCCCTGAGGTCCCGGGTTCGATCCCCGCCAAGTCACCAATGGATTTTATCTAAGTGATAATGCCGCAACCCCTAGGTCTAGCCTGAAGTAATGTGAAAAACAATCCCAAGCTCGTGCCTAGCGTCCTTAGGACAAAAAAAAAATCTAATTGATTTTGCCGCTCCAGAGTAATCAATCTCAAATTATTCATTTACTATTTTGTGCAATTTATCATAGTTATTATTTTATGAATTATCAACAAACAAAAATCGTTTTTAAAAAAGATGCAAAAAAACAAGAATCAGATTTTCTAAATTCAAATCACAATTATGTTACTTTAATTTACAAAAACCTGTGGTATTAGCAATTTTTATGATAGTATCTAAGCGCCTTAATAAAAGCGTAGGTATTACATAATTAATTATTTTGATGGATCTTATCTCATTAAGTTTTTTCTGGAAACTCAAGGATTCTTCGTAGAAGATATTTTTAAAAGCTTGACAGGCTCTTATAACATTGCATTTACCAGTCCACATAGGCCTTGGGCCTGTGTGAGTGGAACTAGATACCAAGGGCCTGTACAGTACAAGAGAGACTCGCCAACCGAACTGAAATTTAATGGCACCAAGATTCCGACCAACAACGTTGCTGCAATAGATTCATCGTCCAACCCTATAGACTGAGCCACCGACCTCTCAATTGTGTAGTCTGCCAGTGACGGAGGTATACACTCTGCAACACCGACCTAGTCTAGCCTTGTGTCATTCATGCAAACTGTGCAACACCCTCTCCTCAATGTGAACGTTACGTAACCTCTATCTAGATCTGCTAATCAGTCTCTCACTATGCTAGGTTTGTACATAAACTCCTTGTAATGGTCTTCTTCCATTATTCAATGACTAAGGATATGGTTAAAATGTAATAAAAAAAGTGTTAGGAATAGTGATACCCAAATACAGAGGATTCACTAGTAAAATGGCCATTTTGAGATTTAGTTTTCTTACATTGTGTAAATAAATGGTAAATAGCCATAACTAATTTATAAAATTAAAAATTCCAAAACCTTAAAAAACATAACTTGTACAATGTTGTGGTTTGTTTCTTAATTTTAAAGAATTTAAATTCAAGTAAACTATTTGACGTTTTGCTTCAATGTTCTATTTACAGAAGATTAAACTTGTGTCTAAATTATCGTAACACAACTAATATTCATTAGTAAAATTATATCAAAGCAAAATATAGTTATAAAATAATTCAAGGTACTTCATATTGCTGTAGAAAAATTAATTCAATAACTTTGTTATATATTAGATAAGCAATCCTACCACTTTTAAATAAGTTTAATTAAACTTTGTTTAGTCACTTATCTAATTTTTTTAAATATTTTAAATAGATTTGTTATGAAAAACCAATTCAATTTTCTACAAAACATTTTTTACAGTTGTAAAAAAAACATAAAAACAAATACAAATAAATAAGTAGGTTTACAAATATCATTACTCTCGCCAACCCACCCTTGTAAACAGGGGTCTCAATCCCGGGCCTTCAATCCAATCCTGGGATTTCGGGATTCGTCTCAGCCGATCCCGGGATTATATGATATGATTTTTAACTTTTTAGCCATTTTAAATGAGCGAGAAGTCCCATTGTTGAGTACTTTAATGTTTTAAACTGGCCTTACCAGTATACACACGCAATTACACTGCGAAATGTTTCCGTTTTCTAAGTTAATAAATATTACCACGCGGAACTTTCATCGCCCGTATTTTTTTTTGACAGTGTATAAATGTTGATATGTCACTCTAAAATGTAATGAATACATTTTTAAAAAAATCACGAGCAACCGCACTCGCACGTAGCCTATATGTCACGCTAATAGATAGATTAAAGATAGCTAAGAGAAAAAGATAAAATGGGAAGAATCACAAGTATCGGCGTAAAAATGTTATTTTGACTGACAGCAATAAAACAATATAAGATACTGTAAAACAATAAACCATCTGCTTATGTAGTAGCGAGTGTATGAAAAACGTAATTTTAGATTGTAAGAAATTTACTCACCACACTAATAACCAAATATGAAGATAAAGTTATAGACCCTAAATATAAGCAATCTTAATAATGAGATTATAATCATGTGTTTATTTTATAGTTATATTTTATGGCTTCAATGAAAATAATACTTAAATTTCCGATTGCAATGTTATGTTTGCTACACGAATTGCATTGTTTGCGTTTAATCTCAAAAGTAAAACTCAAAATAACTTGTAGGCCTACTGTAATTAAGTTCTAACTAATGTAAAAACATTTACAGAAAGTTAATCCTAATCGTCTAAAAACAGAAACATATATTTAGGCCTACATTCGTTCGCCTATTGAGTTTAATGATAAATAAATTTTACAATCAAAAAGATCATTACTTATACCATTTCATAAGATCATCCTAAAAATAAAGAGTATATGTGTTCAAAGTGTTATTGGACTATTTTTATTAGTTTTCCGTAAGTAAAAGACCTCAAATTCACAAAAAAATTAATATTAACATAGGTTTTTCAATCCCGTTAATCCCGGGATTAAAAGTCACCAATCCCGGGATTTCTAGGTATCAAAAATTGGCCGGGATCCCGGGATTGAGACCCCTGCTTGTAAATTTATAGTGATCAGTTAAGCTTATCTCTGATATATTTGTATCTTACTGTCAGCAGGCAAGCCTACTTTATAACCTTATAGCTGTAAAACAGCTTTTCACTTTTCAAATGTGATCTTACATATTGTATTTTATTGGGAAGAAATAGATTAGCTTTACTCATGAAGAACATAAAAATAAATCTTGATAATAGAAATACAAAAGGACTGATTGGTTATTGATTATTGTTTTAGATTCACTATTAAATCAATTTCAACCACTTAATTGAACTAGAATGTATAATTAATGACTTCATTTTTTTTCAAATTTAGAATATAAAGTGAAGTTGAAAGCTTAAATTTTAATCGGAAGATAAAATATCACGGGGACTTTCAAACTTAAAACTGTCTTGAATATTTTTGTAATGTAAAATAGTATTGTAATGTAGAATAGTGAATAACCGGTACTGCATGTACCAACATGATTGATCTGTTGCAGAAAAAATACAGCTGGAGCAATGTCACTCACCGGGGGCCCTGACGACTCTAGCTGTCCAAACCTGGTGGATCTCCAGCTCTCTAGGATCAGAAGACCTCCGTAGATCTTGCCTACTGTCAACTTGTCCTTTCCCAGCTCTGGAAACATACAAATTACAGTTAAAACTAACTATAAATACAGGTAGACATTAGAAAAAAAATGAGTAGAAAGATTACGATGAAAGAGAAAGACATTCAGAAATAACAGTATGAAGGAGATGGACGTACAGAAAGAACATGATAAAAGAAAGGGTTGAACAGAAAGAAGAGGATGAAGGAAGGAGGGTTGTATAGAAATCGCTGGATAAATAAGAGAGATGTAAAGAAATTACAGAATGAAGGAGTGGGGTGTACTAAAACCACAGGATGAAAAGGAGACCTACAGAAAGAGCAGGACAGAGGAGACGGGTGAACTAAATCCAATGGATGAAAAGGAGGTACGTAAAGAAAGAGAACGGAAAAGAAAGAGCAGACATGAAAGAGCAGGATGATGGACGGAAATCAATAAGGGGAAGATCTGAAGAGAGGAGACAAGAGACAAGCTGTCAACTAGAGTTTGATGGTGTTATGTCAATGTCAATGGTTGTTTTAACTCTCATACACTAATTATTGAACAAATTCCCACTAATAGGACCTTTCCACTTAACCGTAATCGTATTTCTGTTACAATGGCCTTAAAGTCAATGTAGAAATTATGAATTCTATAGTAAAACATTAATTCAAACAATTTAAATTTGTATCCATACTGATAACATAATCTGTTAACTATTTATCCATTGTGATGCAATATCTCTTTCAGTTTTCATAGTAAATATTTATAAAGAAAATTCCTTCCTTTTTGGAAATCAGAAGCTTGTCTGAGTAAAAACGTAATATATTTGTTCAAAAACCACTTATAAAACAGAAGCAAATATACAGGGTGATTGATATAATGTGCCAGCCATTTTATTCGAAAACTATAAGAGATATCAAAAAAATTTAAATCGTAAGTGCCTTGGATTTTTTATTTAAAAAATTGTAGTCAGGTCGAAAAAATATTTTAGCCGCCATTTTTCCAAATTTTTTTTATAAACCTAACCGTTTCAAAGATAATAATGGTTAAAGTTTTGAAATTTCTGCATGAGAAAGAGTTTCGATAAAGGCCTAAGCAAGCATGCCAGCTGTTTTATACGAAAACTATTTGAAATTTAACAACTTTAACCATTATTATCTTTGAAACGGTTAGGTTTATGGAAAAAATCACAAGAATAAATCGTCTTAAAATTACATTTCCTACCGGAATACATCATAAAATACAGGGTGTTCCGTAAGAAAAATCTAAGTTGGCGGCTATAATGGAAAAATTACGGCTAAAATAATTTTTTCGACTTGACTACAGTTTTTTAAATAAAATATCCAAGGCACACCATTTAACTTTTTTTGATATCTCTTATGGTTTTCGAATAAAACGGCTGGCACACTTATATCAATCACCCTGTATGCAAAAACAGCACCAAACAAACAGGTTGTGACTTGTTTTTTAAGTGGGGAAGGAAAGGACTAAGTAGCAAGTGTGTGAATCATATATAGGTTGTCAATCAAACCAATTGAAGATAAACCAAACCGATACAAATTTTTACCTTTTGAAAAAATTCAATCCTGAATTTCATATTATTAATACAGAGAAGTAAATCAGTGAAGTATTGCAGTAATATAAAATATGGATGGTTTATTCAAAACATATTCTTAAACATTTGTCTTTGTAAATGATGTAATGGTGAGCTTACCTTCATTTTTGGGTATTAAAAGATCTAAAATTTTCTTTGCTTGAAGGGGCCAAATTTGTTTGATCGTATCCCGCAACTCTTCATCTGCCTGGTCCATCTCTTCGGCTGCAAAAATATTTTTATGATGATATATAAAAATTATTTTATTACTATAAAAAGGGATATCTCTAGCTTCTGTTTTACCTGTTGAACATAGTCCTTCAAGCCTTCAAAGAGAAATACCTAGAAACACCATAGTAAGAAATAAACTGCCACAAACAGATTGAGCCCTCTGGGCATAATAAACTCAGCACAATTCTGATGAAGGTTATAAGGTCTGAAGAGTACATGATTTTTTGGTGGGTAGTCTTAAGCCCATAGGAGTCTCACACTACTGGCTAGCCACCTGTGTGCATAACAACAATAACCCGTTTTTTTTTTACCATTGATAATTTTAAATTATGGAAATAGAGTCATACCACAACATAAAATTAAAACTTAAATAAAATCATCTTACCACTTCTCATTTTGATGCTGAGATTTTCCCGGATGAGAGCAAAGAGCGTCGTGGTGAAGTTGACCTTGCCGTCATCGTCCAAGGGCATGTTCATCCTTATCAACTTTTTATAAGCTAAGCGGTTAGGGCACTTGTTACCGAATCCCAGAGGTGGATCAATATTTTTCAACATATCATACATTTCTGTGTAGTGAATTTTACCCCTGCAAGAGAAGAAGCTTGGTAAACTATATATGTGAGAAAAAAATTTGACAAAGGGATAATATTAAAAGGACTATGTATTTTATATTTAAGTGAATTGTAATCAATGTTCATCTATTTATAATAAGAATTATTAAAGTATATACAATCCAATTTATAGGAAACTTTAGTAGGGTGAAAAAAACATACAAGCAGCTCTGCAGATTTAAACAAAGCTATGAGAATGAGACTGACTCACATATAGAATTTTTGATTATTATGGTTTTCTTTAATGTATCAAAGGTTCTATCTATTACATGACTTTCCATGTACTTGTTACAAAATTGAGGTGGAAGATAGATTTATTGTCTAACTATGGCAAAAATAACATCAAACTATAGAATTAATGAGCTCTGTCTGATTGCTGAAGATATTTTACTTAATCAAATGGAAAAAATACTTTGTGAAAAATAAAAATACCTACAATGTAGCATCAACACAAAATTGACTAATACTTACGTAGCGTTTGGATCATATTCTGCCCATATTCTTACAAATTCATCTAAATGATGTGCTCCTAATATAGAAGAATCTCTGGTTAAATAATCAAAATTATCCATGATGACAGCAACGAACAAGTTCAGCATCTGTAAAATAGAAAACAGTATACAATTATTAACATCAACTGGCAATGTCTATATCTGTGTCTGTTAGGATTTCAAATTGCAGTAATCAATTTAAGACACTATTTAAGAAAAAAATCATTGCTTATGGGATGCAAAACCAAGTGTCAGATTATCGAGTACCAACTGCATTAATCGTACACTATTTCTGTTTAAGAGCTGAAATTTATTTGAATTTGGTTATTATGAACACTTATACCATGCTTGTTTTGCTGAAGATCTGAAGTCGACAAAGTGGTGTAATTGATGCTAGTGAAATACTTAAAGCATACAATTCTGTAGACTGTGGAAATCCTAGACTATTGATAGAGTAAGACATCCCATTCCCACGTTGAAGCTGTGGCAGGTTTCAGGATAAAAAGTAATTGATAAAGTAAATAAAGTAATTGAATTAAACCTCCAACCAAGTATGCTGTTGTCAATTACTGATTTCTGGTTTGTAAACAAAGTGATAAACCAAGCCAAACTGAAATGACAATTTACTGTAGCATCTCTTCAGTCTTCATATCTCACAAATCACAAAAAAAAAAAAAAACTATGGGAAGAAACAGAATTATTACATTAGCTTGCTCTACAAGTTGCTCATTCATCTATGGAAATACTTACGAGAAATGAACAAAAGAAGATGAACGAGACGAAGTAAGCGTAAGCGAGGTTTGATCCGCATTCATTTTCCGCCTTGGAGGCCTGTACATCGCACGCTCGCCCCTTGATACAGGACAGCATGATCGAAGGCCAGGCCTCCCCCGTCGCACACCTGGTACATAAGAAAACCATCAGCTGCGGCCTCAAACTGTTAGGCATAGTAGTTCAGTACCAGTAAATCAATGGGTTGTATGAAAAAAGGCTTTATAGAGACAAGTTATTGTAAATAAGCATATTACTTTGCATTTCAGAACAATGTTGTTGTCCCAGATGTTGAATCCTTAATTACTAGTAAATTACGAATTGGTTAAGTTCAGTTCAATGGTCAAAAGTCAACCACAGTTTTCTTTCACAACCAAAAATGCAAATACGAAGAGTTTTAGTGATGGTAGGGCGTACATTATGCTAAAAATTTACACAAAAATGCATCTAGTACCAGTAAAATGGCTTAAATACCTACAATAGTATAATCCTTGTTTTCTCAAGTGCCAACTAATTTTGGTTCTTCCGTTTAACCATCTTGAGGTCTACAAGGAGCCAAAAACAATTACTTCATTTCCCTTCAAATGAAGTGATTGTTTTCGATTCCTTTTAGGTCTGGATAAGGTTCAACCTTAGAACCAAAACTACAGCAACCATGGATTACTTTATGCAGGTATTCAAACAACATTTTGATTCAAAACCGTAATCCGAAGGTTAAACAGCTTTCTTGAAAAAATACTGTTTGTAGATGATTATTGATTATTGAATTGATTTTGCAATGCATCGAAGCTTTAAGCTTAACAAATGTTGTATATGACATTAATACTTACATTTCCAAAGTTGTTAGTAAATTTATAAGCAGTAGAAAAAGTTGAGAATTTTAAAGCTAAATCTAGTATGAAGAAAAATAGTTTAAAGAGTTGTAATATACTATAAAGCAAATTGTAGAATTTGAATTTAAGAGAAGTTTTAGAAAATATAAAACAAAATTATAAAATGGCTATAATTCTAATTTATCCGCTAATTTAATTTCTATTTCTATTACACACCCAACAATACATGAACGTCCACCCTAAAATCTAAAACAAAACCCTACTACTTCAGGGATTCAATACAAAAGTGCAATTCTACCTCTTCCAACTAAATCTCACTATAAGTAAACGGTAATTTGCAATCAATCGTATGCCTATGTACACTTTTTATCATGTTAAGGTACTGTATTTTATATATGTGTAACTGAACAATTTATGTATGTTAATCCTACTAACTGACCACAGATCAATAAAACTAAACACAACTTTGCTAGATTTCAAAAAATTATTGCTATTTTTCATTAAATAATTGATTATATTATGATGTTTTCTAAACCAAGTCAAGGTTAGATAGTTAAAATAAAATACAATGTTTTTGTTCATTTAAAAAATATCTAATTACCAAAACTAAAATGCACCCCCTGGTTGAACCCTGAATATCATCCTAAAATTAAAAGATGAAAAAAATGATCAGTGTGTAAAACAGCTCATGTGTTCCTTAGGACAAGTATGTACAATACAATGATGTTATTAGTTACATTGATACACACATTGCAACATTCCTCTATTGCAAGACATGTTAACGGTTTTGTTCCATGCAGTTGAGATCTACTTTAATAACTGACCAGAAAAACAGGGGCTTTAATGATGTGAACAAATAACTTTTCAGGAAACTCAGAAAAGTTCACTTATAGACAGAGTTTTGGAATATAAGTTTACAGAAGTTGATATAGATCATTGTCTACAAAATGTGTACTAAGAGAATGATTACTAAGAGATAAGGTATAAGGGCTTTATACTGTGCCTGTTTCATTAGGAAGGACCTTTTCTTCAACGATTTATTAGGATTTTAGAATTTTTCCTCCTAGTTTGGTAAGGTGTATTTAGATTAAATTATATGAATAGTTTTTCTACTACAGTATTCAGTCACCCATAACCTGATCAGCTTTTATGTAATTTATTAGTTTTTCATACATATTTTATAGTTTGAAAGAACCAAGATAAAATTGTGTTACAACGCAAATAGAAGTAAATTTAACTAAAGAGTGACAAAAACATATTTATTGGCAACGGATCTATTAAGTGTAATTTCATTGAGACTATTTAGTGTCCATTCGCAATAACCTATCGTGTTGCGCTAGTGTAAATGTGCAAAAATTCTATTAGACTATTATATTAAAAAAATTAAAACATTCACAAATGGTGAGTGTCAACACCGTCTGTGACTTGTTCATGCCGTATTCTAGTTAATAATCGATTATAGAGTGTAAAAGTGCGAAAAGTGTACTGAATATGTTCTGAATTACCTGAATAGCAGCATGAGACCTTGGACAAAACTGCGGAAGTTGTTGTGTCGGTTTATGGACGCGTCAGGCTGTAGAGCTATGTTACCAAACACCTGGGCACATACAGGGAGGGAGCTACAGTATACACCCTACATGAGCGCATACAACTTCCAAGACATACATACAGGGTCGTATCATACAAGGGGGCCTCGAACAGGGATATGTTCTGACATCCGACTATCTACGTCGGTTACAGATATCAGGACAAATCCCTCAAGTTCTGATGATGATGATGGTGGTGAAAGTCAATATTGGGATGGTTGAAAAAATAATGGTGCATAAAAAGAGTTTTGAGCCTGAATTTTTATCCAACCGTGTTAGTTTTTGTTTAAAAGAAACTTGTGTTATTATTTGTAGCTTTTTTTAAGCCACAAAAAAACAGTTTGGGAACACTTTTTTACTCCTTATTTCCGCACTGATTTAACTAAGCAAAAAACCAAGTTAGGCTTGTTGGGTTTGTTTGTTGAGGTTTTTACCAAAGCAATCTCGACACCTAAAAACATTCACCCAAGGCATCGGTCCCAGCCTAGGTCCTATACATTTTAGATGGTGAAATATTTTATACGAATGAGAATTAGTAATTACAGTTTCCATCTAACAGTCCCCACCTTTTTCACTCTAGTTAATTTTTCAACATTAATGATTAAAATAAGTCTTTTTTGTAATTTTTGTTATTGGAGAGTTTGAAACTCTAATGTTTACATTTGGGTGGGCTTGGTTCTGTCGCTTGAAGAACCTACTGCACAAATTATGAGAGTTTAATTTGGAAGAATGATTTAAAGTTATTCTCGATCACAAATTTACATGGGACTAAAAATTTTTATCCAAATCTAAAAAAAACATTTTCAACCTCACCACGTACTAACTTCCGAAATTTGTAAGTAAGTTAAAAATCAGACATATTATATTTCCAAAATCCAAATACACGTTTAGACCTAAGTTCACAGGATCCAACTTTAAGGAATGAATGCTAATGAAATGTTTTACCAATGAGCAAGAAACCAACAGGTATTAAACAACAAGTTTCACAAACCACAACTCTGAAACACCAACATTTACCACGAGTACTTCAAACCACCACAAGGTTCAACAGTGTTACATATATGTAGAACAAAAGGTCAAGGTTATATACACTTGGGTCCTACTTGGAAGTTGTACACTATGAGTACATTACAGTTATCTACACTACAATAGACCTACACGAGCCTCTATACACGACAAAACAGGCACGACGGGTTCCTTGGGGCTACCTCCTCGTTAAGCCTGCGAGTTGTTCTGTTCTCACTTGTGTAAGTCTCTGACAGAATATAAACATGACTTTGCTTGAGCCAACAATGTAAAAGAGGACAAATTGTGAGAGGTTAATATATCAGCTGTTGAAAATAATTTCAACCAAAAAGGTTGTCTCCAGTAATGAGAAAAAGTTTTTGCTACGAGAATCGACTTATATTTTTATTATCGTGGTATATTTTTCATTTAAATAAAATGTGTTATCTGACTCTTTTTATCATCTATTTGCTTGTCCGAATTTGACTTTAGGCCTGTGTGTGGAACCTATCAAGCAGGTACAGCAAAAAAACTGTATTTATTTTGCGAAATGCAAACCTGAACATCACTACAATGACAATGCTTGTAGTTTGTCGCTCCCAACTAAGCCACCAATTCACCAAAGGTAAGATGTTACTCAGTTTTAATATGTGTTCAGAAATGTCAAGTTATTTCAGAAATAAGGTCTAAGAGTAAAAGGGGCTTTTTTGTAAGTGAGTACAATTCAAATATAGTTTAAGAATATGCAGCCTAAATAAGTAAGACAAGATTTGAGGATTAAGATGAATTTATCTCAACAATAATCTTTGAAAATGAATATTATGTGAAAAACATTTAGAGGACGGAATTTGAACAACCAAGTGATAATTGGTAGGTTTTCTGGACAAGTAAGCTCAAACAAAGTCAGTTTAGGATACATGAAAACCACATCCAAAGCAAGAACAGAACATCCGCAGGAGCCCGAGACCTCCAGGTCTACCAACCGCACTCACCGGAAGAGCAGCAAAAGTGCGGCGAAGAACGTCTGAAAGTTGTTGTGCCGATTGATTGATTGCTCAGGTATAAACTTCATGTTGCCAAACACCTTGAAAGACATGACAGATCCCTAAAGCTATTCTGAGCTTTGTTTTATTTCTGCTACAACCACATACATTCATCTCTCATATTCACTAATGCAGTCTCACTCACAATCGCTTCAATCGACATGCGTCAAAACTGTGCCAATATTTCATGACTATGTTGATGGCTAAGACTTTGCAAAGTCATACGTGTGTCAAAGAGGGTTGTCCGTGAATTAAGGTTTCCAACGAGTGACAGTTCTTGACCAAGAAAGAGTTTGAACCTGACAAAAGTGCCATGTTCTTTACTGCTCTTACTACGGTATCCTTCTTGGATAGCACCATGAATCTTTGTACCCCCAAATATGAACCTTTTTCTGTAATTAGTTTTCTGTAGTCTAGATGTTAGAGGTTAACGAAACTATAACAGTCGATTGTCAGATTACCTTAATTTATGGACAACCCTCGTTTACTGTAAAATCTAAAATTACGATCAAAACCAAATTCTTTTTTACTGTTCAGAATATTAAAATTTAAAAAAATATTTGGTAACAAACTGGTCTAGATTCTAATTTATAAGAATGTCACTTCATTTGCAGCACTGGATGCAATTAGTAGTTGGAACAATCTTTTATTAGAAAACCAGGAGGGACAGTGAAATTAAATTATTTAAATTTAAAGCCATACCCAACTCACTGATCAACTTCCACCATCCAGCTTCACTATCAATTTGGATAAACCATCCAACATCTAATTCAATCTAATTGGAATCTAATTCAAATATACTAATTTAAAAATAAGCTCAAATATTTTAAACCTAAAGTATTGACTTTTAGACAGAATGGTTATAGTTTAACACCTTTTAAAATGTATTGATGCAATATAGTAGAATTAAAGAGTAAAGTAGGTCTACATCTTATTGAATTATTGATTTTTTAATGAATTTGAATGAATTTAATCTCAAACATACTCGGTTCTACAAATACATTTTTATCGTCAAACCTTGACTGCAAGTATGGTACTTTTGAATTATTTTTGAATTTATTTTGAATTTGATATCCAAACAGTGAATTCTAGAGTACTCATAGGATTTATCTACAGTTACCTGCATTCCAATAATAGCGTAAATGAAGAACAACATAGCTATGAGCAGACAGACGTAAGGCAAGGCCTGAAAAATGCATTTAGTAAACAGATTGCATATAATTATTAAAATATATACGAGAATACTGCAATAAATCTATGGATTTACTTCCAAAAATGTTAGATGTATGCATTGTACATTTTTGTTATTGACAGTCATATTTTTAATAGTCATCTGTCTTTTTTTGGCTTAGTCTGACAGGCATTTTATTATTAACAGTAGTTTGATGAAATAAGCAAGCCAGTGGTGTTTTGTCAGATTTTTAGGTAAAAATTTGTTTTTAAATAGGTTTATTTTAAAAGTTTTCCTCAACTTAAGACCTGATAAAGCTTTGTTTTTACAAGAGTAATGAGTGTTTATTTGTGGATCATATTAAACAATTGTTATCCTATAACTAATGTGCTTATCAGGAATATTTTTGTTTACGAATATTATACTATCAGTTTCTCCGAATAAAAATTATTCTCAGTGGCTACTATAGCTTTTTAACACACTATGAAATAAAAGGTTACCTTGAAAGACTGAACAAAGGTCCACAGCAGGATTCGTATCGTGTACCCTTGTCTCAGTAGTTTGATCAACCGAGCCGCTCGAAACAGCCTCAGGAAACCCATGTTAAATGAATTATCCTACCATGAACAAAACATTAAATTATCGCTGCATTAAAAACATTCCAGGTTCACAATTTTTTTTATAAGTTAGACTAATATCACATTTATTTTTTAAGAGAGAGTACCAAAATGAAGGCTTGGGAAGTGATTCACAACTCATGTGAATATTAAACTACAACTTAACTGAATATGTAATACCATTACTAAATCAAATTAGATTAAAAGAATCGGTAGTAAAAAAAAAATAGACATATTTCTGGGGTAAGTAAAAACGAGTAATACCTTTCATATTTCTAATGACAATTTGATTCTACTAAGAGATAAAGTTGTTGAAGAAGTCAGAAATTTACTTCTTCGTACTATTATTAAGATAGAATTCGGAGAACACCAATAAAACATCAACAACCTTATTTTAAATCTAACAGTTAACAAATGAATTTCAAAAACAATAAATGCGAGAGCAAACTAAAAAAAATCTACAGCTCCAACAGCACAGCGAGAAAGCCTCAAGTGAAATTTGAAATGGAATGGAACAGACCATTGTTATTTTTTTTAATAATCTTCAGTCTGTATAGTGAGATTATATAAGAGAAGTAAATTTAATCAGTATATGATAATTAGCTGAATTCAGAAGTGAGCTTCAGCTTAGCAAGGTCATCCAAGTTCAATGAGGATGATACACAATACTTGGAAAGCAGAAGAAATATTAATCTGATAAATAAATATATAAAGGGCTACAATCTATGTATTAAAATGAGGTTATTTATTAATTTATGTAAAAATAAAACAAATATATTGCTTCAGTAGCAGCAGATATTATAGCTGTTGTGTAAGATGGATGTGATGGTAGTATAACTTTATCCCTTTCAGACCCGGGAATCTTAGTCACCTCGACCAAATTGAATAAATGTTGCATTTTAACCTAGATTTCAAATACTAAAATTATTGATTAGGTTTGTTTTAAAGACAAAACCTTCATAATACCATATTAACCATTTCAGTTTCAGCAATAATTAGCATTATATACGTTTAAAAACATAAATAAAACAGTCATTAACCTTAACAGTTGCCTCTTTCTCCTATCTTACCTTGACATTGCAACAAAACAATCAGTGTTACCATAAGATATGAAGGTAGACTGCAAAACCAAAATTCCCAGCTGATCTCCATAACCTACACAATCGATGCGTACAGGTCTGAGCAACGGAAAGATCCAGAAACTTAAAAAAAAAATAAAAATAAACATCTAACCTACACAATTGTGTTGGTTAGGTTGTCAGGACTTAAAAATTTACCTACACAAATGAGTGTGCTGGGTCTAAAAGGGATAAGTGACACTACAATTCTTAACACTTTATAGCCTGTGATTACCTAGTCATAACCTGTTTATAGGGTTAATATAATCACACTTAAAAATTCCCAAAACATTATAGTTACACTTTTTCAACCAAGTAATATATATTTTTAATGATTACGCAATCATAAAATGATTATTTTGTTTTTCTTTACAAGATGTGCTATTTTAATCGTATTCTACTAAGATTATAAGATAATCTTATAAGAATATAATGAGGATCAAGCTTATTAAAATTGTAAGTTTACGAAGAGCAAATTAAATCTACCAAATATACTTCTACATTTATTTTTGTAAACACACCATGGATCAATCTCCTTATCATTTCTTGTTTAACAATTGAGTAAATCACACATTACATAATCAAAGCTAATAAAATACTTTTACTTGATTTACCAGTAATCTATTTCTTAAATATGTATATACAGTAACTAACAGAAAGCCAAAGAAGACAAATGATTTGATACACCAATGAATGCAGCGGGCCAAGACCATCTAGTAAACTGGCAACTACACCTAGTTGAAAAATGCATCAAAGTCCATCAACTGCCTCACATGAAGCCAATGACCTAGGGCTACGAGGAGGAACTCAACTGAAGAAGTGGAAACCGACCGGAACCGAGAAGCGGAAACGGATGAATTGACAAGCTTGGCAGAGTGGTTCGGGTGACTACACACTACCGGGTGGTTCGGGTGTTCGGGTCGTATCACCCGAGACAGACGAGCAGGCAACAACACAATCTCATGAAGCAAATCAACAGAACAGAGAGTGGAAAAGAGCAGACACAAAGAAAATGGAAACATAAATAAACAATTCAATATGTACATGAAATGCGGCATAGGTATGGAACAGGCATTAAAAAGTTTTACTGAAATTCTATATTTCTGGTTGTAGTCAAACATGTAGTGCTGTTTTTTTTTTTTCTTGATTGTGGAAATTCCTTTAATGTAGGTTATAATTTATTTAAAACTCATTGAGGTTTAATTAAATTTTTTTATTTGCCTAAATTATTTTACTTATTGCACTTACACTTAAGTTACCTTTCATAAACAAGTTGCAAGAAAAGGTTAGATGATGTAGCAATTTTATACAAGTTGGTTTTATACACAAACTACTAAACTTCATTTTTAGTGTGCTGAAAGAAAATTCTTGTTTAGTTCACATGTATCATTATCATTTATTCAACTTTTCCTATATTTTAATTAACTTTGAGGCCTACAATTTTAATAGTAAATACATTATTTTATACATTTGCTGCTGCTGAAGTCAAAACACAGTCTTAATACATGTAAAATTGATTTAGGTAGCTCTAACTTCAGTAAAAAAATAGAACATTAATTAGGAAAATATTTAAAAATTTAGGAACAAATCTTTAGAGACTATTAAATCAAGTTCATTATGAAGTTAAGTTGGCCGCTTGGTTTAAATTAAAATAAAAAATCAGAAGATTTAAGAAAGCAAGGATGATACAAAAAGTTGTTCATGGGAAACAAAATGTTGTAAAAGTAAAATCAACAAAACAAAATATTTCTGTGTCATAAAATGTGGAAAACACTGAACAATTTTCTATAGAGTGGGACTTGAGTTAAATAGTTGACCACTGCGTGACCTGAGCAGTTGTGTTGCCAGCATCAATAGGTTGCCAATGGCGAGATAGTTTTATTTTCCTAATAATAATAAAATAATCTACCAACTTAAAGTGGGACTGTTAGATAATAGCTAATAACTTTAGGACACATTAAATTTTCACCAAATAACAAAATGAAAATAATTTACTATAACATTTTCTTCTCATTAGAGATTAATGATATAGGTTTAAAATTAAACAGGTCTTTGAAATTTACCTTGTACCTTGAGTTGGTAAGTCTTACTATCGCCTTTGACAAAGTTAGTGTAGTACAGAATAGTATCTTTATTTTAAAGAAAGTGTGCTAGAATGAGCGACGTAATAAAGGGAGGCAAGGTAATCTTTTAAAGTTGGCCAAACAATGTATAAGACGAGGAATGAAAAGTGTGACATTGTTACTTGTTAAAGTATTGATGTGTACCTATTTTATCCTTATTGTATACCTATTGCATAATGTTATGAGAATGTTGAAGTGAATTTCGTCAATCAGAATGAATCCCTTTCTTTATACCTCATGATTTAATTCAGGCCCTAAGAGATGTTCTTGATAAATATATTTATATCTAATTATAAAATGGTTATCGACCAAAAGGACATATTGGTGATGAAATTACAATGCGTTTGTGATATGCCATGTAGTGGCAGAGACTTAAATGGTGCTTAATTCTTTAAAAAATGTGAACGGGTAATATATCAAACACCTAAACGCTAAATTTAGACCAAAGCAGTTTAATATGAGAAATACTATTGCAATACTCAAACGACAATAAATATAAATATTCTTCTTAACATATAGCATTAAAAAATCTTGTCTAATAACATAATACATAAGTATATTGACCATTACTATCCAAGCATCACTGAATTAAACGCTGAACCTTGAAGATATTATTCTACTACAAAAAAATTTAATAGCAGTATATATGTTCCATTCCTGAAATCAAATATTTCTTTTTAGGAACATAAATTAAATTTGATTTTTCATCAATGTCTGATTCCCTTTAATTTAGACTTTATCATATTCTAACTCCTTACAAAAAAAACCTTCTCATTACGCAGACAACTCATCCAAGGCCGAAAATGATAAATATTTAACAACACGTTTTTATTTATTTTATATTTGGTTTCAATCTAAATTATAAATAACAATAGAGTTTCTTTAACAAGTTTTCAATCTCAAAAGAAAATAAGAAAATTTTAATTTTTTTACGCCCGCCACTGAAATGATTTTCTCTTGGCAGATGAACCATAACTTTTAAGTAAATAGTTTATTTATTTTATTTTATCATCTTCAAAATGTTTCAGGCAAGACTTATTACTGATAAGTTTCTTTTAAGGCTTAAAATACTTTAATTTACTTTTAAAGTGTTTAATTAATGTTATTCTGAATAAAGAGATTACATGGACACAGTACTTTTGAAGCTCAAAGATTACTTTTTGTTTATATAAATTAGTTAATGTTAAATGCCATGTCGAATAAGAGTTCAAATTCACTGGAAACAATTGTTAAACTAACAATCCTTGGTCTTTACAGTAAGGATTGAGTTGAGGATGCTAAAATTACTTCTTCAATGATATTCATGTTTCTAAACCTAACAATTTAAATATTAATATACATATATAATATCCACAATGTCAAAACAAAATGATGAAAAGTACTTGAACTACAAAGCACAGGGGTTTTTCAAACTACACTATGGCGATACTTATAGATTTTATTTACTGGGACAAAAGTATAGACCTACGATGGTTTTAAAACTTGTAACTTAGTGGTTATTTACATGCTTCAGTTAAGCTTTAAAGGTTTACTTTTATTCTATCACAGTTTTCGTAGCTACTGCAATACACTATAAGTAGTCTCAAATCTACAATTCTCTTCAGAAAACTTTAGTTAGCTTAGATTTTAAAACAAAACTGGTACATCCCAAATAGAGGGCACATAACCACATCGTAAATGAAGCATACGAAACACGACTAAACTACAGACTCGAAATGTAAACACATCAGACAGGTCTTGCCTCTATCTACAAGCATAGTGTTGTCAATAGAGACGGCGTCTGTCTCAGCAAACATCTACAAACTAATACACAAGTCAGTCAACAACCCAAGTGGCGGTGAGAACCTCGTAAATAAGTGTCTCGGTAAAATAGGTGATCAAACAAAAGTAAAATCAGACAGTAGTTAAGGGCAATACTAACATACACCTAACTATTACATACATAGAATCCAATGCAAATGTTAAATGCAGCTGCCACAAAAGCTTTTGCGCAGAAAAGTCTAACGGCAAAGCATCAATAGAGAAAACCAAAATTGGTCCCTCCGGAATATCCTCTCACCTTTGTAGAAGCGTCAAAGCCGTTTAGGTACATTTGACCATTAGGACTCTTTGGAATGGGGGTTTCCTTATTCTTTTCCTAAACAATAACCCTTAGTGTCTTGACTTTTGTATTACAATAATTTTACAAGTTTAGTAGAAACCAAACAAATGTAAATTTACATTTTAAATCAAACTACTGATCAGTTACAATCAAGGATGATTTAAAAAACTCTTTTGCGAGAGTTCTGCATTCAAACTTTCTTGATGAGTTCAAAATACCCAACAGTCCAATAGCCAACAGAATTTGGCAAAAAATGTCAACTACATAATATTTTCTCAACCTCACCTACGGGCACATGTAATTCCAGGCAAAACTGTTGTTGGTTGTAAACTCAAACTGTGATATAAATAGGCCTATCAAATGTTTTCTTTTTTTATAGCAACAATCAAATGATACTTAATAATTTGTGATGAGTTAGGTTAGGTTCACTATAATCCACACTGTATTCACTATAATTCATTAATTATATTATATATGATTATATTATATATGATTGTATGAGTTAAAAGCTTTGTAACCGACAAAGACCAGCTGTTCCTGTAGCCCATGATCATATTAAGAGTCCAATAGTTAAGTACAGCTGAGAGCCCATTTAGTTTCGAACCATAAAAAGCTACTGACTTTTCCCAGTATTAAATCAGTAACCATTAGATTTGATTAGCTCCATTAGGTAACCATTAGCTCCCTGTGAAATGGATCTGCCAGTACAAGCTAAATATGCCTTGGCACATTAAACTTGTTAATTCTATGGGTAACCATTTAAATTGTTTAAAAAAATATTTAAATCACAGATTCACAAATGTTGCATCAAAATAAAATTAAGATGAAGTCAAATAGTATGTTGGCCCTACTTACTTTCATGCTAATATTATTAATTTCATTTATTGTCTCAGTTTGTACAATAATAAATCGTTCAGAGTTTAAAAGGAGGGTGTGAAATAGTCAGTTTTCTAAATATTTAAAATTTATAATTTTTATACAGTTATTTCCAAATATTAGTGAATAGGCCTAGTAGATATTAATACCAAACACAAAACAAAAAGGGCAGTAATTTTTATTATGTTTGTAAACGAGGCTATGGTTTATCTCAATCACTTAATTATCAGTGACATCAGACATCATTACATTCTGTGTGGATTTGAACCCCGCAACTTAACTTTACTAAAACTCAAAGTCAGAATGTTTTGCTTAAGATATACTATAACCAAAATAGCTTAAATACAACTCCTAAAAGTTTAAAACACCTAAAATAGTTCAGAAATAATTTTTTTTTTTTCAAACCGACAGTTATTTTAGAAATAAGGCTTGATAAATTTATTAAAAGAATGTAAACGTTAAAATATTGACTTTTTAAAAGTAATAAAAACACAAACAAGCAATAACACAACAATATTGTACAAATAGAATAAAACTACTCACCATCAGCTCTAAAACTACAGCATCAACGATGCTTCCGATGACTGTTGTAAAATCAAACACATTCCACGGATCTTTGAAGAAGTTCTGGAATGATTCAAACAATCTTTAGAATCAATTTTTTTATTTTTAAAAACTGCCAATGTGAATACATTACTCATATGACTTAACCCATTTATTTATATATAAAAAATACTTTTTAATCCAGGATTATGGTGTGGTTATTTGGTATATAAATGTTTAAATTTTACCGCTAATTTCTTTGCAAAAACATCTTTCAAGTTACCGGTACTAAGAATAGAAAGATATTAATTAAGTACTGTACTATACATCTTTCAGTTTTAAAAACTGTTTGAAATAACGAAGTAAGTCTTCACAATATCACATACAATATTACATAGCTAAAATAAATAAACTAAAAAACTTGGAATGAAATTAAAAGAAACATTTTCATTGTATTAAGATAATGTGATATCTGACATTACATACCACTTGCGTGATTGTATTTCAAATAAGATATATTACATTACATATCACTTGCGTGATTGTATTTCAAATGTGGTATACATTACATGTAACTTCCGTGATTGTATTTAAAATGTGATGCATTACATAATGTCACTTCCGTAATTGTATTTAAAATGTGATAGGTTAGATTACATATCACTTCTGTGATGACTTAAGATCAATTTGCATCCATCAATAACTACATTTCGTCATACATTTGTTTACTACTAAAGTACTAAACAGCCAAAGACAACACATACTACCAATGTTCTTTACCTTCACTCCAAACGCGATGAGTTTCAAAATACACTCGATAAGGAAAAAACTAGTGAAGACCAAGTTCATGATCTGCAGTATATCGTCGAGGAGGGGGGGAGCGTCTCGATACTGTAGAACAATGCCAGCGTAAATACAGCGGCCAGCGCAGCTTACTTAGATGCACCGTGTTCCATGCAAATTTTTTTCCCGTTAATTGAGAAAAATAACATATTACCTCTTTGATTCTATTAAAACCAGGCCCATCAAAACTGGTAATGTAAAATGTTAGTGGAAAAAAACTTTGGATGGAAAACGGAGCAGCTTTTGTAAAATAAGGCACAGAGCAAAGAAGATGAAATGGCAGTTTATATTTCTGAAATATTAGCTGAATGAGCAAATTCAAAACCATCGCTGAGTTAAGTTTTGAATTATCAATGAAAATCATAACTTTTCACTGCATATTTTTTTATGGTTAGGTATCACAGAACTATTACAAGTGTTATACTAATAGCTATACAGCTTATTGCTAGTTGGTCAGACTTAAACAATGTCTTATATCACGTAAAAGTATTTTACAATACACGATGAAAAATTAATCAACTTTATCATGACCCTTTTTTAAATGATGCAACAGATTGATGTCTTTTATTCTGAAAAAGACACCTGACATTCGCAACTTAACTTTACTAATGACAATTTAAAACTCTGAATGAAGCAAATGACAATCAGTGATGGTTTTGAAATGAATTAATACCGATGAAAATTTATGAACAACAAATAAATAAACTAAGCTTAGCCAAATGACTGAAAGCCAAAATGATTGCTGCTGCGCATTTGCACCTGGAAATGAGACAAATGAGAGTTTAGGTAGATTATTGGCAGTTGAATGCTGAGCGGCTAACGTACGCATAGTTGACGAAAGTACCTCCCCAATGTTCCACGGGATGACTCGTTCTGGGGAAAATCTAGGTGATGAGAATTAAATTCAATAAAAATTACAGTCACTATTGACATTGCTAGATTAGACATGAAACAAACTTACAACAGATCAAACGACACACAAAAAGGGAATCACATTTAAACGAAAAAAAAGCTCCTTACTTTTTTCCCAAACCTCTTTTATATTCAAAAGTCGATGTGAAGCATAAATGTTGTAGCAATTGTTGGCAAGCAGATTTAGTTGGTATGGGCATGAATGCACAAAGCGTGAGCGGACTTACCTAATTATTGAAAGACGGGACTGCTTAGAAGGTGTGGATAAAAGACGGAAGTAAATGCTAGATTACCTGATGGGTTGACCAAGGGTTATCAAGAGCCAGATATAGTTATAGCTTGATGTGAAACAAATAGTTTTTTGAAGAGATTTTTTTTAAATTTACATAATTAGATACAAATATATAAAACACAATAAAAAAAAGTTTGTGTATTGCAATATTTCTTGTCACAAATTGTGAAACAAGACCTTCAAAAATCGTTTAATTTTTACAACAAATATTTACCTGTTGTTAAGTAGTTATTTATGAAAAGAATTCTCAATTGTTCAAATTGACTACTGTACCTAACATGAACAAAACTCGTAATTTGTTTCACATTTCAAGCTTTACCTTGTAACCCAGAGCAATAATCTTCAGAATGCACTCCACAGTAAAGAAAGTGGTGAAGACTTCGTTCAGCTTTGATTGTATCAGTTTTTGTCTCTCACTGGACCTGTTAGTCTATTTCAAAGAACCACACAAAATAATGGGTAAACAAGACAAACGGGATTGCATGGTTATTAACTGCATTATTAAGTGAGGTTTTATTTGAGTAAAAAGCATGCATTGACGTAATTTTTATTAGATTGTTTGTATAATATATTGTACATATATTTGAGATATTTCTTTTAGTCTATGTGCTGTCAAAAAACACTGCACAATTTTTTAGGTCTGAATCTTTGTAAAATGGTCAAAAATTTAGAAATTCAATAAATATAAAACTATGGTATTTAAATTATAATATTTAAGCTCGATGAAGTTTGAAAATATTTTAGGAATCAAAACATTAAAAGTATGAGCATTTCATTTTTCCATGTCCATTACAAGGACCATTACAATATTGGCCAAAATTGATAAAAATTGGGTTTAGTAAGACAAGATGATAAAAGTAAATAAAACTAGAAGGAATCTTTTTTTTACACAAGGTGTTTTTTTAACACAACCCTAACCCAAATTAAAAGTACAGAGATTCACTGTTTAAGTGGCTAAACAAGCTCAAATGTTAGCAGCCCTGCTTCCTTTCCTTCATTGTCGTTCAGCTGATTTATATTTTAGCATTATATTTTATCCACATTGCAAATATATACTATGCTATTATACTAAACTTGTAATTTAGGTTGTGTTTGGTATGCCAATAAATATGAGTCCAGTAAATTATCATAAACTTAGCCAGCTTTCTACATAGGCAAGGACAAATTCCTAAGCTTCTAGATGCTATGTTGTTTGTATGATCTAAGCAATGGTTACAGACAGAGCTTGCTAAAAAACGTAGTTTCAATCTCTAATTTACATAATTTTGTTTCACAACAATAACTTGTGTTTCACACAATATACAACTGTGATTAAATTTGTGTTTATTGAAACAAAAACTGATTCCTTTAAAAGCTTCATCTTTACTTCAAGATTTTAAAATATTTAATGATATGAAAGAGTAAAATTTTAAAAAAACAGGTTTTAGAACCAAGAAACATCAATAGTCAATTAACAGATGAGAAAAAGTCAGCAGTTTCACTAAGCGATAAAATACATAGGAATAATTGTTTGATTTAGAATAATATTTCATAACTTGTCATTACTCATCCTAGTCCAGGCGCTAAACGGGTTGAGTATGCACTGAAAGTCTGACAAAATTTGACTTTTGATTATTGTTGGGGACATCTAGTAGATGAAAAAAATCGATGATGTCGCATTTCTAGGGTGGTCACAACTCGGGGGGGAGGGGGGGAAGTTGCGCGGGTCATCGGTTTATGTTTCCGCGTCTAACTCTCAAACGGTTAATGATAGAAAGGTGAATTAAGCGTCTATCTACGCCTAAATATATTGTCCTTCAAAATGGTTATTACAACCTTTCTTCTATCTCTTATACTTTGGGCGCTAATCAACATTTATTGCAAAAAATAAAATTTAAAAATACTTTAAAATGAATTATCGGAAATATTGCGCTTGTTTAGGGCATGTTACAAACTATTTATGGTTAGAAAAACTAACAAGTAGTACAACAGCACCAAGTTTAAAGAAATCTGTGCAAGAACAACAGAGCTACGTTGATTTCAGTAAGAGTAAACGTGGAAAATTCGTAGTAGTATCGAGGCGCGCATGGATGGTACGTAGCCCACAGTCAATATAGGTTTGATGTTGTAAGTAACTATGGGAAAGCTGAATTTTTCTATGCTGTTAGACCATGTTGAGATGATCATTTTCCCGAAAGTCAACACTCCTCCCCCCTTGTGCTTTTCTCTAACCCCCCTTTTTAGATAAATTTACAGACTCTTAGCAATAAAGCTATAACTTTAAAACGGGTAAGGATAATAATGCAATCTTTTATTAATCATTTTGCGTTACGATAATCTACGAAAAGAATTATGAGATAAATAAATATTTAAAAAGAATTATTATGGATTTCTGAAGAAGAAGAAGGAGAAGAAGAAAATTTGTTCATTGTAATAAAATATCAATACAGTGTTTTTTTTATTTTTTATTATTATTTAAATGCAAAGAACAATGGTCAAAGAACGTCTGTTTTGTGTTAGACACACTGATTTTAAAATATTTTAAAACAGTTTAAAAAATTCCATGAATCACATACAATTATTCAAAAAATAAACTGATTTCAACTACAGAATATACACTAATAGCACTACATACTAATAAAGATCAGATAACAATTGAATGAATAATAAAATTTAAATGTAGCCTACTGAGAATCTGAATTTTTCCTACAAACAATCAATAATTCATAAAAAAAACCTGTTACTTAATAATTTACTTTGATAGATACTTAACAAACAATATTTTATAAACTTTTTAAATTACATAGATTTTTCCCATTTTTGTATTGATATCTCAATTCTTAAATTTAATAATTATACACCATTATCAATTCCCACCCTTTACTCCACGCCTCTTGGACATTCTGCTATAAAAGGGTACACGTTTCATCCCGGTTGAGATTACATAGTGAACATACATACATTTTATTTTCTATATAGAGTTAACTTTTTATTAGACGACCCCCTTTATTTGTAAAAAATGTTTTTAGGGATAATTACGAATAAAAAAATATATATCCACCATTTTTCAATATGGCCACCAACTTTGTTATTTCTTATGGAATACGCTGTATTCTTTTAGAATTTAAAAGCTATTTTTTTATTCTTGACATTTTTCCCCTAAACCTACTCCATTTAGGAGTTACAGCCTGTTATATCTAAAAGAAAGGCTTGTGGTGTACATTCGGCATCCTGTAGCTCATAAACGAGTAAGTTGATAGAGAAAGTGCAAAGAATAAATAAGTCACATATAAGTCATCGTTCAAAAAAATATATATAATACGTTAAAAAATACTGATTTTGTTGTTTTAAAAATGGTCACCATTTTCAAAAATGGTAGCTTACTTTGATATTGGAACAATTTATTTTATAGTTTTTTTATGTAGATGTGATTTGAAAACTTGTTTATTCTTTGTATTTTCGCTCTTAAACTTACTCGTTTATGAGCTACAGGATGCAGGATGTACTCACAAACCATTTCTTCTTCGATGTAACTCCTAAACAAGTAGCTTTAAAGAAAAATGTCAAGAATAAAAAGGTTTAAAAATGAGCGTTTACATTCTTAAACAATCATAAAATACAGGGTATTCCATAGGACTAACAAAATTGTCAGCCATATTGTAAAATGGCAAACATATTTTTAAAATTCGAAACCACTAAAAAAAACATCTAAAAATAAAGGGTAGTGTCCCATAAGAAGTTAACTCTATATCTCATAATAAAAAAGTTATCTATTGGTTCACTTTAGGTGAGACACCCTGTATAATAAAATGAGGCTCTGGCGTACAGCAGCAAATGCACGATATTCATTCATATGTATCCACTATAGTCTGTATATGTACTGAATGAGCTACATAACGTTAATATAATCTATGTAATGCGGCAAATTCAAATACAAAAACCATAACATACGTAATTTTTTTCATTGTTGCGGTGCACAAAAAAGCCAGAGTCCTGTAAAATCAATATACTGTACTATGTATAACCACTATATGCAAACAAACTGTTAATAACGATGTATCATTTTAAAATGTAAACTATGCACCCCAAATTTTGTATCAAATATTTTGTTGTGCGACCTCGTATAAAAAATCTACAAAGAAAAGTTTCATAAGTTTTTCCATAAAAATTACTTTTTTATGTTTATGATATTTTTTAACTATGAATATTTAGGATACCATGGTAAATACACTTTTTGTAGAATATCGTAACGCAAAATGATTAATTAAAGATTGCGTTACTATTCTTACCTTTTTTTTAAAGTTATAGCTTAATTTCTAAGAGACTGTAAATTTATCCAAAAGGGGGGGTAGAGGAAAGCACAAAGGGGTAGGAGTGGGGACTTTTGGGAAAATGATCATCTCAACATGGTCTAACAGCTTAGAAAAATTCAGCTTTCCCATAGTTACTTACAACATCAAACCTATATTGACTGTGGGCTACGTACCATCCATGCGCGCCTCGATACTACTACGAATTTTCCACGTTTACTCTTACTGAAATCAACGTAGCTCTGTTGTTTTTGTACAGATTTCTTTAAACTTGGTGCTGTTTTACTACTTGTTAGTTTTTCTAACCATAAATAGTTTGTAACATGCCCTAAACAAGCGCAATATTTCCGATATTTCATTTTAAAGTATTTTTAAATTTTATTTTTTTCAAAAAATGTTGATTAGCGCCCAAAGTATAAGAGATAGAAGAAAGGTTGTAATAACCTTTTTGAAGGACAATATATTTAGGCGTAGATAGACGCTTAATTCACCTTTCTATCATTAACCGTTTGAGAGTTAGACGCGGAAACATAAACCGATGACCCGCGCAACTTCCCCCCCTCCCCCCCCCCGAGTTGTGACCACCCTAGAAATGCGACATCATCGATTTTTTTCATCTACTAGATGTCCCCAACAATAATCAAAAGTCAAATTTTGTCAGACTTTCAGTGCATACTCAACCCGTTTAGCGCCTGGACTATCCCTCCTTTTAGCTAATTTCCCATACATGGAATAAGCTATTACCGTAGTACTCATGGTAAGACCTGGACCCGGGACCGATTTACTTTTTCGTTTTGAGGTCCCTAGAGGCCAAAAACACCATCCGTTCAAATTCATGTGAGTCCATTAGCATGATAACTCGAGCAAAAATGATCCGATTTCGATGATTTTTGGTTCAAACAAGTAAACCTACATTTATTCGAACGAGTTCCCAAACCAGCATGATTGGATCATAGGAAGGAACATGGGTTTATGGGGGTTTTATGGGGTAAAAATTGGGTTTTTCCCATTTTTGAACCTAAAAACATAAGATTTTGCAATTTATTTCGAAACCTTTTTGTAGAGCTAAAAAAACAAACAATTTAGTATATTGAAGCGTTTTTATGCGTCTACTGTCTACGGAGAAAATTAAAAAAAATTGTAAATTTAAATTCCCATGTTATTTTTATGGAGAATAAGTAAACTTGTTTAGTTGTAGTTTGCTTGTTTATGAACATATTTTGATCAAATTTGGAAAATGATTTTTTTCAAACTAAACTATTTACCATTTAGTAGTTAAGTAGTAGTAGGTATTAAGTTAAGTAATTAAGTAAGTAAGTATTAAGTAGTATTAAGTGTTATTTAATAATACTTTTTTAGTTTTTTACCCTCCCTGTCACAGCAAACCTAAGTACTCGTTAAACTAATGCTATTTAAATAGGGAATAAATGTGATATTTTTAATGAGATATTTTAGTGTAGGTAAATCAAATCAGGCAAATGAAAATTCTTACGTTCAGTCTGCAGGTTTGCTGCGGCAAGGGTATTTTTAGAAGGGTATACACTAGATACTTTATTTTTATTTTTTAAATAAAATGTTCAACTTAAAATAAATTATTAGATTTGTATTTACTTGTATCAACAGTTTCAGGAGAATACAGTGTCATACAGTTGCATATAAATTGCCAACATACAATAAAGTGACAGTTGCCTTAAAACTCCCTAAAAGCTGGAAATGAATAATAAAAAAATTGGAACACATCGCACAACCAAATGTGATGCACTTTTTACATGCTTTAAAACTAAACATATGCAAAGCATATAGCATGCTTACAGCTAGAACTTATAGTTTCACTGGAATGTGAGATTTAAAAAGTGTATTCATTCCCACATGGCAAAATTGTTTTAGCTCGAGCCTCACTAAAGGTTATATTGAGGAAAAATAGTGAACATTTGCTGAGAGTGTGGAGAAAGTTCCTCCCCCACAATGGCAGCAAAATCATTAAAACAACTTCCACAATTTTGCAGAAAAATTGTGAATTTTTTCAGTCGCATTCTGCAACTAAAAGAATGAAAAATGAAACATTGAGCCAGCTCAATTTTGTGACAAGCTTGATCAACTTGATGCTAAACACAAGTCGTCTCGAAAATCAAGCATCTGGCACATCTCTAGTAAAAAGCCTTTTTCACCGTTATTTTGAATCAAATCCAAAAATCAAAACTGATTTTTAAAACTGGTTACAACACAATTAAAGAAATTGCATGAACGTTTCTCCAAATTACAGTACATTCTAAAAAACTGCAAACCTAAACAAACATCCCTCTTCAGATTCGATCACGTTTACTGTTTGAAAACTTGAAACTTGTAAATATTGAATTGGACATTTGATTCTCAAATCCAGGCAAAAGAATATCAAACTCAAATCTTTTCTTGAGATGCAAGATTCAAATATACATTACTAGTCTATGCCATGCAAAAACAATAAAACTTCAGCTCAAATTTATTGTTGGGGACAGTATTAGCTAAAGACAAACAATAAGTTGACAACAACAAAAATTAGGGATGGACAGGTCCCAACATTTTGGGGAAAAATGTATTCCCGACCTATTCTTGAATTGAACTCCTGATCTAATTGAGAGGTGATTCAACCCAATTGACAAGGATTTGACCACAATCCCGGTTGACGATTATTATGTCTCCGCGATTACAGATGTTCACAATTTTGTTGTTATGGTGGATGGCATATTATTATAGTAGTATTTTCCCCCGCAATCTTTGGAGATGTCCACAAGTTTACCGTGATTGCAAGTGATAATAACATACGATGCCGCAATTGTAGATGATGACAACAAATTGCGCTGATTATAGTCATGAGTCATAACGACATCATGTATGATAAATACCTACATATTTTCACCCATTGATGGTTTTTATGGAATAGAACAGAAAAAAAACAGCAAGTTATTTATGTTTTTGTCATCATTGTGATTTGCACAAATGTATGCTTGGTTTTTAAAACAAACTTGTTGCACGGGAAGATGGAAGATTTGAGTTTTCCCATCCCAAACATTCTGGAAAGAGAAAAAATCCTGTCCTCTCCCATCTCAAACTAGAAAAAGTAGAATCATGTCCATCCCTATTTTTTTTTAAAACCACGCAAACAATGAAAGAAAACTGTACACTGTAAACTGTAATGATAAATGTACAATATTTGTATTGATGAAAACTAAAGTTATATTCTCAATGAGAGCAGCAGCAGCAGCAGCAGCAGCTACAGCAGTTGATGTTTAGCTTAAAAGTCAAAATTAGTGTCAATGTTATGTATAATCTACAGCTGATTGACAGAGTAAAAACTCAAGCTCTTAGAATCTAAATAAATACTATAGTTTGGCCGCTTAGAAAGCGACCTCCTCCAGCATTGGTTTTAGCATTAGCACGCAGGTCGTTTTCTAAGCGGCCGAGCTATATCAAGGCTTTTCATAATCAATTTGTTCGGGCAACGCAAAAACAATTTTTTTTTTCAGTCCAATTACTTTAATTGCATGCCAAAATCTGCATGTCTCAATAAGCAATAATTTTATTGTTGGTTGTTGTTAGGAACAGTCTTTAAAAATTTAGACAATGACTATGACTAGTTTTAGAATTCTATTCTAAGCAATACACTCTTTAAAAAAATTATGTTTTTTTTATGTGTAAGGTTTTTAGGGTAACACTAAATAATTAATGAAATCTTATTTTTACAAGGTTTAAAACTTCAGAACCAAAATAACAATTTGTTGTTGAACACATTTAATCGTTTCATATTAACATTGAATAGTCAAGCATAATGCACTTATACAGAGTGTCTTGATGCATAATCGGCTTCAATATAAACATAAATCATTATCGACTTACCTTCATCATGAGGAGCAGTGTGTTGAATACAATGAGCATCATGATGAAATATTCAAACGGTGTGGAAACAACAATTCTCCAGATTTTGTACTTAAAACTGTTTCTCTTGTTCGGCATATATCTTTCTAAAGGCCTTGCTTGAATTGTAAAATCTATACAGGATTTCTGTAAAAAGTCATGATTTACTATAAGCAAGCATGGTATTGCATCATTTAATAGTGACCAGACAGTGGAATTAAAAAACAAAATTAAGCTGTTCTTAACGAAACATATAATCGTTTAAGTATCTTATTCGGAAATGAATAGTAGACTAAATCAAAAGGACGTCACTCATATCAGTCATGATCACTGATCAGAATATATGCAGTAATTTAAAAACCTGACAAACTAAATTTTAAAACTATTTGTGACAACTTACGAAGCAATTTTCATGAGTACTTCATTTGGGAAACATAAGTAAATTATGCTGGTGAGGTAATTTTTTGAGGTTACTTAAAGTACATTGAAAGAAATCTACAAGACATATTGTTGTCAGCTTCAAAAATACATTGATTTATTGACTTTGCACATCACAGTTCACAGTACAAAAAATCGTTATAACAGCCAAACACCAAGCTATTATATCCCTAACCCCACCGATTATAAACATTTTCAGCAAAAGTGTTCATTAAAAAATTACTTCCTCAGAAAAAGTTATAATTTTGATCATTTAATTTACAAAATCTTATAAAAATTGGGGACACAATACAAAGTTCTGTGGGTTATTGTGACATCGGGACACAAGTAAATGAAGATGTCATAAACCAATTTTGCCATTGGGAATGGTTTGTCAACCTAATTAATCTAAGGGGTACCCATCCAAACAATAATTCCAATTATGGTATTTTTATTTACCTGATTCTTATCAATCTCTCCATCTTGAAGCTCAGCTTCGCCTTGTTCTTGAAATGTAATGATAATCAATGCAACGAATATATTCACAAAGAAGAAAGGGAAGACCACAAAGTACACAATATAAAAAATGGACATTTCTATACGAAAGTTTTGAATTGGACCCATGTCTTCATAAGTTGCAGCCATTGAATTTTGTAGCACCCTGAAAAAAATGTCAATTGTTAATACATTATGTTATTTGGCATTAAAGTGTTACAAATATATGAGTCGAACATTTTATAAAATGATTTGATTGTACTCTATGAGTCCAAATAAATTTAAAAAATAAGGTAATATATCTAAATATATAAAAGGCAAAGCCCTCACTGACTGACTCACTCACTCACTCACTCACTCATCACTAATTCTCCCACTTCCCATTTACCTAGGAGGCTGAAATTCGGTACACCGATTCTTTGGGCATTAAATAGGAAAACTAAGAAGTTTTTATTCCGATCGGGCTTTCGGGCTCCGCCCCAGTGGCTCTGGGGTTTCCCATGTTAACCTTATGATTTTTCATATTTAAAAGGAATTTCGTAACAGCTGTTTCAATTAAACAAGTTGGTTCTGTTCTATGATGTTCAATAGCATTAAAGTTACAAGGATTACCAACAGGGTGCAGCACTATTATTATTTTAATTTATGACTACAGCTAATTTGCAACCAAAAGGTGAGTGAGCGTAGCGAACGAACTTCAACCTGGAAGCGAGTTAGCGTAGTGAACGAGCTAACCTGAAGGCAAAAGAGCGGAGCGAACGAGCTCCAACCTATAGGTGAGTGAGCGTAGCGAACGAACTTCAACCAGGACGTGATTGAGCCATGCGAACGAGCTCACTTGTGAAGTTAAACGGGGCAAAGCCCGCGGGTACAACTAGTATAATATAAACTTATAAAATTTCCAAAATCTGTTTTTCAATTAATGTTTCTACTCCATAAAAACATACAAACACAACTAACATTTTACTTGGTGTACGATTATTGCAGAATAAAACACATAATTTGAGAGGTACAGTGTCTAAATATGCTGAAAACCCTCTTTAATTTTTATTAGACTGAAAGACTTCACCCTGGTGGTTAGAGCTGTCAGCTAGTTCCAACTAAAAGAGTAAAATTTAAATTATCTCCAAAATCACCTTTCTAAGGCAAAATATAGATTACTATACTACATACTACTACTACTAGTACATGTGGATGTGATGTAGGTATTCATATTCCTGCTTTGTATTAACCTCAACTTTCCAGTTAGCAGACATTTCGGCTTAGTTTTATAGTCTGATTTTTACCGGAGTGCGGCTGAAGCTCAGCCCTACCTGCGAGGGACCCGACTCACGCACGCACACTCACCACCGTCCTAATTGCCTGAAAGCCCCGATCCCCTATTCACTAAGTAGAAATATAACATCTGTTGTATGATACCTCAAAATTGCAAATCATTTGATGTTAGATATACATTAAAATGGTTAGTGTTAGTAAATTTGTTGTTTAATTCAATGAAAAATGAGTCCAAACACGAAATGATTATGACAAGGAGCTAGCTAATAAAAACGTGTTAAAATATTCGTAGCTTTTACACTTTGTAAGCAAAATATATATTGTTTGGTATCATTTTACTAAGCATTTTGAGCTAAAGTCAAAAGCGTTACCAGATTTTATAACAAACGTAAAATAAAAAAAAAATTGATAGTTTAATTTCCGTGAGCCACCGATGACTCGAGTGGCAGGACAATGGTCCGTCCCACGTCCGTCCTAATCCCTTGCGTCTGTGTGTGTGAGGCCTGCGTGTGTGTGAGTAGGGTCGACCCTTCTGCCAGCCGCTTTCCGTCAGCAATCACACTATAAGCTGAGGGACTTTATTTCAAGTTGAATATAAAACCTGTTAAAACATCAAAGTTAAAGTATACTGACCACTACTCAGCAGTTAATGAGAACCCAGTTAAAATAAGGTGAGCTAACAACAAAGCAGCTCAGACAAGAAAGGTACAGAGGAAACTCAGTTATGGGACAACCGTACACTTTCAGCTTTAGTATGTTGTGCCAGAAGTATACTTGTGACGGGCAAGGAAGAGCAAGAGTGGCAAGCACTGTGCAGAAATTCCTATCCATACAGGGACAGGGTCTTCCTCCACCATGAGCATTGTAGTACATGATGACGAGGGGGGTGGTGATGGACTTTGCCCTAGACACCAGCGACTATGCTAGACGGCCAGGTCCAAAGTCACCAACATTTTTGGGGTCGTTTCTAATGTCCAAATTCACCAACTTTCTACCTTTAGCAGATACGATATTTCTCCCGGCGGGCGGGGAAACAATTCCCTCCGAATAGTTTGCCATCGCCTGCTCCGTCTCGTCTCGGCGAGAGTGTACTGTAACCTAACCTAACCTAACTTAACCGAACCTAACCAAACCTAACCTAACCAAACCTAACCTAAACTAACCTAACCTAACCTAACCTAAAGCTGCCTGAAACAATCACAGCTTAAACAGTACTATTAGGGCTAAGCAGTACACTCTCGCCGAGACGAGACGGAGCAGGCGAGGGCAAACTATTCGGTATTCCTTCCCCGCCCGCCGGGAGAAATATCGTACCTGCTCCAGGTAGAAAGTTGGTGAATTTGGACATTAGAAACGACCCCAAAAATGTTGGTGAATTTGGACGTAGCCATGCTAGACACCACTTAGGTGTACCATCGAATGCTTCCTCTGAACCTTCCTTATCTGAGCAAATAAGGTAGAGGTACAAGCTGTGAAACGATGCAGCAATGTCTTAAGTACACATTCTGGTAACACCACTAAAAATTAATCAGTACAGATCTTTCCTCATGATGAATCATTCTGCTCGATACATTCTAAGCATAGACCTTTGACATCCACTATGTCAGGCAAGTGCCAGGTTAAAATTGGCCGGTACTTAAAAAGAAAACAAAGATATACAGTACTCACTGAGGCCATCCCTCCCCCGTCTGAACGGCGAACAACGTCAGCATGGCTGCGGCAACGTTGTCGTAGTGGAAACATCTTGGCTTCCATTCTCTCAGCTCGGCTTTTGGCAGTGTTTTTCCTTCTTCAAACACAAAGTACATTCCTCTGAAAAAGCCACGCACGAATTAGTTAAATCATGGTTAGTTGCATAAACTTATTTGGTGGTTATACGTATACAGTTTTTGCAATTTTTTATAGGAGCATGTAAGTTGTTGAACTACAGAGAAGAATGCATTACAAACTAAAATACCAAAAATGTAAAAAAAAATATTTCTTAAATATCATAGAAAAGTTTTTTCTTTTAGCTCAGGAGTAAATTTGAAAGAGTTAAAATGTTAAAAGTAAGGTAACAGTTTTATAAATTTTATAATTTTATGCCATCATTGCAACTTTTTTATTCTTGTAGATATTTCCTCATTTTAGCAGGTTCTCTTTCACTTATAACAACAGATGTATTTTAATGAGGGAATGTTATTATCGAGTATTGCAGATATTTTATTGTATGAGGCATGTTTTTTAAGTAAGAACAATTTTTTAATTTCTCTGCTCCAGCGCTGTGGCCTCGCACTGTGATTGGCATTTTGGACATTTGTACTGTGTATGTGCGTCTATTGGCAAGCCTGCGCCGGAAATTTGGCAACAATCGGCCGTGTTTACATCCGGTTTCGAGCATTCAAATGGTGCCACCAATTGAGACTGCCGCCTACTGTAAAGTGCTTGCTGGAATTAAGATTTTTAAGTGCTAAAGGTGTGAAAACCATTGAAATTCATTGTCAGATTAGTGAAGTGTATGGCGAGAACATTGAGTAAAGGAAACTCCTCAGATAATGATGAGATTGTAAACCGACTGTTCTCTCTCACTTTTTTGTCGACCTTACGCACCAATTCAATAAACCAGTGCGTTGCTCATCATTGGTGGTCTTTAAATGCCCTTACCCACTTGCGTACCATTCCGTCACTCATAATGTTCTCGCAATACACTTCACTAATCTGTCGATGAATTACAATGGCTTTCACCGGATGTAATCACGACTGATTGTTGCCGAATTTCCAGCGCAGGCTTGCCAATAGATGCACATACACAGCACAAATGTCCATCGCAGCGCTGGAACGGAGAAATTTAAAAACGGTACTTACTTAAAAAACATGCCTCGTATTACAGAAATAAGGAATCTCTAGGGACCTTTTAATAATTGTTATTCTAATTCAGTCTTCTACGAAATTGATACATGGTTGCACACTTACTGGCACTCTTTTTCAGTAGATTTGCTTTCATCTGTACAGAAAAAAAATTTCCCATTGAAGAGTTGGACGGCGATAACAGCAAAGATGAACTGGAAAAGGATGTAGACGATGAGAATGTTTATTACATTTTTTAATGAGTTTACTACACAGTCGAACACCGCTTTCAGTTTGGGCACTCGTTTAATAGTTTTGAGCGGCCTCAGTACACGCAGCACTCTCAGGGATTTGATTGTGGACAGATTCTGACCCGCATCACTGCCACTGTAACAGCAAACACACATGTGTTAGAAACAAACAACAGGAAAGTAGGCAATTGACTTCTCATTCTTAGACAGTTTTAGGGTAAAAATTCAGCTACCAACAGAATGTGCTGCTATACATAATTAAAATTAATTGTTGTTGAGTGCGCGAACTTTTTAATCAAGCCAAACTGAATTGACAAAAACATATTCACATGAATTTCTACACTGGTTTAGCTAACATTTCACATAATTTATTACTCAAATGTAAGGAGGGAAAACATAAATAAAACAAATCCAGTCAATATACGTCGGCCGCTAACAGAAAGGAAACAAAAACGTGAAAAAATTTCTCTCAAAGGGTTAAGGACTATAAAAGTATGGCAGCAATGTCATGGGTTTTAGGTATTTATCTTTCTCAGTGTTACCTTTTTTATAAAAAAAAATTTAATTAAAATTAATTAATTTAATTATTTAATTTAATTAAAATTAAATTGTATCAGTACAGTTCACTCTTGTAGTGTACAGACTCACATGTTGCTTTGCTGGATACATGCCACACACCGGGCTGAGTCCTATATGGACAAATGCAAGGCTCAAAGAGGCTGCAAACCTCAAAAAAATTGAATGAAGTTTGCTGATATAGCCTATAGCGTTTGCTATAGTAGTATAAAGCTTAATTTTACAATCAAAACATTGTTAAATATAAAACAGTACCTTATTTCAAACCCTAAGGAGACAGCTGCACATATAACTACAACAGCATCCATGATGTTCCAGAACTCTCGTAGATAAGAGCCTGGGTGTAAAATGATACCCATGTCTAGGACCTGTAAAACAATCAACTCATTAATGTATAGAAATTTATCAAACACAACTTATTAGTAGAGGGGCCACAAAGTAGAATTTTCTATGCAGAGGGATAAAACTTTATGTTCTACAACTTTTTGACATTATACAGTAAGTGAGTTGGTAAGTTCAAAGACTTTCATTTTGTGGCCTCACAAACTGAAAACTGATTTAGTTAAAATTATTTCCTGTCAAGTGATTCTTGTGACCTTGAAAGGCAACAGGTTTCGATCCTAACGGGATCATCTTCAGGCGGATGTCATCATCATCTTTTCGTTTTTACGAACACGTTGATTTTTTAAAAACATTGAGTCACAGGTTTACAAGACACGTAAAAATGGAAAATAACTATTACCAATCGGTCAAGTGGCGAGCCACACAGAAATAGAGTCTAGACATAGGAGGAGCAGGAGACAAAGGTAGAGTCTAGACAAGGAGTCTAGACTCTACTTCCGCTTGACCGATCCATAATAGTTATTGGCCATTTTTACGTGTTTTGTGATTAAGTGTTTTGTAAAACTGTGACTCAATGTTTTTTTTTTTAAATCTACGTGTTGGCAAGAACAAAAACATGATGACAACGTCTGCCTGAAGATGATCCCGTGAGGCTCAAAACCCGTTGCCTTTCAAGGTCACAAGAAACACTTGACAGCAGGTAATTTCATTAGTACCCGTATTGATCAGTGATTCGGAGGCTTAACTCAAACAAAATAAAATTATTTTGTTAAAAAACTACAATGACATTCACGACGATTACTCAAACCGAATTCCTTTTTTTTGACACTGAACATAATGACACTGACATTTGTCACCACTCATAGCTGGAAACCGGTAGCTGAGTAGCATGTTTTTTTCTGGTTTTCAAATAGTTGCTTGTTTCATTTCCAAGTTAGGTCGGAGATTTAAGCTGGTTCGAAATTGGGCTAAGCTGTCCTTGATACGTTGGGCTATTGATAATGGTCAGCAATACACAAAGCACTTCATCCATAAATATGAGCACCAAAATTATTTTTGTTGTGTTTGGTGAATTGTTTACTGCATTCATCACTAATATTTTGGTTTAAAATACACCCTGTTATAAACATTTTATCAGATGGTGGTGATCACAACGTAATTCTTTCTACTTGAACTTTCTGTGATAGATTCTGGGGCCTTATCAAGGCTACTAGAAAAACAGGCCATGCTGCAGGATCCATGACGTCACACTAGTAGATAGATTCATTGATAAATTCACTGCTATTTTGCAATATCCTGGCTGTTTATCAGATTGTAAATGGAAAGGTTTCAGTACAACTATCTACCACTGTGACGTGTTGCGCTGCCCGCGCTGCAGCATGGCCTGTTTTTCTAGTGGGGCCTTGGCCTGATGCTGTTTGTCATTGTACTATTGATTAATGATGCTAACAGAAGGTCTATGGCAACACGTAACAAGACTAGATTTTGGATAAGTTATTTCTTTTAGAAAATGCTAATAGTGTTGTAAACACAATTACCTTAAGTATCATCTCTAAGGTGAAGACCCCGGTGAAGGCATGATCGAAGTAGTTGAGGACCTTGTTCCTTGTGGAGTTATCTACAACAGGATCTTCAGCGGCCAGCGCGATACTACTCAGACCTATCACTACCATGATGAAGAAGTCAAAGTATTGCATGTTAACCACCCAATGTGCCGCTCTGCGTAGCCTGAAACATACATTCAGAGATTATAAAATATACCTGGATCTGATTAAACCAAAAGGCGGATTGTTTGCAAAGTATAGCTAAGAAAACTTTATTAGACTTATAATAGAAAACTAGATAACTTATATGATGTGTTGTTCAATTTACTTATATTTATCATGGATCGTAACGTCAGTTCTGTATTAAGTCTTTAATTTTCCAACAGACTAAATCGTCCAAGGGTAACTTACGGGTTGGTGGGGGTTAAAATGAACATTGAGGAATATGGCAGCATTGGCTTAGGTCCTTCTTCATCCTCATCAGCCTTTTTCTCTTCTTCCTCCTTTTTGCTGTTTTTCGATTTGTTGCTAAAAAAGAACATTCAGTATCATGTTATGCACATTTGTCTGAGGAGGTAGATATAATAATGTTCAATGACTTTTCATTGAGAGTATTTTATTTACAACTAACTGATATTTATGCAAAGCTCTTCAAAGATGACAAGTCAGTTATTTTACTTTGTTTCAAGTTATTTTCAGCACATACAGATATGACCATAGACTAACTAACACAAGTAGACTTCTCATCCCATTGTAAATTTTGAAGCATGTTTTTCGTGTCTAGTTCATGTACGTGACACATGAGCGCTAGTGTCGACGAAACTTTGTTTCTATTATTTTAGGGTTAATTTCTTGATTTGTGCTTTACTGTTTGGTTATATAACTAGGGGACAGGTTATTGTTTATGATTAGATCGTATTATTTGGTTAAACGAGGTTTTTTAATGGCTGTAATAACGGGAAACAAATTGTAAACAAAACAAGACCTCCACATAAACCGTACAGAACTAACAATAAAATTGTCTTCAGCTGTTCCATAAGGATGAGAAATCTACTAAGGGAGTATGTTTTATCTATGATATGACCGAGTCCCCTACTTCAGAACCAAGCAACTGGTTGATGGTGTAGTTTGAAAATGATGAGTTTTGACTATGGTTTTGGATTAAGGTGCGATTAAAAAGGGTTTTATTGCATTTGCATAGGAAGACTTAACAGTATTAACAGTATAGACTTACAAGTGGTGTGCCGGGGAGGAAGGGCAGATCTCCACCTGTATAGGGTTACCATCAGGCCCCAGCTGTAGCGCTTCCATCTCCTTCTCTAGCTCCATCTGTTGTTTCTATCGACAACAACAGACAGGAAAAGGAACATTTAGTATTTTAATGGAACCATCCTAGAATAATTAGTTTTAGCAAAAACTTGCCTCATTACAATGAAGTAACTAGCAAAGAGAAAACCATAATAAATAATTTGATCTAGAGTACACCTCAATTGTGTTTACTTTTTAATGAGTGATTCTGTGCTGTTCAAAAACAATATACTATGGAGAAGTAAGACATTGAGACTGAGGTAGGTAAAAAATTCAATCCCAATAATTTATGCTGCTAAGAAATGAATTTAAAATATCTTAACCTATGGAAAAACATTTGCAGTTCAAACACTTGGAAACTGGTTAAAAATCTTGTCAATCTTAATGCAACAATGATAAAAACCTAGATCTACCCTTATATTAAAGTTCAACTTTGGGCCCTACATAGTTTTGCTGCACTAACTAAATTAGAAATAATGCCTTACCGGTACTACTGTTTTTCTCAAAGCTGAAATATTTAAATTACTTAATTTAGATACAAAATTTTCTTGTAGAATTAAGGGAATTAAGGGAAATCTATACAGACCCAGACACAAGAGCACAAATAAAAAGTAAGAGACTGAGATGGGCTAGTAATGTGAAGAGAAGAGAAGAAGATTCTACGCTAAGAATGGTGTCTGAAAATCTCCCTTGGGAAGATGACCCCTAAGACTACCTCGTCTAAGATGGCAGGACCAGGTGCGAAGAGACAAGGAAGCTAAGAGCAGAGACAGAATGAATGGAAGACAGAGAGTGGTGGCAAATTGTTGTTGATGAGGGCAAAAGCCGACTGAGGTTTGAGTGGCCACATAGGTAAGTTAAGTTACAATTGTCATTCAAAAACCTGTTTCTCAACAATCCATTTCCCATGATTCCCTTTTGTCCCGGTTTCACCTTTTTTAAGCTTTCGGTTATCATTTTTACTAGCTGTAACTTACAAGAGCGAACAAGTTCTAAAATATTTATTCAACTTTACAATCTTCATTATTCACGTACTTCTTTGTCTTCCTCCTCCTGCTCCTCCTCGGCCGCTGTCAACTCCTGAGCGTTAGCCAAGTTGTCAACAGCAATGGCCAAGAACACGTTGAGCAGAGTGTAGTTGCCGAAGAGCACCAGGATGATGAAATAAACAGCGTAGATCATCCCGTTGCTGTTAGGCCCTCGCTGGGACTGGATACCTTGGTACATCACTTCGTTCCAATCCTCACCGGTTAAAATCTGGAAACACAACTCCGTCAGGTATTTCAATAGATGGCGTGGTAGTTGATCAACAAAATGCCAATAATTCGATGAATAATGCTTCGATGCTAAATATTTTGATGTTGTTAGTAGTGGTTGTTTTATGGATGAAATCAACAGGTTTTTGTCCTTACCAGCTATATTAATATAGGTACTTTAGTAGAAATATGTTCAGATTTTTTCAGGTAAAAATAGGAGGAGCTAATGTGATCACTGGTTAAGGAATACTGTTTGAATGAAAAATGGGCAGTTGTGGCTATAAAGTAATAATTGTAATACTTTTGCACTTAGCAACCCCTATAAATACTCCTGCCTAACATCATTAGCTAATCCAAAATTTTCAACTTGTACCTTGGTTAAAATAACAATGGCATGAGTTGATATCAACCTGTTATAGGATTTTATGATACATTAATATTCATGTTCTATTTTAATTAACATTTTACCATTAAAGGACATTACTGGCTTACAGGCTATATTTTTTATTTAACTCCTTTTCCTCTAGTAACATTTTGTTAATGTCTAGGTTTATACATTAACATGTCAAGATTATTATACACAAACATGAACATACATTTGAGGTTGAGCAAAGTATCAACTGAACAATCCTTTGTTCGTGTATGTGTCTCACAATTTGTCAAGACAAACATTTTGTTGGATTATGAGTATTTGCATAGACTCAACGGAGGAGAAACGTTACTCTACGCAGGAGGGACATTTACAGGCTTCTTGAACTACTAAGGAACATTGTTGGTATGGGTGGAGAACACAAAAGATATGAATTCTGAATTTAAAATAATATGCATTATGCCATCTGGTGTCTTCAGGACGTCTTACAATCTATGATTAGCTTAACTCACAAACGGTTAACATTTTACCAAACAAATAAATACACTTACTTGGAAGACTGTGAGCAGAGCAATGGGGAAAGTGTTGAAGTTGGTAGGTGGTGTGCCTTCGGGAAAATTGAACTGACCACCAAACAGCTGCATTCCGAGCAGTGCGAAGATGAGAATGAACAAAAACAGCAGGAATAACAAGGAGATGATTGAACGCATCGAGTTCAACAGGGATATCACAAGATTGCGCAGAGAAGACCAATATCTGCGAGAACAAACAGCCACATGTTGTTGAACAATTGAACAATTCACATAGCAAACAATGCTCAACGTTTTACACCTCGTAAAATGTATGAACTTAAATTGTTTTCAAATTATTATTGTGGCAAAAACATTGAGCAGAGTTTGACCAAAATGAAGGATGAATCCTATAATACCTTAGTGCATAGAGTACATTTGTTATGTGTTTAAGTTTTAGCCATGGAGTCCACAAAACATCTCAAGTACTGTAACAATATAATCTCCATTAAAACATTTCTTAACCAGTTAGAGTTAATGGAAATTAAAACATTTTTTTATATGTTTGACATTTCAAGTTTTGTTTCTAAATTCAAGCACAAATATTTGAAGGCAAAGATAAATCCAGTTGATATAGCATGGCTGAAACTATTTTCATAATGAAGGTAGATCATTATTTCTTTGGTCATTTTATTTTAAGTAAATATTTGTATCTGGGATCTGCTATTAACTAGGTTTAGACCTAGTAGAGGTTTAGTTGCAGTGGGGATTTTACTTTATACATAATAATTGCAGAACCAGTTGAATTTAATATAATTGAACTTTTGGCATCACAACCAGGAGATGAAATTTATTATGAGGTAGTCTTTAAAATTCTTGTGGACTCCATGTTCACATATTGGATCGTAGTTAACATAATTACAAAGACATGTTAGAAGACACTACTGTACTCAACTACTGAATATAAAGTATACAGAATGCTAATATCTATGCAATGGACCAATAGAGGTATGTTTACACTAATCAATATTATAGTTTTTAGTTTTCGTTATTTTAATTTTGTAGAAATCCTCTACTGGAACTGAGAAAAATGTTTAAATTTTGTAATCACTTTAAAATCATATTATTTTATCTTCTCATTTGGAACCTGGGACATCTTAAATAAAAGTGCAACTTCAATTTCATATCCACTTTTGGAATAACCTGATCAAACTTAATAGAAGAAACTTATTTAAGATTTGGTGGAGTACTCGTAGAAATATGTAAAACCTCTTTAAGGACTTTGATTATTATAGGGATGTAAGGTTCACACAAACATTAATTTTTGGCTGGCCAAAATTTGTGTCTTGTTAGAGCAACAACAAAGATTTTGTCCGGTGGAATCATAGTTTAATAGTTTGATATTTTTTATAACAGTGGTTGACATTGTGATACAGTTTTTAACAAATAAAACACATTAACATTCACATAACATTGTCAGTCATAAGAAAACATTCTTAAAATAAAAATCAAAAATGGACAAAACATAGCCTACTGATTGCTTGTAAAAATGTTGGAATTCCCAGAATTTCTTAATGATTAGGAGTTGTGAATAAACTAGGGATGGATGAGATTGGATTTTTAGTTCGAGACGAGATGAGATTTTTTATTTCTCATAAAATTTTGAGACGGGATTTCCCTTCTCATACACAACGGGAAATGCACGTTCAAAATTTTTACCTGATTTTGTAACATTGTTAGATGACTGTTTAAATACAAAAATAATGATAATAGGCAAGAATATTTACAATCTTTTATTAAAAAACATCAGCATAACCTTTTTTTTGATTAATCACGCCTAACTTATTAAAAATGCCTACGATTAGCCTAGGAAACATAGTGATATCAGTTAGGATAGCTAGTTCAACTTATCCTAAAATAAAATAAATCATAAAATAAAAGCAATATTAATTTTTATAAAATAGTTACTTGTTTTGACTTTTTATAGTAATAAAAAAATTCCTCACACTGCTTACACTTAACAAAACTTCTCAAATGTTATTAAAGTAATATTATTTAAATAATTAAAGTAATATTTACATTTAAAGAATTAATTAAATAAGAACGCCTTTGCAAAGGAAACGCAATTTATAAAAAGAATAAAATACAACCTGTTTCTTTCTAAGACAGTTATCTGCCCCAAAAAGTGTATGCAAGAAATTGTAAAAAAAGCGTAATGTGTGTACGCGAGAGTGTGTGAATGTGTTTTTCTTTTCTTTTGTTAAAATGAATGTTTTTTTTATATTTTTTGCTGGATAATTTACTTAAAAGTGTTAAATAAGTAAATGTTTAATTACATTAAGTAATCCCATTGTATTCTTATTTCTATATATTTATGTATGTCAAGTGTAAGAAAGGGCCATGTGGTCCTAACTTTGCCTGAGAAGATAATAGTATATTAGGTTACTAGTCCTGAAAATAAGTGTGTGGTTGTTCGCGTGCGAGACAAAGTCGAGTATGGGATTACCATAGGAGTCCGGTACACACATTTTGGACGAGTTACGTACGATAGTTTACGCCATACTACTAAATATCCGTACAAATCCTTATATATTTCCACCAACTAAAGGTCTAAAAATCACTAGTCATAACCTCTAAGAGAGGTTATGTTTTTGTTTATAACCACTCATTGCCACCTAAATACAGTATAACCAGCTGATTGGTGTCCGGTAAAACTCAATGAAACCCCATTTGAATAAGCTGGCGGCAAACAGCTGTTTTCTGGACTAAATCCTTGCGTGGGAAGTTTGTCAAAATAATGTAGTGTGGTGTAAAGAATTTTTCATTTCATTTCAACAGTGTAGCAAGAAAATAACACAACAATTGATAACAAAATGCCAACATACTAAAAATTAAAAAATAACCTCATGTTGCATAATTTTTACTGTTACACGTTGTTTCTATCTCCACCAACCTCCAACTGCTGAAATAAAGGACTTGCATTTCAATTTTTGACTAATAACCTAAAGTACAGTAGTTTGACTAATGTCAAGTATGTTTCGTAAAAAATAATCCCACAACCACACAAACCCAGAGAATGATTGGGGGTGGACAAAATATCTTTGTTTTTAAAATCACACTGAATGCTTAGTTATGTGACTGCTAAAATAAATTTTAAAAATAAGCCCAAAGCAATAAAAATGTTCTTGTACACTTGTTTTTGTTTAACTGTTCCTCAAAGTTGAAACACATTAATAAAAGAATATTATAGACATGCCAGAAGCAAAAACACCCTGGGCCATTTCGAGCCGCGCAGGTTTGAAGGGTACGCCACACCTACCGGCGCGAACCACGTGATCTTTTCGTTTCTGCGCAGGTTGTTTTGTTCTTGGGATGTCTATAGTAATACTAAACATGTTAACTGTCTTTTGTCAGTATCAATAGATACGTGTTAAATTATTTTATATAGAAAAATTTCCTTTTGAATTAGCCCTATTTCTTTTGTCAGGGACATTTTTTTACACGTTAATGATTGAAAGATTTTAAAATGAGTTACTGTAACAAGTAAAATACAAAATAAAGCTACAGTATTCAACTAATTTGTAAAAAATATATTTAAATTTCCAATTGGAAATCAACTCAGACAGTCATCATCAAAAATAATTTGCAAATGACTTTTTTAAAACTATTTTGACAGTTAACATATTTTTACAGAAGCAGATATTGTTAAGTCTTTGCATTTAGGACTAAAAATTCTACTTTATTTTAACCCAGAGCTTATTATACTGACTTCTTTCTTCTTCAGCACTACTCACACATTAAAACACTCACTTGAAACAAATTGTTCACTTGTTCACCAAAATATTACTATTCAGACATTGACAACTGCAACAAAATGCATATCGAATGCTTCATTATTTCGAATGGAGACTCATTTTTATGAATCTTATTTTATTCAGCACATTAAAACAGTTGTGAAATATATGATAGCACTTTTGGTGAACCAGTGAGCAATGAAATAAATATTAAAACACTGAAACACTTACTTTGTCACTTTAAATATCCTTAACAGGCGGAGAGCTCTTAGAACTGACAGTCCGAACGAACCGGATTTAACTTCTGACCAAATAACTTCAAAAATTGAACCACTGATAACTACACAATCAAATCTATTGAAGGCAGATTCAAAATAAATTCTAGGTCCGAGAGCATACATTTTTATCAACATTTCCAGCATGAAAAGGCCAAGAAAAACATATTCTGCATAATCTGTAACAGAAAAAGAGGGGTCAGTATATTTCACAATCAACTGTTAACAAAGATACATCTGCTTATAATTAAATCAACAAATGTGTCTCATAAAACCGGTTTTCCCACCTTCCTGGGACGCTAGGTTCTAGCCTAGAACGGTTTTACACATTACTTTAGGATAGCCTTAGACGGTCGCAGTTTGCTGCACTATCACATGGATAAAATCCATTGGTAATTGGCAGCATTTGAACCCGGGACCTATGGCTCCGAAGCCGTTGCCTGTGTCATAGAACAGGAAGAACGCAAATTTAAAGATACAGTAGCAGTATACCATACAGCCAAAAAGGGTAAGATAGAGGAGACAAAACCTACAAGAACAAAAGGAAGAAGTTTATTTGGTTGGCACTACCTTAAAAGAATTTTAAAGGAATTAGAAATAAAAATTCTGTTTTTGGAGGAAGGAGCACTTGGCTAGTCTTTACTTCCTTCCAAAGAGGTGTCCCTGTGGAAGTGTTTCAAAGAGGTCCTTGGAAGGACAAAATATTAAGTAAATTGTGTTACTTAAAAACTTGAATTAACACAAATTGTGAACTTCAAGTGCTTTGGACCACCAGATATAAGTTTTTCTTAGATATCTAAGTTTGTAAAACAAAAAGAAAGACTCCTACATAGGATTTATACAATTTCATTCACCATTACCATTTCATTACAATCAATTAAATTGAGTTCTAACTCTTCAATTATTACATAAAGAGGCATTCAGTCTTAGTGGTCTGTTTTACAAAACAGTCTGCTAACTTGTTAACTGCAGGATGAATTCAGCATCCTCAAGTCTACTACTTACACAAGAAGGTAGTAAGGTGTTGGGGCTGGTTGTAGTGCTCCACAGCTACGCACACTGTGTTGAAGAACACCAACACTATCACAAACCAGTAAAACGTTTGTGTTTTCACCGTGTGTCTGATCCAAAACCTGAAACATTGAGTTACTCATTAGGTTGCTGTACATGTAGAGAGGTTAAATAAATATTTTGCAGTCCAAGTCTATCGCTTGTTAATTTGATTGTTCCTGCTATGGTGAAATCAATGTGTATCTGTCATAATATATTGTTTCCTTTCAATGTTTCAGTGGACAGTGGAAACAGTTGAGATAATCTTGCCATAGTATTAACAAAGAAAATACTGACAAATTAGTTTCTTAATATTTTTATTCTGTGAGGTTCGGTAATAGTTTGACCGTTAAAATATATTTAAAAATTAGAGAGAAAGCTTCAATGATCAAAGTCAACTGTCAAAATCTTCATCTTTGGGAAATAACCACATCATTGAAAGGATTGAAGTGACAAAAATAATAGCTGACGTTTAAATTGCATTATCTATGTTCTGGGTAAGATAAAATTCAACTTAAGTTCACTGTTTTCTTGCCAGGGTATATTTGAAGACCAATATAAATCCCAAATGAAAAGGAAACATATTTTAATTTTATAAAGTCTTCATGAATACAGCTTCACAACAAATTATTAAAACTTAACACATGAATAAAGTAAACTTTAACTTTTTTTAGTTAAATAGTTGGGTTTTACACAATATAACAACAATAAAGCAAGACAATTATATTTTTATGGCATAGTCTCTGGATCACTGATTTTTACAACAAAAGTTTTAAATTACCTGTATCCGTCAAGTGATCTTCGATTGTAGTTGTTTGACTACAGCTGTTTTGTGTTTATAAACACATCTTCAGGTCAACCTCATGACGACCATTTGATGGATGGGATAAATCAATGCAACATTGACCTGAAGATGTGTATATAAAAACAGCTGAAGTCAAACAACTACAATCGAGGTTCACTTGACGGATCCAGGAAATTTAAACCCTTGGTTGTAAGACAATTTTCAATCATGTTTTATATCCGTACATTCCAATTTCACATTTCACACACTCATTTCCACATTTCAAATATTTAATAATGTTTGACAACACTTACAACTGAAGGGAGTAAAATTAAGACAGTTGAGAATATGCAATCCTAATAATTTTTAAAATTCCATGATTAACACGATCAATAAATGCCAGTAACATGACCCATAGACAACTGATTTATCATCCCGAGATTTCTTCAGAGGTGAGTTCAAGCCCAAGACAGCAATTCGTGGATTCGGATTGGTACCTACCAATATTTTTTTTCAGTACAGTTCACACTTGTAATGTACCGGCCCACCCCTTGTTTTGCTGGATACACTTCACACACAGGCTTCAGGGCCCAAGTGAATGGGCAAACGTAAGGTAAAAGAGGCCCCAAACTTAAAAAAAATGTTCTTGGATAAGAGTTTCAACTTAGTTCTAGCTATTCCTTACCTGAACCTCTTCTCCGCCCTCCAAAATGACTGACAAGCTCCTTTATTTTTCGCTTTCGCTTTCAAGTACGAAGCTCCAGTGGGATCTGCAAGTAAGAAGTCTGTTCAAAAATTAACGAGAACTTCAAACAGTTACATAGGTGAAATATAAATATACTGTAGTTGTTAGCACTGCCTCCCCAGACCTCTTCCTGTAAACAAGCCGCTTCATAGCAATAAGCATCTAAAAATATAAAACAGTTGGGAGTTGTAAAAAATATTAAATTTAACTTAAAGTGCAGTTTGAAAGAAAAATCTTAAAAAATGTGATTAAGTTTTGAAAGTAAGTTAAAACTGTGTATTATCTTGGTAGAACCTTGAAAAAATATAATGTTGATATGAAATATGACAACAGGTATTATTTTGTTTACATGAACGTTTCAGAGAATTCTAATATTTGATCAACGAATGTCAAAAATAACCACATTATGCCTGAACGCAAAGAATTTATAAATCTGTTCATCTTATTCTATTTTTGTTTTCAACTTTTCTCAATGGATATTTTATTACTACTGATATTTATGATTAATTCCCTACTACATATGCTGAGCAATTGTATATGTACAGTCAAGACGCTGTATGTACAGAAGCTTTCATTTCCCACTACAAGCAGTTCTAGATCTACAGCCACTAAAGTCCTATTCCAATAACTATACTACTGACTGTACACTATTCACAGTTTTCAATGTCGATCGTGAGATGTGAGCTTCACATTTTACATGATTACCTCACATTTGTGTTTAAGATCAAACATTCTTACCATGTCTTGAGGTCTCAAACAGTAATATTATTTTTGTGATTTCACTATATTTAAATGAACAAAAACAATGGTGTAAAGATTAACATCGCACGTTTCAAAGTCTGCTTTCTTTTAACAAGTTTTTAGGGATTTCCTCATCTAAGTCCCTTAATGTATAATAGTATTAGATCATTTATTATGTTTGAACAATTATGACCATTATTTTTTATAGAGATGTGATCATGTTTCAATTATAATTGTATGAGTGCAAAAAACATTTTTTATATGAGTAATATAATATCCGCAATGCACTTGTAACTTCCAAACAAGACAATATTAATTTCTTTGAAGTTACCAAAAATTGAAAAGTTTTGTTTTGTAAAAAGTTTAAAAATAGAATAAGGGTAGTTAAAACTGGATACAAAAAATTGAAAATAAACGTTAAAAACCAGAAACCTAACTACAAAATTCAACTTGATATCAGAAGTATTAGATTGCGTAAAGCGAGGCATATGAAAACAATGTAAATTTACCACAATAGTAAAATCCCAACAATAAGGCTTATTCAGCTCCAACAGCATATATAAATCAGTAGCTGAAAGCTCTTCATCAAACTATTTAAAGCCTGTGTCACACTATGCTACTTTACTAGCAGCTAGCGAAATAGCAGCTACTAAGTAGCCAATGTGACATAGGCAGTAGCAGCTACTAAGAGTAGCGCGCTAGTGAAATTTTACTAGCATGGAAAGTTGAACATGTCCAACTTTCCGTGCTACTAAAGTGCGCTAGTGAGTCACGTGACCAACTAGCAGCTATCTAGTAGCGACTGTCGCCCAGTGTGACAGCTTCAATAGCAGACTAGCGGCTACTTGCACAACGTGCTGTCTGCCTGATTTGTTTATTCTCGTTCATTTTGAATAATTTCTGAAGTAATCATGAGTGATCCGAAGTGGGGTGGGGGAGATGTGATTAATTTTTTGAACCTGTATAGAAAATATCCGTGTCTTTGGGACATAACCTCTCTTGAGCTAAACTAGTAGTAGCAGCTAGTGAATAGACGCTACCAAAATAAGTGTGACAGGAAAAGTAGCTGCTATTTCAGTAGCTGCTACTAGGTAGCTGCTAGTAAGTAGCCAAGTGTGACACAGGCTTAAGAATAAGTGGTTACAGGAAGCCGGAACCATGATGGGATCAGTACAGATTCCCTTTTCCAAGCGTAGAAGTAGTCACAATTAGCTGCAGCAGACAGAGTAAGAAGAAGTCGACTCCTAAAACGTTAACTAACAGAAGTTATATCCATGCGTAGACTAACTACAACAGGTAACGGCCACCACATTACGTTCACATGGCATTATATTACGGCTACATGTACTCTGATTACCATACCTCTTCGGTTTTTCTTATTAACAGGCACTGAAACAAAATATTCAGCAGTATTCATTGGTAAAAATGTTCTTGTGATTTTGTCATATGAAAACAATCCATCCAACACAATATTAAACATTGTTTACTTTTACTTAAGCAAGAGCTATAAAGAGGAGCCGTTTTCTAATCTTCATTTCAGACCTGTATGAAATGTGTTAAGTATATCACAATGAGAATATAACCCATCCACTAGATTAAGAAAGGTCTGTACGTACAAATAAAATAGGCTTAAAGCACTGTAGTTAAAACTGTTTCCATCTCTACCTTATTCATAAATGTTTACCAAACTTCCAAAATAAAGGAATAGCAAAATAGCTATTTACATTACAAGTGTAGTAAGAGCGTTTTTACATCACGCAGGTGAATGTTGTGCAACGAGCGGAAGCGAGTTGCATAATTCACCTGAGAGATGTAAACACGCTCTTGCGCAACGTGTAACGTACAAGATTTTACCTGACCCGACAATATACATGGGTTTACGTACAATATTTTTCATTATCCATTTCACTCATCGTTTTTTCAGTAACGTTCTTTTACAAACAAAAGCTAGGTTAGGAAAATACTATAAAGCATAACAATAACATTCAAACGCACAGCTGATTTCTAACGTTGAACGTCGATGCCTCCATAGAGGTATATTTTTTTAAGTTAAGCACTCAATGTTATTTAAATGGGTTTCATTACATCACCGAGTGAGTTTTTTTCAACTTTACATCACTCGAGAAGTAAGGAAGTTGTATACATCACGCTTGGGATAGGGAAGTTTAACATGGCGGGTTAGGTAAAATACCTTAATAACACATTTTGTTTCAAAATAATCAAAAATGTCTAGTAAACCACAGCAAACCCAAAATGAACATCATACGACGAAACCACACTCTGACTGACTGTCCTGTTGCTTTAATAATCATGTTGTAGTATTTTGTTTTATGAGCAATTGCAAAATTAGGAAAAAAGTACTCTCGACCCTTTAGGTAGATATGGGAAAATGAGGGGCATTTAAAAAATTGATTTCAAAATAATCACAAAAGTCTAGTAAACTACAGCAAGACCAAAATGAACATCATACGACGAAACCACACTCTGACTGGCTGTCCTGTTGCTTTAATAATCATGTTGTAGTTTTTTTGTGTTATGAGTAATTGCAAAATTAGGAAAAAAGTACTCTTGACCCTTTAGGTAGATATGGGAAATGAGGGGCATTAAAATTTTTTTTTTCAAACCCTGATCTTTTAGTATAATTGTAGACAGTAAAGAGTGGGCAAACTAGTACGATGGCCCGACTCCCGTACTATTCTCACAGCCTCTGCCAACCTCACCCGGCCAGGTTGTGTTGGGCTTCATCCACAGCACATCTGCTTATTTTATACATTCACTCATCACTTGTAAATATAAAAGATACTCCAGAGTCTTGCTAATCCAACTTTCCAGCTAACCTCACATCTGTTGTGGAAATGAGGTTACAGTAATCCAATTTTAAAAAACGTAGGCCTATGTATTTTGAATTACTATGCAGAGTGTTTAGCCAAAAGAGAAACCGGAAAAAGATTCAGTGAACTGTATGGAACCAGGAAATTTGGAATAATAATCACCAATAGCCTAATGCCGAGCATCTATTCTGTGAGCAGTGTCCTGTTAATTTCCTTTAAAGTAGTACGAAGAACCATCATCGTGACAGGTAATCACAAATTTTTCTGCAATCTTTGAGACAGTCAACACGGCGACACGGTGATTGTGGGTAATGATTCAAGCGTTATTGTAAATGCGGAAGTAATATAGGGCCTATGGCCACTTACAGTCATAAAAATATATTGTTTTATTTTTTTTATATTAATGAATGTGAATGTCCGGATAATCTGAAAAAATTGTAATCCGAAAAGGGTCAGGTCCAAATTACTTTGGATTAGCTGGATGCCGGTATACATTGATTGTTATTGTTGAGAATTGAAATATGAACATTGTCCAAGTAACATTGATTCATCGCAAGATATGTATCTAATTTTACCTTACCCCATAGTAATATATTTGATCTCAGCATTTTTGTTAATTACTACACTTCCACACGGTTTAAATTAAGCCTATATAATTTTATACTTCATACTGGGTCTGTTTTTAAAGCCTCTATTGAGATTGACCCTACTAAAAGAGACAACAATAAAGTTACTCTATATATTTGAAAAAACACACAAACTAACTACATTGATCGACTAAGGATAAAATATTTATCCGTCTACCACTCTTTGTTTAAAACACAAATAACGATACAAACAATTTTCAAAACTCACAAACCTTAAGAAATGTAATTTTAAACAATTGCCTAAAGGCATGCTAACCTAAAGAATTAACAAGAACATTTATTATTTAGAAATGTAAAAATAATTTAGTCAAAACTCCATCTACATTTTACACTCAAAAAACCCCAAAGTGTGTAATAAACAACATGTGACGATTTACAAGAATAAAACACAATGAAATCCCACTTACCATCTTCTCCTTCCTCCTCCCCCTCCTCTTCTTCTGTGTCTGTGCTTTTGCTTTTCCCCAAGTTTTTTAACTTTTTTCTTTTTGCCGCTGCTCTTCTTCTTGCTGCACAGACAAAATAGTAACAGGTTTACAACGAAAATACAAAAATAGAACAGATTGAGAAACATGTTTCATAAAACAGCTTGCTTAACACTACACATTCCGTTTGCTTAGTTTGGTAAGCAATATTTTTTTGTTCATAAATTACTCTTTTTTGCCTTGGTGCTTTCTCTTACCTTCTATTATGTGCATTTTCTCTTCTTCTGTAGTTCTTTCCTCGGCTAAAATTACCTCCTCTGAAAAACAAAATGAGTATTAAAATTTTGTTTATGTTAATTAATTATACATCCATGTATACCCATGTTGGAGAAATTTCACTATAACTTTAAACTACCATTTACTTTAATGGATGCAGTAGGTAGTTAAATTTGTTTTTGGATCTGTTAAAGATAGCTGTTTTCAATTCTTTTTTATATCACTAGGTATATTTTGTATTGATGGGGGTTTAATTTCCTTATTTTTTTTATGAGCTTAAAGTTCTGCTTAAAAACACATTTACCAGCGAAATATTATATCAGTCATTAAAAAATTATTTGAGGTTAAATTTACATCATCCATTCATGCTTGTTATCGTTGCTGATTAAATAAACATTCTCTTGCTAACACAACACAAATATAATTTACCTGCTTTACATATCCATTCTACATAGCCGTTCAGTTCTCTTTCAAGTTGTTGTTGCCTTCTCAACTTTAAAAAAGTCTGGCGATTTTCCACTTTTTCTCTTTCCTTGGCAAATTCACTGTACAGAAAAGGAACAGGGTGCAAACAAACTACAACAAAGCAGGAATATATCGAGTAATTTATCAAACAACAGAATTATATGAATGCTACAGGTTTGATCGTTACAGAATTTTAAGCTGGGGTAGAATAGTTATTTGTGCAACTAGTGAGAAAAGTGAGCAATTGACTCACTCGAGAGAAATCCTTACTCACGAGCCGTAGGCGAGTGAGGAATGGTTTCTCGAGTGAGGCAATTGTACTTTGAACTCGAGTTGCACATTATACTTTTTCTACAGTTACCATAAAACAAATAAATTGGTGAAGAAACATAACCTATTTTTACACAGAAGTGAACTTTTAATATAACATTTAATGTGAAGTGACAAATACAACAGTACAACAGCTGACCAGCTGATTTACAGCCAGTGCTGCCAACGTATTTCGCGCGCATACGACGTTGCCTTCATGTTACGCGCTCACTATTTCGTGCCTTCACGTTGCAAATCTGGAGTGAGACAAAGTAATTAGAGTGAGACAATGTTAACATTGTCTCACTGATGAGCGAATTGACCACTTTGCTTTCTCAAATCAGTGAGAGAACATGTACATTGTTAGGTAACTGTAGGAAAAATACATTTCAATTTACTTTAAGTATTCAGGGTTTAGGTGGCCTCGACTTTGCTTTAGTTGTGTATTCAAAACATAGGACATCTGTACGTGTACAGGGAAAATCTTTTTGGTAAATCTTAAAGCACGGAGGAATGGGAAGTGTCTTTTTCTACAGGATGGTTGGACAGCCTAGTATTTTGGGTCTGAATTTAATAATATAAGAAAGTAATACAAATCACAAGGACAAATCATATAGTACAGTCTTGGATCAAAATTACAATACCACACTCGCACACATGTTAAAAATCCTTACAGTTAGTATGTGTTAGTCAACCATGGGAACATAAAGTGTTAGTTTAGTATACAACAAAACTCAAATAGCGTACCACACAGGTTTTCAAACATAAGTCACCGTCTATACCACATTTCTTCTACATGAGTTCAATTGCCACTCAATTCGGCAGGATGTTGGTACCTGCTTGGGATATCCAAGAAATATAAGCACCATATTGCTGCCTGAACTGCTTCTTATATTTCACCTTAAAATAACGAGCTCTCCTCTCAACGATTGCTCGTTGATTTGAAAATTCTCTGTAAGGACATTTCATAGTGGTTGATACAGGACGTAACTTTTATTTTTTGGTTGAAAAGAAGTAAAATAACTAAAGATAGAGAATGCAATTTCAGTGGTGTAATCTGTAGAGTTTTCATTCTTTTCTGATTGTACATAACTTTAATGTAAGTTTGATTATGCACAAGAGAATTAACTCTCTACAATAATCTCTGTTTTACAACAGCTAACATTTTGGTTAGTAACTATGTTCACACAACTGCCCTGCAAACTAATTTAATTAGGCTTCTTAGTTAAATCAGTAGAAACAAGTTCATGGACAACCAATTTTAGATTTAGATCTACACTCCTCGGTATATCCTAAATAACATTAGCTCAACAAGTACTTACGCTCAATACTTCGATTTGATGTTATGTTTAATTTTCAATATTACAATGAAATATTTGCCAAATTGATGGCATGTTTATTCATAAACAATAAATATAGAGAAATTCATTCATTTGCCACAACGAAGAATCATTAGGGAAAATATACTGGGAAATTATGTTTAGTAACCGGTAGGCCAAGAATAGTAATACAAACAAATTTATCCTGTTAAATTGTTGGATAAGATAAAAAACTTTTACAGGAGTTACTGTGCCTACGGACATGAATAAATCTTGGTCTATGACCATTGACTTTTTGTATCCCTAGTTTTACAAATTGATATATGATTATATATGATTATATGATTATAATGATTATAAAACTTACTTCCTACAGTTCAGAGAATACAGTTGTGCTTATACTCACCCACTAAGAACACCAAGAACTAAGTTGAGCATAAAGAACGACCCAAGAACAATGAGAGGGACAAAATAAAGCCAGTTGAAAGAACTACCTATGGCATCATTCATCTGTGGAAAAAATGAGAATTATGTAAGTGTGTCACAAAAACAAACCTATGTTCATACAACTAATAAAATCATCACAGTGTCAAGTTAGCACTGATCATCTTTTCACTCACCAAATCACCGAATATGAGAGTAAACATAAGAGTGTCTTAATTGTTTTTATCCCTTCCCTCGCATATATTTGTGTACCATCAAGTGTCTTATTGACAAAATACTGATATGGAAAGGGTAGCATTGAAGATTGCTACTATTGAACACAGTACATAATAAAAAAACTTCAACAGCTATTAGAGTACGAGCTGTCACCTCAAAATGTATGTTTATTGTTTAATTCTAAATTGAACATGTATAAGATGAAAAATACTCCAATGTTTCAAATGAATGTGGTAAACTTTATGGGATTTTCAATGTTAATTGATCCCCTAAACTAGGGGATTATGGGTTACCAAAGTTTGGTCACAAAATTTAGGCAGTTTAAGGGGAAGGTTTCCAGCCCCCCCCCCCCCCACTACTTTTTAGCTTAATAACAGCTGATGTTTTAAAGTTAGGGTGAGTTGGGGATGAAATTTTTTCCCATCAAAAACACCTAAATTTTTTGAACGGAGTACAACTCAACTGGTTCAACAGCAAATTTGACAGCATAAACATTACAACTAGTTGACTTTAGAGTTGAAAGTCTGGTTTGCTACAATCTGATACTTACCCAGTATAAAATAGCAGTCCATCCCTCCATAGTAATACATTGGAACACTGTGAGCATGGCTAAGCCAATGTTATCAAATGATGTGATCCCATAGTTAGGCCCTTCCCAGTCCTCTACGCACACAGAGATGTTCGGATCACACGCATAACTCCCTACAAAGACAAAACAATGTAAATATTTTGCAATAAGGTAGCTAGTAGTTGCGTGAACACTATATAAAATCATACCACAAACTATAATAATCACCTCTAAGCTTAGATTGTTTTGGTTTTAATATTTCTTGAAACTATGAAATATTTATCAAACAATTCTGAGCCAAAAGAGGTAGAGTCTAGAGAGCTACTGAAGAATTAAGAAAATCTACAGAGAACTATTGGACATCTACGGTAAAACTATTGTTCATCCAAAGGGTATTATGAGAAGTACTAAATTAGTTCAAATTTGTTTGGATAGATGAAACTAAATGAGCTTTAGACTAAGTTTATACAGTGAACGGTAAGTTTTGATACAAATGAGATTATTAATTATTTTACAGCACATATTTGTAAAATTACTCACACAAAATATTTGACTGAATACAGATACAGTAATGGGATATTGTTACTTTTTCACTACATAATCATTCCAGGCATATTGCATCATCAAACATTTCCATAACTTGCACTACGTAAAAAATGGGAGAAATCTTTTTACATTTTTTATTTTATATGGGGTAGTTATATCCTTATTTCCTGTATGGAAAACTTGTTAAGAATGGGTGGAATTTTTAAATTTAATATGGTGTCTTTTGGAATATTTTAAACTCAGACTATTGTTAAAGAAAATATATCTTACATAAGGAATATTTGCTCACAAAGTAACTGCTTTGTATGACATCGGTTTCTTTAAATACAATTAAATTCAGTAAATGAAATTTGACTCAAGATTTTACCATTTAGAATGTTGTTTATTTACAGCATGGCCTATATTGCATAATCAAATGTTGGATAAAATTATACTGTGTTTTAATTATTTACTATTGTCAAGTGCTGTCAAACAAGAACACAAATTTACTAAGTAAACATCGATCTAGTAATATTATTTGGAGTTTAAAATAACTCTACATACTACCTACAAACCAAAATGAGGTTTATGAGTCAGAAATTCTAAAGATTAAAAAGTGTGATAACTGATCTTAAATACAGTAGACTCCCTCTTATCCGGTCACCTTTTAACCAGACATCGGTTTAACCGCACTACACTCAGCGGAAATGACATCTCTTTAACCGGACTATTTGTATCAGCACATTGGTTTAACCGGACTAGATTGGCAGGAAGTGGACAGTACTGAAACGTCTATTCTCGTGGGAAAGATTTGAGACCAGTGATCTTGTGTCTTAATACAACGCTCTCCTAAATTTAAGTAGAATATCACAGTAAACAGTCAATTTAACGAGTTTTTGGGGACGTTGGTTTAACCAGAAAACCCGCTATCCAGACTGGCCTCGGTCCCGAGGAGTCCGAATAAGAGGGAGTCTACTGTAATGGTTTTGTCAATTTTTGTGTCTTTGCCATGAATAAAATAATATATGGCCATCTGCTAGTAATTAAAAACGTACAATAAGATCTTAAAAGTAGGAACAAAATATTATTTATCTTCTTCTAATCATGAATCTCTTTTAAAGAACTTCAAGTGATTGATGTAAGAATGATGGTCTCTACCGTTGTGGTTTACTCCTCAATTACTTCAAGTTTAGCTCAAATCCTTTGCAATCAGAAATCTGTAAATTAAGTTTTCTCAAAAAGTCTGGCAGCCAGATAACGGTGGCACAGCACCGTTATTTTCATAGTGATTCTCCATAGTGCTAGCTATTGCCCACCATTAAAAAAAACCAATTGCAGAAGGCCAGCAATACCAGCTACAAAACACATATGCTAATTTGCTATGGATATGGTATTTATTCATGTTTACTGAATGGTGATTAACATCATTGGAACTAAAAAACTCTGATCTAGTGGGAAGAAGCTGCCATGATAGCTGATACACTGAGAGTAGTTAGTTATTAGTTACTAATGGTCACACGGACAACAGAAAATACAGTTCTACTGTTTACTGAGCGCAAAGGGGAAAAAATCAAACTATTCTCTTTGAACCAGACATTTGCCCGTCCAAAAAGGCCTTTGGCCAGTGGTGAGGCAATACGGTACAAGAATGAACAGTACTGATAATTAATTATTAATTGTAGTCTCCTAGACTCAAACCCACAACATTGTTGCTATGCCTTGGACTCACAGCACATCACACGACCGACTGAGCCTACAAGCTTGCCTAAACAAAGTGGTTAAATTGAAATTAGTTTTTCATCACTCCGTAACGAAAGTAACTACTTTCGATAACAGCTGATATCAATGAAAGTAGTCGTTTCCCAAGCTCTAATTTAGGGCGAGGGAAAATCGATCAGCTGATTTTCCCTCGCTCTAAATTTACTTTCCCTCGCTCTCAATTAGTTCTCTATTTATTCACTACCCGCGCTAGTGTTTTGTTATGGTTTAATTTAATTATTTGAATCAGCTGTATGTATTGTTCAAAGTTGTTTTATTCTTTTATTTTGATATTTAAACAAAATGGTATTGAGAAATATACGTAGGTTTCCTTTTAGAAAATTTTATTTTATTTTGATGTTCAATCAAATTAATTGAGAAATAAAATAGTTGTAATATTACTGAGGTCTGCTATTCTGTGTTTGTGTATTTTTGCGTCGTGATGAAAAGTATCGTTCATAACTCGTACCGAAAGTTGTTATACGGCACTTGCTCCATTATTCCCGTCCTCGGCTTAGCCTCGTACGTGAAAATAGCTCTCACATACTCGGCTTTGCCTCGCACGTGAAATTGATGTTCCCTGTGTTCGGCTTCGCCTCACACAAAAACTTGAGCGCGCGACGGAAAATGCCACTTTCGGTCCTAGTAAAGAAATATACTATTTCCAACAAAAAGGCGGATGTGTAGACTAAGCATTTTAAATGCAACAAATTTAAGGAGCAAATTTGTCTCTTTAGTGTCCTCTATGTTAAAGACACCTCAGAGTTGCAAAGCACGGATACATTAACTAGTGTACTATATTTTTTCATAACCACACCCAACAGCTGTTACTCTCTTAACCACTCACAAACTGATTTCCAAACTGAAATGCCACTTAAAGAAACAGTTATCACACTTGGCAAATATAATGAAAAAAAGGAATCCACAATGCAGGGATTCTAACTAGGGACTCTGCTAAAGCTCTCATACTAAAACATTCCATAAGAGAATAATTATTTAAATATGGTTGTATAGTACAAATAGCTCGTTGATGAATGGAACTAATCATGCAGGCGATTGCTGGGTAATTAATTGTATGACAGCTGAGCTAGGATAACTAAGAACTGAACTCACTACACAAACACTAGTCTCTAATCTAAGAGAAGAAAGCAAACAGTCTACGGCTCAGAAATGTTTTATACAGTTGTGTTATTTAAGTGTTAATGTTAAAATGAAGCACAATTTAAATCGGTGTAGTACTCACACTGTAAGTGCTTTATTGTATTTTTTATTCATACTACACATTTAGTAAGTTATTCTCTGTTATTATTTGTAAGTTTAAATGTATTTCACAATAAATTTGTGTACAAGAACAGGGTGCCTACAAGAACCTAAAAGGCAGTATTTATGTTAAAAGCAAACTTTTTCATTGATACTTCTGGTATAGAAAAAAAACACCTTTAATTGTTATAGTTCGGCCGCTTAGAAAGCGACCTCCTCCAGCATTGGTTTAGCATTAGCGCGCAGGTCGTTTTCTAAGCGGCCGAACTATAGTAGCATTATTGTATTGCTACTAGCTTGCCTGTACTATAGAGAAGCGTTTGAATGCATGTTTCAGACTTTAAAGTGGTAAATGATTAGGAGAATGGAATGGACATTTCTGGCCTTTAAATAAATTACAGTATATTGATATTGACTTAAACCCTGCAGTAATATTTTCAAAATTTTTTTCATAGCTGGAGAACAAATTGTTAAAAAGCATTTTGATACATTTCTTTGTGAAAATTCAAAAATGCTGACAAATGTTATAAACAAGCTTTTTACTGAACATAAAATCTATAAAAGTTTGTTGAAGAGTTTGTACTAAATGAGAAAAAAGTTGTAGCTAGAATATTATAGTAAAGTATAACCTATTTTAATTTTTCATAATTTGAATACTGTTGAAAATAGCATGCAAAAACAAGATTTATAGACCACAAAATGATTCAAAGTGTCCAACAGCAGTGGTTTTGGAGCAAAAAGTAACTGTCCAGAATACATCTCCAACATTGCCCAGATCAGTAGACACCCTGATAGCCATTGGCAAAGTGGGTTGGTAGACTAATCTATAGTTTGGTTTAATATTTTATTTCAACTCTCAGCACAAAATTACAGCGAGTAAAAAATAGCGACTACAATACTTTAAAGAGTGCAAGAAGCTTGCCATGCACTCAAAATGTTTCCTTTCGTATGTGTATCTGTTATACACCTCTGTAGTGCAAGTATCAATGCTATATGCAACAAATCCAGAATAAACAATAAAATATTAAAGCTCTACGATAACATGTAAGTTCCATACCACCAAAATCGAAAGGCTGTCCAGAATCTGTAAGCATTCAATATATTGACTCCCTGAACAGCAAAGGAGTTGGATGGATGTTTTCAATGCGGATTGTTTTAGATGAACAGGTGACATAAGGAAAATAGTTAGGCCTACCAGGCCTAGACGTTGGTATTTTTTACAAGCCCTGCCATTTTCCTCACAATTTGCAGTCCTCAAAGATACTTTAAGCATATTTTAGTAATTATTTCTAAAAACCTTTAAACGTTGCTACTTATTTGTTTTTTTTTCTTTTCGTCTACCAACTATAGCACCAACATCTGCTAAGGCTTAACATGAAATAAGCTGTACACTGCTTATACTGCAAGGAAACTGTCACTAGACTATTCTCAGCCCAAGCAAGAGAATGAAGAAATCTGATAATCATTGATAGCCAGCTCAACCTATATAATATACGAGTATCTAATGCAGCGCCTAATTTAAAGTAGTTAAAAATGACCATAATCTACACACAAAGATTAAACCATACCACCAAAATCATACGGTCTTCCTGAACCTGTAATCATACAATATTTTCCAAGTGGTTCAAGACATAAAACATCAACAAACACTCGCCACATAGAATCAAATCGAGCATTAATTATAATAGGTTTCTAATACTAAGGTTTTCTAATATTTTATGAAACTATTAATATGTAACTTGTTTCTTTAATCGTATAACAAGGCACTATATTTAATTTTTGTGTTGTTAGTTACGATTTAAAATTGTATTTTATGTTGATATTGTAATTTTATTCCAAAACCATTTATTACTACACACATTTATTTATTAGCCAATACATTGGTACTCAAGGTAATTTTTATGGGTTTGAGTGACAAACTCATGTATTTTGAATTTCAAAATAGGCTACCGTATTTAATCTAAACATATTAATAAGGTGCACTATACATCAGTATTAAAATGTATAAATATATGAGTAAATTTAATAAAGCTTTTTAGAATTTTATAAACCTTTTTAAAATTTAATTTATCGTTCAGACAGAGAGTGAATTGTTTACAAAAGTTAAATCTCGCTATGGCGCTTTCAATGTTTAAGAAGCCTGCAACATTGTTGTTTACATTTAAAGACATAATTTATAATACGATATAACTGACAATAATAGGAATGACAAATTGAAAATGTGTAGCAGTGATCATAAGAAAATACATACTACACTGTAGGGATGAACACGAAAAATCTATTCCCAATCTTCGGGAGGGATTACATATCATTCAGGATCTTTTCATAACGGGATTTATTTTGAATGTCAACAATTATTGCGAGTGACAATGGTGTCCCCGTAATCGCGGGAGATGTCCACAATTTTGATGCCATTGCAAAAGTGTGCATAAATTTTCCACGTTTTTACCGCCATGGCCCGATGAAAATTATGCAACTGCAAGAGATAATTAGGATCCTCTGGCAACCACGGATAATAGTCATGATGACATAGAACAGTGTGATAAAGACTAAAAATTGATTTTGTTTGTCATCCATCATTAATAAAATTTAATAAGAAAGGTCTTCTGCCGTTCCTGTCTTGAGTGTCAGGAAGGAAATAAAAATCCCGTCCATCCCTACTGCATAGTTATGCATGTTTAGATAATTAAAGAAAAAAAGACTTGAAGTAAATAAAAATAGTTGCCCTTGTCAGATAATGACAAGGGACCAACAACAATTTATTTTTATTTTTAACACAATTTTGAATTATAATTCATATCTGAATATTTAATTTATTTAGGTTTAGAACTATTTATCTCACGTTACATGAGGGTAATAGTTGCTTCTAAAATCCTGTCAAGTGTCAAGGTTATGTTTAGGTAACAAGTTTGGGGACACTTGGTATTTTCGTCTACAGTATCAACACTCACACTCATATTTAGGTTAAAACAGCAATTAATCTTGAATGACATGACACTAATAGTTGTCTTCTACGATCTTGTCATGGTTATGTTTAACAAGTTTGGGGACTCCAAGACACATGATTTTCGTCTACAATCACGCTCACTAAACCTACTCACACAGACAACATTCAGCTCGCTAATGTGTTTCCGACGTACCTGTGGGCGACTCAGTTCTATTGTCCGTATTACAAGGAGTTGGCGTTTCACTCTCACCCTCTGGTACGATCTTTCTCAAGTCTTCTAGGCTGTAGCAGGTTTTGTGCAGCGCCCCCGAGTAGAACTCCAGCCCAATGATGGCGAATATGACGATGGCAAACAACACCAACAACCCGATCTGTAGCAGGGGTGCCATCGCCTTGATGATGGATTTGAGCACAACCTGTAGACCTGACGAAGAACAGAGAGTTAGGTTGGGTGCTGACCAGTGTGTGGCTGTAGCGGCAATATTTACATTGGTGAAAGTTATTGATATAATAAAATAGGTGAATTAGTCTATCGAAGATTTATACTCCTTAGACTGTAATGGTATTCATTTTGAATTTTGATAGCCCTTGGACTACGTATATATGACTTTTTAGGCTTTAAAGGCTAGATAGTAGTCCAAAGTTGTGTCTAACTTAAATTCATCAAAGCTGACATGTTTCGTTGCAATGCAACATTGTCGGAGCTTGCAACATGTCGAAAACATCAAAATTTTCACAGAATACAGTACATATACATGACACGGAACACGGAACAACATGAAACAACACAATGATAGCACTATAATGATCATGACATGGCGGCGGTTGTAGTTAGACTATAGCGCTATCATCATGTTGTTTTGTGTTCATTGTTTCGTGTCCCGTGTTGTGTATATGTACCGTATTATGTGTAAATTTTGAGGTTTTTGACGTTTTGTAAGCTCTGACGATGTTGCATTGCAACAAAACATGTCAGCTTTGAATAATCGAAGTTAAGACACTATTTTGGATTACTGACAGAGGTAACAGAGGTAAGCATTTTAGTCTTACACTGAAAATTCAGGTAAAGAGGTGAGTGTTTGTGTACTAAGGGAACTAGTTTTGAGCTCCTATGTCTAAATATTTTACTGTGTTCCACTGAACTGGGCTTTCATAAGTAGATATATGATAATATTAAATGGAAATTAAGTAGGCGGTGCATTGTAATTCAAACACCTAAAGTGTCTAGTTATTCTTGGATTATTTTCATATCAAACAATGAAGCTAATAGTAGAATGTTGAAAGCTTTCCAAACAATTAACAATAATGTAAAAGATAAGAACAAAAAAGTAGGTAATACAAAAAAATTCTTGAAATGAAACTAGCACAGTGTAAACAAAAACATTTACCTCGAGCAAAACAAATCAAACATCCACAAAAGAGAAAAGTAAACAACTATTGGGCCACGAGAGTCTGCAGTTGGTGGCAGCCAATACCAAGAGCGAGCTAGCGGGACGTTGCAACATCACCCATTGACTACCACTCTGCCCCCATCGCTGGCCGTGGTGACAATAATTAAAATATACTAAAATATAGTTTTCAAACCAGCTAGTATGGAGACAAGTTTGTCAAACTAAAGTATCTTCTAAACATATAAAAGTCAAAGCCTTCACTCACTGACTGACTGATTCATCGCTAATTTTTCCAACTTCCAGACTAGCCAGAAGGCTTAAATTTGGTATACTTGTTATTTAGGTCAAAAATAGGAAAGGTGAATAGTTTTCATAGTGATTTTACAAAAGGGTTTACAAAGGGAGCCCTAGAAACCCCTTGAACATTCAGTGTTATTCTTATGGACATTCTATTTCCGTTCATGTTTATCACACATATGTTTGAAAATAATTTCTATGTATTTTCTTTACCAGCTGATTGTTTGTTGTGTTTGTTTTGATTGTTTATGTTTATTTCAATTATGAGGTTGACCTGTGTGTTTTAAAACAAGTAACTTCTCAAGTGCTGTGTGCTCTCCTATCACTTCATAACTATTTATAGGTCTAATTGGTGTTCATATCAAGAGAGAAGATCAGAAGTTTTTGATAAGTACAATCCTGTCCATTCCTAGCTAGAGTAATGACAATGCCACAATCATTCAATTGCAGAATGATGTGTACTGTATGTTGTTGTGAGATCGGAGTTCAAGTATTGGGCGGATTAAGTAAAGTATTAGCAATTAAAGTAAATTACAAATGGCTTTTTTACGTTTTTTTTGTGTGTCGATAAATGTAGGCCAGGCCTATTTATGTCAAGTTTTAATAAGGTCTTTTACTGAAAGTTTTAGAAAAGCCAATTTTATGTGTGTACATTCACGCACATTAAAACGTGATTGGTGAAAACATTGTATATACAGTAGACCTGCAACTACTGTTTAGGGCCTTTGAGAACCACAATAAAACATTGTGCAAGGTCTTATATTACTAATTCTATTTTAAGATACTTTACATAATACTTTAAAATGAAGCTATGGGAGAATTGACAGTACTATTGGAAAATTAGGTCTAAGCATGTACACCTAACTGAAAAGAGATACAACGGGGATAGTATCCTGTCCAAAAACATAAATTTTGTAGGTGGTTTCAGAAGTGAGTTGTCCAAAGTTCTTGATGGAAGGGCAGTTAATGTTGTATATGAAGATTTCCCTTAGTTTTAACTTTGTTAGTCATACATGCTAAATTAAGTGATAATATAATATAAATGGATTCAGGCCTAATATGTTTTTTTATTATTTTGTTGGCCAATCTAATTAAACAATTAACTTTATTTATTTTAAATTTTTGTGAACAAAGTCACGGCGGGCTTGCTAGTATAATATATTACAGAACTAACTTTGAAGTCACACAGTAAATAGGTTTCTCCCTCAAATGCAGACTCTTGTGGCCCATACAATAATGTTATTTTAACTTAACTTTGTATGTAGTGTGTTATTTACAGAAGAGATGTACAAAAAGTTAAACAATTTATACAATATACAGCACAGGGCATAAAATAACATGTTAACTGGGCAACAAAAGTGTCCCCCAGTGCTGAGGTTTTGTCGCCCAATGGCTATGGATGGTACCGGCATATTTTTTTAAACGATTCAAATTTTAAATCTATCTGAATCTAAAAAAATAACATTATGTAAATATTTTAGAGTATTGAGCTACGATTTTGGCCCAAGAGGTTGTGAATGGAGCCTTGGCCTGTTAGAACGTTTTAGAATAAGTAATTAAGTGAGAGTATATGGACTATTTACAAGCAAATATAATCAAAAAAGTAATTAAAAGATACGTAGAAATGTGTAATTTTCACTTTAATTTATGCAAAAATTTCCGGGTTGGAACCCCCGGAACCTCCTTTTTGATGGGGGGTATTCCATACCCCAAGGTAAGTCCGGCACCACTGTCGGGGAGTGGAAGTCCCTTAAAATATGCTCTGATACAGCAAATGTTATAATTTCTAAGATTGAACAAATAGTGTGCATAATTAAAGGGAAAGTTTTTTTTTGTATTTTTTCCGTATGAGAAAATTTGAAAAAAGTGCTAATAGGAGTAAGTTAAAAATATTAAAGGTGAATATTTCCAATAACAACCTGATTTAAATTTAATGTTTATTCAGATTCTGAATTATCTACAGCCATATTTACATTTGTAAAAATAAGAGTAAACCAGAAAAAGAGTCAATGATCTGAATTTGAATTGTTTTACCGCAACTTCTATTTCCAATTATAGTTTTCAAACTACTGAATTAAGCCTTTTATTGTTTGATTTTTCTGACAAAAAACTTAAGATATGAAAGTAAATTTATTCTCTAGCTACATTCTTTCCTACATAAGTATTTATGATCAAAATTGGTTTGGATGTGCAATCGTTCTAACTTCAAAGCCTCTTCAATCCCAAACAAATCATACAAAAGTAATCTTTACAGGCAATCCGTATCAGCTTAGATTTATGTTTTTTCTACATAGGCTATACTAAGTCAGTAGGATGAAAACTACAGCAGTACAACTAGCATGTTTTATGGTGGGTAAATGAACTAAGCATATACAATCATATGTTTAATACTGTATTAAACTTTACGCTTCACTAATGTCCCTAAACCTATTGGTTGATTGTAGTGAAACTTAACTCGGCTTGAAAATAATCATATCAATGGAATGATAAAATCCAAAGATGATGCAATAATCTTAATTAAATAACAATGATTTTGATTTTCCAAGAATTTACATCTTACATATTTTAAATGTACAAAAGGTAGGGAAATTTATATTGACTTCCGTTATTACCTGAACATATACTTTCATTTTTCTGCTAGCTAAACACTACGGAATGTTTTGAACTACTTACTTGGAATACCAGAGACCAGTTTGAGAGGCCTGAGCACTCGAATAGCCCTCAAAGTGCGCAGATCCATATCTAATTTTGTGAAATCCGTAAAGACTATTGTGACGAACCTGTGGAATATGACGCTATCACTACCCACACAGCTAAACTAGTCTACGCTATCACTAGTATCCCAAATGTTAACAACACTTTCAGATATAACAATCTCCTCAAACAGAAAATTTAAGAAGGACGGCCGGAAATTTTTTTGGTGTGGAAACTGTAAAGGAATCCACCCATTTTAAAATATCCTTTTCAAACTCGATGACTCAAAATATATTAACTTTCTTTTTTCACAGTGTTCTTTATTCACCTTTGCATTTTGTAACAACTCGGAGTTTATGTGTTATATAATACCATTAAGTTAAATGCATTGTTTAAAAAAAGTATGAAAGCTTCGTTTCACATTTGGGACGATAAAGACTACACAATCAAAACATTTATAACTATTCTAACTCAATTTGCACACACAAATTTGTATAAATATATTCTCTAAAACTATAACTACAATCTATATACTACAGTCATCTGTTATAGTATATCTAAACTCCACAGGAAACGAACAATAAATAACACATCTGAAAACAACAATAAAGAGCCACACATCTATCTAACAACGAAGTAGATAAACAGCATGAAAGTTCAAGTTTTGTCAATTGGAAATGTAAAGTAGATTCCAATTGAAAATCACAGCCCATGAACGCAAGTTGCAACTGACAGTAATTAACCGAGTTTTATGAAACTCTAAAATTGAAGAACAACTGTAAAAGTCAATGTCCTAATCTTACTAATTATTTTACTACTGAAAACCATCACGATCAAGATGTTTTCTCCAAACAACATTTAAAATTCTGAAAACTAACTAAGAATTCACGTAACTAATTCTACAAAGATAACAAGGGGATGTAGTGTTCTCATATAGCCTAGTCAGTAAAATTACACATAAAAGCTGATTAGGGACAGTGCAACAAACAGATCTAGCCCTATGTGGACGAGACTATAACCTAGACTAGGGATCCGAACAAAACGGCTGTGTGGCACATCTTACTTGGTATCCTTGACACCAGTTTCAAAGGCCTCAACACGCGGAATGATCTCAACATCCTTAGGTCGACATCCACATTCGACTCAGCGAATATGGTCATAGACCTAAAACACCGCGTTAAGACTTGATGTTGACAAACCAAACGTAAAAATAGTTTAGATAGTTGGTATTACCTGTTACAATCAACACATACAACATTGAAACAAAGTTAAAATTACTTACCCTGTTACTACAACGAAAAAATCCATGATGTTCCAAATGTTACGAAGGTATGAGCCGCGATGAAGTACAAAACCTAATGCTAAGATTTTAAGGGATGCTTCTACACAAAAAATGCCGAGGAAATAAGTCTCCGTTTGTTCCTGAAACAGAAATAACAATTGGTCAGTCTCATGTTAAACTATAAGAATAGTTAGACTAATTCACATAAAGTTCCCTTTAATAGTAATTAAACCGGATACAATTCTGAATATTAGTTTTTAAATAGGCTAAGTCTTTTTCTGGTAGGCCTAGTATTATTTTTCAGACCTTAGTTACCAGATCACTACTCCACTACTGTACTCTGAAATAGACATTACAAACCCAATGAGAAAATTGTCGCCACTTTTTGTAAATTAGAATGCGTACAGAGTCCAGCTAAAAGGTCGCTAACCCGAAGAAATAAGGACTGATTCTTGCTTGGATTACATAGAATTTTGGTTAGGTGGAATTTTGTCCAAAACACATTTAAATGTTGACTGATATTGTAAATTTTTGTGTGTTGAGCATATTAGTTGTAATGCGAGAAATTTTATAATCTCGCTTATTGCAGTTTCAACTGAACTGAAGTGACTAAGAGGAGGAATTGACGGGCAGTATGTGAATTGATACATTATTCCCTCCTTGAACCACACTGGGCAGATTGTCAGATTAGTGGGATGGATGAGCAGATTGAGACTGATCTCATGAGTAAGTTACCACTAATAATTAAGATTACTCTTCTGTAAATTATCTCTTTTGAACAGCACAATTCAGGTTTGAGACCTAATTCTATTCAATTGGTAACGTTGTTTCATAAAAAATTTCCTGAACTTGTATTTACTATATGTTAATTTTAGTAATCACACTTAACAATTGAAGATACTGACCAGTTTCTTTGCTAGCGGGGTCTTGTCGTTCTGTGGCAGATGTTCTTCCAGGGCCAGGACCACACAGTTGGCGATGATGGTGAGCAGGACTGCATACTCGAACGGAGTGCCAGGCGGTTAAGGAAAAATGTTTAAGTGAAAGTAAAACTATTTTAGCACTCAAATTTACATAATTAACCTAAAGATCGACTATTGCAGAAGCTAAATCTCAAAACCAACATCGTACAAGTAAAAACAAAAAAAGTGCATAAGTTTACACTTGACACATGAGATGAAATTCTGAATGTACCCTAATCTCAAGTAGATTAGAAGAGTAACACCTTTAGGAACCCTCTCACTAACTGATCCTTATCATGAACTCACTGTAGGTACCCTTTAATTGGCACAATTATTGAAATAATTTATTATTTCAATTACTAAACCCTTACCTGTAGCTTATATCCTCTATATATACAATATTTGAAGAAACATTACAATTGACTCAATTAAAAACTATTGTCAGTTTTAATGCCAAACATTTTAGCTAAGTGATACCATGCCGTCTTAGTTTAATAAGCCAGACATTTCTGGTAGTTCCAGAGTTGCCGACTCTGTTGGAAAAATAAATTAAGAAAAACAATTATTTCTTACTGATATAGTCGACTTCTTAAAAAAAACTTAAATATATTTTAAAGTAGGTACAAGTAACCTATGTATAAGCTCAAAGAAATCGAGAATTTTTAGAGTAAATGACATTTTGGATTTTAAGTTATTGCAAAAATAAACACGTTTGAAAAGTTTCTGAGATAGTATAGTTTTAACTTGGTCATCTATTTGAGACGCTAACTCTAAGTGATGGACTTATATGATGACCAACGAAGGTTAGAAGCCCAGAGAAGGTAGAGAGGAAACATTTAACTTAAAAGGTGTGTCCAGCACTAGTTGCTGGTGTCTAGAGTAAACTCCGAAACCAACACTTTTCCTAACCCCCCTAGCCATTATGTATTACTACACTCACGCTATAGGTAATCTAGGAACATTCTATAGGTGTTCTAGGAACATTCTATAGGTGTTCTAGGAACATTCTATAGGTGTTCTAGGAACATTCTATAGGTGTTCTAGGAACATTCACACAATGATCACCGCTCGGCTCTTCCATGCTCACCACAAATATACATTACCATAGCGCTGTACGAGCACACACAACATTAGAGGTAAAGGCGCACGGTTGTCCCATAAGCAAGTTTCCTCAGAAACCTTACTTCTCTGTGTTGGCAGTTAGCAAATAGGGTGTTACGTTGCTTGTGTTAAATAAGGGTACCGTAACGTCTTGGGCTATAATGCGAGAGGAACGGGTTAGAATCCCGCAAAAGTTTGAGGGGTTTGGACAGCTTCCCCTTAAACGATTTTGGTCACTGAGATGGATGTTAACAGAAATTGATGTGAGAGAGCTGTTCACCGAACAAGGCTGTTTTAGAGCCTACTTTTACAACATGGGAAAGTCAGCCTTGAATGTCAGTAACTTACGGTGAATTCGAATACAAGGATGTAGGCCTACAGAATACCTTTTTCCATTGTGTAAGGTGAGGAGGGACCTCAAAAAGGTTATTAGCCCAACTTGTTCAAAAATGTTATTGGACATACGTTCATCTGATGTTGTCCTGTTTCAAATTTTGGAAAACTCTTTCTGCATTCTCCAGGAGAGTACTAAAAATGGAGAGGACCAAAACACTAAATGCACCAGTTCATTATAACCCAGTGGAACATCACATCCAAATTGCTATCTCTGGTGTCACAAAGAGGCCCTCTGAGAGGGTTTTGCATTGCCTGGACCGATAGGTTTTTAAATGGGATATGTTAGAGTTTCACACGTGAGGGTACTGTAAAATAACTTACGCCTTAGACCCTGAGAGTGCATTAAAAGGTTTATAGTGCATTTTCCTATTGTAAGAAAAAATCAAGTTTGTCAAGTTCTTTAAATGACTTGCTGGTAAGTTACCCCTAGTTGGTCATTAAGTTAAAATCATTTATAGGTTTGGCGTCCTAAATTAGGCTATAGCCTGAAAAATGTCTACTTGAAACATTACAGTAGCCTTTACAAAAATTTTTGTAAGCTTTAAAAGTTCATTTGTTATTTAAAGTCATGGAGAGTTTAGCATTTTTGCTGAAACTTATTTGCGCTTTGAGCAACAGATCAACAACTAGGCTAGCGCTAGCCTAATTGTTTGCAATACATTCTTTAGAGGTTAGGTTAAATTATGAATAGTTAAGTTAGGTAATAAAAGTTACCATAGTAAATTCATCACAGAAATATTAGTCTTAGCCTTATAATTTCTTTAAGCAGATCATCCATACAATTATCTCTGTAGGTAGGCTATGATAATATTAAAATACCTTACCTATCGTAAGAGTGTTTTTTTTACACAAACTGGTAACCAATAAAATAAATATCACTTTTTCAACTAGGCAAAACATTTGTAAACAATATCCTACTTGCTAAAACCAATTTGTTTCCTAATACCAAACTTTTTATCTTGTCAAATGTTTTATAGATATTAAGTTTTAACGTGGTTTTAATAGTAATTAATAATATAAGAAAACAAAACACATAGTAAACCGTAAACTGTAAACAAACACCATTCGTTGCACAATTTATAGTCTCTAGATTTGAATTGAATTGAAATTAAACAAACGTCAAAAACATATGTCTGTCTGTAACCTGTGTTTTTTCCAAACAGCATTCTTATTCTTCTTATAAGGAATTTTTTTGTATCTATCATAGACTTTAAGCATAGTATAAAAGATCAAAGAGTAAAGAGAAGATAGCGTATACTATCAATAAAACTATAAGAACAAAATGAGTACCTAAGCAACTTTAAAGTTGTCACGCAGCTTTTAATCCCTTGTCATCTAGTGTCTAAAAACTAGTTCGATGTATCTCGTTTTACAGAACTAATTGTGTTCTAGGTTTGACCATTGCACCTTACCATTGTACGCTCGATCAGTATAAATGCAAGCAATAGTTATATCAGGTCTATTGTCTGTGATCATAGATAAAACCATAGACTAACCGATAAAACATACTCCTTTAGTAGATTAATTTTTCATCGTTATCCTTAACGCTGAGGACAATTAATTGTATCTTTAGTATATTTTTAATCTATATTTGATCACGCTCTGTCTATTTCCATTAGACTCCCATATTCCACCCGTGAAAAAAATTGAGAGCGCTCAGGTTCTAGTCAAAGTGACGTCAGCTCTGCTCTGGGAAAAAATGCCAGGGGGATAAAATTCTGGTGACCCTATCTTGCAGTTAGTTGTATTTCTTTTTGTCTATGATGCTATGGCCTTTTTTTTAAATGTTGAGGTGCTGTTAGCTGGGCTCAGATGTTATGTTAAATAATCTTATTTAGTAGCTTTTGGTCTAACATAGGTGTATAGGTAATGTATCTAAAATATTAAAGCTAAGTTTTTAAACCGTCTCTAGTGTCACGAGGTCAGCTAATCTTAGGTGCTCGAGAGGATGTGAGTTTTCAACTTTGTGAAAATATATCATGTAAAGGGGTTAAGCTTTATTGAATTGGGACTCTGTAAACACCCGCACTTTCAGTGATTATTCAAGAATCGAGAAATATTAATTTATAATGTGATTGTTTATTAATATTTATTCAAAAGGTGTGACCGACGTAATTGTTTAAGCAATATGATCGCAGTTAGTTGTAGTTGTAGACTCTTCTAATACTATCTAACTCCCCTCAACTCTGTAATAATCCCAAATCTGAAACCATACGCAGAAACTAAATAACTAATATCTAAGCTAATGCCTAAGCTAAAAAAACATGTTTTAACTACTTTGAAATTAGTTGTGGTTATTGTGTATAAATGGCTATATACTCTTCTCCTTAGCGTTACGAATATTCAAGCAGAATAGAATACAGTATAATCAAACCTACAACTAAAACATGACTCAACTAGACGATACACATTATACAACCAATTTACAACAGACATGGTCATACATGATTGTTTTTACACAACTGGTCAATACATTGTTTTGTTGATGCACTAAGCACACTAGCCACTGATTTAAGGCTGATTTTATTCCCTGAAAAATAAAATGTCAAAATATTTTATGCCCTTTTAAATAGAATTCTGAAATTATATGCACCAAACCGGTAATTTGGAATCCCCGCGATGAGTTGATGAAGCAGAATTACTTTGGAAATAGTACCCTGGCTAGTAATTAAAATATAGAAATTATGTGTATTGTATCCGATGTCAACGGTTTTCAGTATTAGAACTATACAATTGTATTGCACAATCATCTCTTCTTTCTGAATGAAAAAAATTGTTGTTATAAAATACTTGTAAATAATCCCAGCTCTCAGTCTTAGTGCAGTAGAGCAGTAGAGGTAAAACATCTCCTATAGGTTGGTTCAGAAAACTTGCCTTAAAATACCTCCACTCACGCGATACCTGTTAGCACCCGTGTAAGTTGAATTATATTTAATGGTCAAAGATGTATGCTAATTATTTAAGCAATCCAGTGGTATAAAAATGACTCATTGTTTCACTCAAGTCATTTATATTCCAAACGACAAATATTATAGAACACATGTTGAGATTCTTCACTGATTTTTTTTATGTTAGATAATTTATTAAAGTACGGTCCACGAGAGTCTGCAGTTGAGGGAGGAGCCTATTTACCACGTGACTTCGAAGGGGCCATAGTGCGGTGTTGCCGCTGATATCAAGATATTGTTTATATTTGTTTATTGTAGTAAACGGTTGATGTTTCAACATCGCGCTACTCCAGTCTTGGTATAATCTGCAGCCAACTGCAGACTCTCGTGGTCCCTAGTGTTAACCACAATGGGATCGTAAATACTTTGTGATGCAAATAATTACAACACAACTTTACATTCTCTACACTAAACAATTTTCAGATTTTGGTTGAAAAGGATATGGCCACTCGATGATGAATCTGGTGTATCGGCGTAGGGGGTTGTCCTCGCTGAGCAGGAAGAGCGAGGAGGGGCCCTTTGCGGGCTGGTTGGGGCCCCCTGGCTGGCCCATGGCGGTGGGGGACCAGTCACGACCAGCCCGCTGTTGCGCTGCCGCCTCCTGTGCTGCCGCCAACCTGCAAACACAAAACCATCAAATTCTCAGAATTACCTTTATATGGATGGAATCATACATTTGATTTTCATGTTAAAGTTGAGCCTGTTTCACTGAGTACTGAGTATTATTACATACAATATAATTGACGGAAGTTCAACTGGACTACCAATGCTGGTTGAATATAGATTTTTTTTATACGCCGACAAAACACAAAATAACAATGTTACATACTTTAATATGCAGAACTAGATACTGTATTTAATTCTCATCAGTAACCAATTTTAGAATAATATTCACGTTGAATTGAATGAACTAAGAAGTGCGCTGATGTTAGCCAGTGGATCCGGTTGAATGCGCATACTTTCGAGTGCAGGAGAATCTTCAATTTTTGGCAGCAGCGCGCTCTAAGTGGCTTATTCTACAAAATTCTATTTGAATTTAAAATGGCTATAGCTAATCCATCTGATTTGGTGAGTCGGTCGCTCAGTCAGTAGCGTCACGGACTTCGGGCAAACTAAAATTCATTTATCAGTACAGTTCACATTCGTACTGTACCGGATCACCCCTTGCTTTGCTGGATACGTTCCATTTAGTTTGTACTATGGTTCCACGCACGGACAGTTAGTCTATGTGGACGGGCAAATGAAAGACTGCCAACCCCTTTAAAAAATAAATAAATAAATAAGAAAATGTAGACGAGATGTCCTTTTCAGTATCCGAAATTCAGTGGTAGGTACTATAACCACCTCGATGATCCATTCACACGAATATCAATACGTTCCGGTTAGATATTTTGCATTGCTCCACATATATATTAATTGTATTTTTCAAGTTCAATGAACCATTAGGGTCGGTAAACAAGAAAAGACAAATTGTGTCAACATTTTAAAGTAAAAGCTAGGAACTTCACTAAAAATCTTACAACGGCGTACTTCTAGCGTGATTACTTGATTGTATGGAAACAATATGAAGCCGTCGGCGCTGTCATGAAAGCCTCGTTGTTCATTATGAGAAACAATGGTCTTTCCAGTAACGTAACGAATTCTGACCAGATCTCCTTCAAAATTTACCCGTAGGTCCCTTTTTAGAAACGTCCGGAAGTAGGTATACCCAGAGAACGAATGAACAATGATAAATTAGTCAATGAAATGTGTATAATCACTCTTATTACAAAACGTGGTGTTCACGATTCTCTGTCAGTGTAACTCTGACAGAAAAAAATATTGGGTAGATAAATATACTCTAGGGTTTGTTGAAGATGTTTAAATACCCTGGTTTCTTATGCAAATCCTTACGAAACACATCCAGGGCCACATGTTATGTTATGTTATGTTGGATGTTTATGTACAGTACAACTTTTGTTATACTTAGGAACTGACAGTTATTTGTTGTTGTTCACATTACTTCCAGTGTTGCAGTTACCCACTGTTGTTACAGTTACGAGGTCACTTTAGTTAAGAGCTGTTGCTACAATTAAGTTAGGTTTCGTTAAGTGCTGTCGATTCAGTTATTTTTTTCCACATTGGCGTGCCTATGTTACAGTCATTATTTTGTTACACATTGGCGTGCCTGTGTTGCAGTTACTCGCTGTTGTTACACTCTGGCGTGCAATGCAGGGTGTAATGTGAGGGTTGGTGACCCGGTTAGGTCTATTCCTGGACCACAATCAATGACTGGACATTTGCTAGACTGACCTCCCTTTGTAAAGTAAATCCATATCGAGGTCACCATCTCGTTTAGGAATCATCCTCTGGGTCAGTTACATCGTGATAACCAAGTGTTTGTTCTATTTACTAAATTCAGTTGTGCTACTTCAGCGTTTTCAGTCTAGAAGCTAGTTGTAAGTGGATATTTTGTTACATCAGAGAAGGGATCTTTTGTAGGGGTTACGTTATGGTCAAGGTACAGAGACGCATTAGAAAAAGAGTAATGAATACAAATTAATTTAAATTGTGGGTCAACTTTTTGATGTTTAAAAACAGGAGTGACACCTAACCCAGTTCCTGTTTACATGAGCCTGCAATAATACAAAAGGACCTCGACGTGTAGGGGTTTTATATCAGATAAAACTATAGGATACTAGTAGAGTACCCGCCCTTCGTACGGGTTTAGGGTATAAGTATAACATGTTTATTGCAGGTTATACTCGCTTTACGTTTGCTATGGGAGAGGACAGAGGACACGGTTTAAGAAAAATTTGTCTTTTTAATATACGGCATGCTATAGTAAGCACATCTGGGCGCACTGATTTCGAGCACGAAAACCCAAAACGCGGTGAAATCGAGCATTGCACTGAAGCGGCAATAATGGGTTCCCTAACCCTTTGGTGATCTCGAGCATTTGGCCTTCCTAGAACTTTAAGGATGATTAAATAGGTGAAGATGAGAAAAAAACATTCAAATCAAACTGCCACATTTATTTCCTGACCTTGTGACCAACACACTTGACAAAAGTTAACCAATATGTGTGGAGTCCCTCAGTTGTTTTAGTTTCACATCGATAAACTTTTACTAGATGTACTAGACCGTACTAGGTGTCCTTCCTTTGCTTTGCTTCTTCCCTGCGCAACGCACTGTTCAGTCGTTCGTATGTACGTTTCGGTTTGGTTACTATTGAAATGAAGTCGCAGAAAGCCTAAAAGCATTGACTATCTAAAAGTCATACGCTGCATACAGCTGTCATTCCGGGCGCATCCCTTACAACGTGCGTGCTGTACCTTTGAAACCCTTCTTTGCGTGAATCATTACTAAAAATGCAATACGTGTGTAAATATTATGTAGGCTACTCCATATTTTTTTTAAAGGGGTTTTTAAATCCCCGGCGCAGCTAAGCTGTATGTACTAAGCAAATTTCATCCACATTAGATTTCAATTTCCATTGTTAAATAATTTTCTATAAAAATATTTTTTTAAAATGCCTCATTTTTAAACGCACTAAAAAGTATACAATAGTTTATCAATATGTTTAGAGAATATATACTTGTAAAATTTAAATCAAAAAACTTGGAGCGCATACTAATTTACAATTAACTTCGCCTATTGAACTATTATAATCTATTGCATGCGCCCCACGTTTTTCGTTTTAAATCTTACAAGTATTTATTCTCTCAACATATTGATAAACTATTGTCTACTTTTTAGTGCGTTTAAAAATGAGGCATTTTTTAAAAGTATTTTTATTTAAAAAAATATGTTCTACTTTTTAGTTTTTAATGTGGATATAGTAGTTTACGCAACGATTGTTAGTCTTTACGACACGAGTAGAAAGCTTCTACGAGTGTCGTAAAGACTATTAACGCGAGTTGCGTACACTACTTTACCTACGACCGTTTTTTAATTACTAAAAATCTGATTTTTTATTACTAACAATCACTACTCATAACTTCCTAGAGAGGTTATGTTTTCGTTTATTGTCATTGTCACTGAAAGTGATGCAACGACTTATTGTATAATCAGCTGATTTCATGTAATTACGTGTTTGTAAAACTTTGTTAAATAATACGTTACTTTTTCAGGCAATAGGTTCTGCTAGCAGCATTCTTACCATAAATACTGTGTCAGGTACAATTACGGAAATATTGCATATATTTTTGGACAACTGAATAATATAGTGAAACAGTTAATTTACAGTTAGATCTCAGCATCGAATATGTGGTCCACAACGAGTTGGGTGAAAAAGTGGTTAAGAGGTTTCCAAAATAAACCAGAAGAACATTTTCATTTATCAATTTAACCTTATTTTGTTTCGTCCATTTAATGAATTGCTGGTATGTAATTGCATATGGTACCATATGGTACCTTTGTTTTGATTTTGTTGGCAAAAGATTAGCACAAACAGTTTGTGCTCTCATTTCTATCTCGTCAACATCACTTTCACTAACTGATATTTTAAAATCAACCTTCATTTAACTTCCGCCAACTTAGGTTAAGAATACGCGAGTATCAACAGGAACAAGCCGGATCAACAATTAAAATTGTCAACTGATCAGCTGATTTGACGTTCGAAGTATTCCAATTGTACTTCTTTTTTCTCAATCCTTGAACCTCATTGGTCCGTTACCCGTGTTGATATGAGAAAAACTATGCTGATATGAAATGAAACTATGCGGATATGAAAGTAAACAGCTGTTAAGTGAAACTTTTCAATTCTAAGAACTGAACTGAAATGGCTACTTTAAAAAAAGGTCGTAGGTAAAATCAATTTTATATGGCCTGTTAATACATAACCAAAACCTTATTATCTGTAAGCAGATGTTTTATCTTTACTTTAAAATGCTGGTTTTATATTTTTAGAATATCTCAAGAGCAGAACCTGTACCTCTTAACCTCTGCTCTTCGAACTGTCAAATTTAAGTATTTACAGCTGACTTAAATTGATTGATATATTTCTTTTAAAATGTAAACATGAAGCCCATGGGGCGTAGCTTAAGGGAAATATGAAAATTAAATGATATAATATTGCATTGTCATCCATTTGTGAGCTATGTTTCAAGATTCAAGTCTAGCTCATCGGGAAGTTAGTATAAAATTGATTGCAAAATTCATACCGGACAAAAAAGCTAGCTAATAATAAAAAAAATAAACAAATATTTATTCCATGCACACTTATCCTTAAACATGTCAAATTTATTCTCTATTTAGATACCATTACGTTTAACGCGTACTAAAAACTTTTCTGACACGGGAAAGGTAATTTACAGTGTTTTTTAGTAAAATGATTTAAGCTTAGGATGAAATAAACCAATTTTTCAAATGTGATAACATATATCCAAAAGCAAGCAAACTACAACAGTTAACTTATTCTGCTTTGAGTTTTAGATTTACTGTACGATGTTTTGAATTTTTTTCGTATAAATTAAATTATTTGAATCAAATTTCTATTTGAACAATTTGAACTTTTAACCGTACAAACATACTTTCGAAAATTGCGTAAAGAGAAATCGGGGAATCCTAAGTTTTGAGGCTCAAAAATAGGGAAACCCAAATTTACCCTATAAAACCACCATAATTCTCCGTACCC